CCGCGCCCGCAAGCCGCTTGGCATCAACAACCATGTCATTACATGAAGGGTAGAAGCGGCTCCGACGATAAAAGGAATGATCTGCCCGGTGTCTCCAAGGGTGCTGACCCCACTCACATGGTTCCACAACAGGGTCAGCTCCACAATCAGGATAAATAAGACCCATACAATGACTTGCGCGATAAGAGACACACGCTGTGTGAGATGTCCCCGCCTCACCGGAAAACCTATACCAAAAATGACGGCAGGGACATTCCGGTTCTGGGAAACAAGACGCTGGAAAACCTCGTACCATGTGGCCCCCCTGAGTTGGATAGCAGCATCAACAGTGGCGTGGATTGCACTTAAAGTGCTCGCAAAAAGACTGAAGGCTGACAGTACTTGGTTAAATGTGACAAACCAGCCGTCGAGGGCTACTTTTCCTAGGAAGAACACATGAGTAGGACAAATCGGCTTCTGCTGGAACCGATGTATTAGTCCTTGACGATTTAGAAATAACATTGACGCACATGCAAGACTCCTGGTAAAAGAACACACAAGGTAGCCAATGGGGCTCGGGGATCTCACCAGAACTCTTATCCCAGTAAACCAAAACCATGTACCTAAAACAGCAACGGCAAGGTCGGAAAGTCCAGAAATGATCTTCATCAAATAAGAGGGCGTTTTTGCATCTGATCCGCTGATCATGAAGGTTGCTTGTGAGCCCAAACTACCGCCGACGCCCAATATTAATGCGATAAACATGTCGATTTGTTGAACGTCAGATGTATCTGTTGAAGCCAGCTTCCATGATAATGCTACTAAAACGGCTGTTTGAAAGACTTTCAAGCCAGCCAAAGACTGCGACTGATATACCAAGTTAGATGATTTTCTGGCATGTGTAGAGCAACTTTCCAATTGGAATGCAACCTCACCACGTTTTCCGTGAACCCATGACAGGACAGCACAAAGCTCACCCACTGAAGATAAGTTCCCATACGGACTCCAAGGCCGTACAGATTTTCATCTCCTTCAATCTTGCAATCGTTCATGGTGGTACCAATTCTTACACTGTCCCAAACGTGGGACAGCCTGTGCTTCGTTAGTGGAAGGGATATCCCGCTGATCAGTGTACAAGTCGGCCGACAAGACAAATAAACAAATAATAAATTAAACATTCAATTAACATAGAAAGTATCCATGACACAATGTATGTCAAGGATTTATGGTGGGTGGAAGTCCTTTTGCTTTATCGACAAGAACCAAAGGCTCCTGCTGCGAATGTCATACACCAATATCAGACTTGCATTAGGCCATGATCCACCATGTCAAGAAATCAAGACATGCCATAATTGGTAGGAGAATCAGGCGTCCAAACTCCGCATACAGTTGTGCACCAGTGATTGGACAGCTATTCTGCCTTCATGACCAAGTGGCGCCCAACCTAGCGAATGATGCCACCTTGAATGTCGGAAACGCCTTGGCGAACTTATCGACCGTTCGACATCTCGATGGAGGGTGTGTAGCTTATCAATTATTGTCTTAGGTGCAGCGCAGCTTTTCGTGCTGCATGACTTCAAGAAACGCCTAATAGGCGTCTTTGCGCCGCTGTCTTAGGTGCCTCGTCTGTTACGTACCCATCGCCTACATCGGTCGAGGAGTCGTTCTCTGGGTACTCAAGCATCCCCCAGCTGATCTCTAGAAACTGCCACACTTCCTCTGAGTTTCATTTGGCTGAGACTGGGACAATGAAGTCAACACAACTTGAATCTGACGGTCCGTTGCTTCAACGGATCGCCGCCGAGTACAAAGAAAAGCTCAGCGTCGATGAACTCAATATTATCCTGGGCGTATCAGATCCTGATGTATTCCTGGCACATATTACACGAGATTACGGTTTGGCACATACAAAGTCATCTAGATTTGCCGATATCAGAGCCGGTATACAAGGATATGGCCATTTTGTAACCATTGTTGGAGGAGCTTCGCCTGAGCTAGGTAACTTAATATGGGGTAGCCTGGCGTTGCTGCAAGAGGTAAAGCAATCAGTTCTCTGGGGAAATTCAATGCGTATTCATAGGATCTTAATCAGCTAACCAAGATGATAGAAATCTAGTGTTTCGGCCTACGTGCAAAGTGCAACCGCGGGGCTCCTGACTGATTTCTGCACTCTCGCACCTCAGCTTGAAAAGTACGATGATCTGTTTGGCGAGATGAAAAGACCAGAAAGGATTCAAAAGGCTCTTGCTGAAGTGTACCGGAAAATTCTGGAGTTTCTTCTAGAGGTCAGGTCGTGGATAAAGAACTGTCCCACAGGTGCGTTTGACTCGACTCAAAAAGGACTATAATTCATCTGGGCTGACGCGAAGAAAAAAACACTAGGTCTTTTGAAGCACGGACCAAAACCTCAACCTACAAGAGTTTATGAATCGTTAAACGGCGTTAAGTCAGCTATCGCAAATCTTCAGCGCGAAATACCAATTGCAAGCCTCTCCCTACATCGTAATTGGCAGCAGGAGATTCGCGACATGCTCGCTAATGCTTCCTTACAGCCAAGAGCAGCGCTTCCATGTCGATACATTCCATACCCGAACAACTCTCGGTTTGTCGGTCGGTCAGATCTACTGAAAGACATGGAGAATTTCTTGTCACAACCAGATGCAGGACAGCTGTCCTTCGCATTATACGGGATGGGAGGAGTAGGCAAAACGCAAATTGCACTGAAGTACGTCCACGAGCATACGTCGGACTTTCCAGCGATATTCTGGATAGACGCAGATTCGAAGGCAAAACTCAGCCAGTCATTCGTCGACGCAGCAAAGCAACTTCAAATTGAACCGATAAATTCTCAGAAAGACCCCGAAACTGTGGTACAAGGATTCAAAAACTGGCTCGCTGATTCAGGCATCAAGTGGATCATGGTCTACGACAACGCTGATGATCTCAGCCTATTAAAACCGTTCTGGCCCTCATCAGAGACAGGGACCATCATCATCACCAGTCGTGATTCCGGTGCCGCCCTAGTAGCCCAACAAAGCAGACCTGTGAACTCCATGACACCCAGCGAGGGATTGGAGCTTTTTACATCTATGACGAAGTCTTCTGGAATGGAGGATAGCGACGATTTCGACAGAGATAAAATTATAGAAGTGACAAAACAACTTGGTGAGCCAATTATTTCCGTAGGACCATTTGTCTCATTAGTCCTTAACTTTTCCTTCTCAGGTCAATTGCCGCTGGCTATCACGCAAGTGGCAAGCTTCATGATAGAAAGAGATTGCACACCTGAAGACTTTCTCGAGATCTACAACGAGTCACTGAAGAATCAGAATTTCGCCGGCCTCGACATAAGATCTCCAAATCTATTTTACCAACATTCGCTCGCAACCGTATGGGAGATTTCCATCGGAAAACTATCTGATGACTCTACCATGCTGATTTCGATCTTTTCATGTCTAAACCCCGATGGTGTTCCGGAATCATTTGTACGAGAGGGCATGAGGGCTTCCAAAGATATGGAGTATCTCTCCAGAGCCAGCACATACACACGAGCCGTCTCAGAGCTTCTCAGCAATGGTCTTGTGTGGAGACGTAATAAGCAGGAGGGCCAACCAGGTTCTAAAGAAAGCAAGAAGGCAATGAGAGGGCTTGCCATGCACAGACTGGTCCAAGAGACTGTTTTCCACCAGCAAAACCAATCCAAACAACAAGCGACCTTTTCGAGGGCTGTCGAGGTATGTCTGAATGTGTTTCCGCATCCGACACGAACCAACTTCCGGATGATGCACAAATGGTCTGAGTGCGAACGCTACCTTCCACAAGTGCTGGCTTTGGACTCACGTTACAAAGCTCTGCCATATCTAGAGCCAGATGAACGTTTGGTAGAGCTTTTTCTATATGCTGGTTGGTATCTCTACGAGAGACGTCTACCAGAGATAGCTCTGCCTCTCATCAAATCCGGTTGGTCAATTTGTGAGCGAGAGAATAGCAGAGTCGATTGGTTTCTGAGGTCGCGGATTCTCAGTGCGTTTGGATGTGTTCTCTTCGATTGCCATCGATTCGAAGAGTCAGAAGACTACTTTCGGCGGGCTCTCCATATCAGAATACACAACGTTGCCCAGGACGACATTCTCCTAGCCCATGGCTATCAAGATATAGCACTTCCAGTATCTGGACAGGGACGATACGACGAAGCCATTTCCCTACAGAAAAAAGCACTCGAAATTGTCCAGCTCAATGACGACGATTTCACTCGCAGGGATATGACATTTCATGTCGAGCATAACATTGCGCGGACTCTTGAAGCAGCACGAAAACCCGAAGAAGCAATCAAACTACATTTCCATCAGGGTGATGAGTTCGGAAACGGTTTGAGGACTGAAATGAGCGAGTCTGGGTCTGTGAATCTCTATGCGATTGGAAATTGCTATATGGCTATGGGAGAAGAACAAAAAGGGATTGAGTATCATTCTCGATCCCTCAAGATACGACATGAATTGGTGGGAGACAAAGGGTATCATTACGGTATTTCTTTACATAAGATGGGGTGTATACTCTATTCACAAGGAGAAAAATGCTCGGCTGAAGATGCCTTGAAGCGTGCTGCAGAGATTTTCTCAAACGCAACGGATGGTCAAAGGGAATTAGCTAGAACCACATGGCACCTCTCCATAGTTGCACGGTCGTTGGGAGACATACAAAGGGCCGATGATCTCGTGAAGGCTGCATGGAAAATTCGGACGGCGACGACGGGTGAAAATTGTCCTCAGTCTTGGGAGGAAGCGGCGGGTTTGAGTTGGACAGAAGGATTTGACAAACTGGTGATGTACATTCATGCTTAAGATTGCTCATTTTCTTAGGCTTATATACATATCGTTGATGAGTCTTATTGCTTTCATTTTCTTGTAGAACAGTGTACAGCTTTTCGATTCCAGTCTCAATGCCATACATGTCGTCATCAAATCACATCAACATTCCAAAGGCTTGTTGTTCGTTTTGCTGAAGTATCCAAAGAAACTCCTTTACCCATGCTTTTGCTCACTCCTGTAGAAGAACTCCCCATTAGGCACTGAATCGTCATGTATCCATCTTAGCCCGTTGATTTTTTCTCCTTCCGGTTCGGCCTCAAATTTGAAGCGGTAATACGGGTGAGAACGGACATATTGGCCACGCTTCACAGTCTCATCATAAGACAGGTTCCACACAAAGGTGTCATAATGATAGTGCCGCAAGGTGTACCGCTCGTCTAGACGTCCTAGAAATTCAAAGACCAGAGTATTTCCATCGACTTTTACGTCTATAAACCAGTTGTCAATAGAATTGTGATATCGACCAGTATAAGATCGTAATGAACGCGCTTCGGTTCCTTTGATTCTCTCCTTGTTGAGGCGGGACTGAACCTCGTTCATTCGCACGACACCAGCATCAACACATTGTCTCACCAACGAGAGGTAATCTTGTGTTGGTTTACCAGTAAATACAATGTCGAGGATCAGTTGGCAAACCCAGTCGGCGACATCACACAGTCCAAGGGAATTTTGTAGAACCACAACGGCAGAACCGGATTCTGGAAGGAGGCACAATGCTGAAGTTGCCCCAGGCATATTGCCACCATGCCAAATCGCAATTCTTCCGGGATAGTCTTTTCCAACAGCCGGAAAAGGCTGTAGAACGCGTTGGTTCCAGCCGAAATCGAGGGTTCCTGGCAGTTGAGTTCTATTCCAACCTAAAGCGTATGTCTGCTCGAGGAGACAGTCTACCCCTCGGGCAATTTGTGGCCGGACAATAGCAGCGATTTCTTTTATAGGCGAATTCGCATATGTAGTCTTTGAGGCGCCTTCATCGCTGACCGTTGCAGATATGCCCAATCGAGCCTTGAATGCTGGCAAGATTGTAGAAAGGCAGCCGCTGTTGCTGGATGACTCCTTGCCAGCATGGGCACCGGGCTCCAAGAGCTTCAAATCGTCTAACGCCCGGAGGTACGCCTTGCTGTACTTAAGCATGTCGCCCATAGAGGCCCTAACAGATTGACCAGCGAACATCATTGTGTCGCCCGACACATTGCAAAACGGTAGTCGGAACGGCGAACGATCAGTGAGGATGTTGTAAGGTACAGCAACATTGCCGTCATTCTCCGGATGTCTGGTGAATGTGCGTGACATCTCTAGAGGTGAAATTATGTTTTCGTGGAGGAAAGCGTCCCATCGTTGCCCGGAAACTCTTTCGACGACCAGCCCAGCTAGGTTGTAGGCGTGGTTGTTGTACATGTACTTGTTACGAACCGGAGCAACCTGAGTGAGATAATCAAATGTCGGTATGCACTGATCCTTGCCCATGAGAATCATGTTGTTCGACTGCAGGTAGAGAGCGTCTGCCCAGGCCCTGCCTGTACGATGACACAGAATATCAATGATGTTCAGCTTCGCTGCGTGAAGTTCCGTCGATTTTGACATCTCTGGCAAGATGTCATGAACCGGAGTATCCCACTGCAGAAGACCTTTGTGGACCAAGATTCCAAGCGAGGTTGCCGTCATCGCTTTCGTCAGGGATGCAACATGGAAGCAGGTATCGCGGTTGACGGGGAGCTTGGCCTCGACGTCTCTAAGACCAAAATAGTACTCATGTGCTGTCTCATGTTGATGAACAACCCCAATAGCAACGCCTGGCACCCCTGCGGCTTTGCATAGGGAATCGATTATCGAATGCGCTCTTGCCAAGGCTGTAGATGTGGTAGCCGACTGCTCCATCGCCATTGGTAGTGAGACTCTTTGCATGGGGGTTTGCGAGGTATATGAGTCCAGGGATAAATTTGCTGGCCGTCGCAGCTCACAGGTAAAGTATTAATTGTGCGAATGGGTAAATTATATCCTTTCAATCAGTTGGGAATGATGACTGGGTCAAACGAGGTCTGTATGGACTACCCGACACTTACTGCAGCCAAGAGCTGAGGGCATGGCACTGGTGGAGGAAGAGAAAGTGTACAAATCTATCTGGGTTTTGAGAGGGCTGCAGGCGCTTTTTGTACTCGAAAGAGGCTGGGCGGCGGTAAGTGCTGGTACGTAAAGGGCTTGCAGGCTGTGAGTTCCACCGGTCTCGCTAACCATACAGCACTGTGAGGAGCACCAATCAATATCCACGTCCTGAATCGGCTGGCGCTGATGCATGGACGTGGCAGTATTGTACAGTAACACGGTCATACGGTTGTAACCGCGAAACCTTTTTTCTGCGTGACACCCAGTAATAGTGCTACGGATACAAAGCCAAACATGACTTCATTCGTGCAATGTCCATATTGTTGTCGGTCAAATCCGGCCCGAAATCCCCGGCTGTTTAACTCCCGAACAAGGAGACAAACAGCACAAGCAGCTTAAATATAATTCTGAGAAACAGTAGAGTCACTAAAAAGGTTCTACAATACTACTCTGGCGGAGCAGGTCGTATGGCATGGATGAGTGGATTCTGCTTTGTGAACATTGGCTCGGTCAGCCGACCAGCGAGTTTGTGCCTCATTGCATATTTATAGCTTGTACCAGTCGCCAAACAATGTGAAACTTGCAGACGCTAGCGTGATGCTTGTGTCAAGGTAACAGTAATATGCACCTGTTAGGTACTTGGTAGGGTCAATGTTATAGCCCATACATACGAAGGACCACAAATAGATGGATGTTGGCAACCAGGATATGGTTAACATGACTGGATAGTATTTATCCGCTTGATCTCAACCGACCAATCAATGGAATGGCCAGAATCATCACATTCATTACCACGCAGGCATGCGATCACTCAACCACCCAATAAAGCAACGATTCGAAAGCTCTTACCAGCCCATCTGCCTTCTACGCAGGTGTCCTAACAGTGGCTCTCCAGTAACTTCTTATTACGATGGTCTAGAAGTGTTACCTGCTTAGTTGACCTGGCGTCGGCCGAATTGGCTTGTTCGCCGGCCCTGTGGTATTCGTTGCCGCTCTTAAGGGTAGCTATCTGCTGTAATAGGATAGAACTCGCTGATCTAATTCCAAAAATAAAATAATTTGAAATTGAAATTGAAATCCTTTTCTGTAGCCTCTTCTAGTACGGCTTCTATGCTTATATAGCACCTGCCTGGCTCTATCCCATCAAGTGCCAGATAACCCCATTTTGGCCAAGAGTGCGGTGAAGCCAATCAGATTCATTGCCCGAAAATTTCCTCAATGTTTGTCCATTCGAATGCCTGCATATCGGCGTTTTGGAGTACAGATGGATATCTCAAGTCTCGGCAGGAATCCGACAGTGGTGTTTTTGCTAACAGGTAGCTAAGATCAATACTCAAAAACACTAAGGTAGGTCTTGTTGGTAATTTGCTGGTCTGTAAGTACACGGTGATCAGTTGTGGACTCGTAGGCGTAGGTAGCTTGCATAGCTTTACAAGAGAAGGATAATCTAAGAGTCACTTATGAGAAAGTGAATCACGAAGTTGATTGCTGAAGTGTTATGGAAGGTCTCTATCTGTCTCGAATTAATGTCATTATATCCTTATGGTCATGATGCTAGGACCGATCTTCTTGGAGTCGGTCCTTGATGAAGGACCGCTTATCGGTTGTTGGTCCTTTTCTTATCTCTACGTGACCTTCCCTAGTTCTTCTGTTCCGGGAAGAGTCTGACGTATTCCTGTGTGTCGTGCGCATATACTGTCTTGTAGCTGCTAGGCGCCTGTGGGGCGAACTTGGTCATGTTATGCTTGTCGGGTCGAAACAGAATGGGGTCATCTGGCACTTGATGGAATAGCGAGTGCTACCAGTGTTACCTTCCACGTACGGTGCTGCCGGCTGCTTTAAGTATACGAACAGTATTCCCTTCTTAACACTCGCGCCGTCTTGCCTCGACCCCCAAGAATCTTTCTCAAGTCCCCAACTTGTACCTGAATTTCTGTCAACCGGCGTCCACCCGCTTCGAAACCCACTCTTGAGACCTTGCCCTGGTCTTCAAATACCCTGTAGGCTGTTATATCGTCCTACATGCCTATACTGAGTCCACAAGTTCCCATGCCTGAATCGTTGAGACATTATCTGAACCGTATTGGAGCGACTTGAGAGCTGCTGTGCTGCAGATGAGAGTTGCTGATCCTTTTCGGATTAGATGTGGCTGATGTTGCATATCAGGACTGCTCATCCCCGTTGGTTCAAACTGCACATCCATCTCTTTGCAATTTGTATTTGTCTAGTTGATTGTGCATGTATGTGGCACATTAATGTTGCTCGTTCATGTTCATTATGGGTATGGCTCTTGAGATTCGAGCGTTCTATTCTTTACATCATTGGGCGAAATCTCCTGCACTGAGTCAATTTAATTAGCAGATAATCCGTCCGCAACTTAGGAACGATGAACTAGTAAGCTTGAAGCTCTCAATTCGGCCGATGAACCCCCTGCCTGTGGTCATGATCCGGCTGAATCCGTCTATGGAGGTACGGCAAATTTGCAAAGGATGGTTGCGAGGGGCTGGTGGTAGGCTGCTGGAATATAACCTCTTATGTTGATATTCTGATATAGACAGTTATAAAGAGTTGCTAGGGCTGAGAAGATCAGATCAGATGTGGCATCGCTCTGCGAAGCATCTGAGCCCGTTTTTCTAGCCCCAAGAGCAAGCAAGGTGTTAATGGAGCAACATTCATCTGCCAGGTACTTTGCCCTGGGCTTCCATAATATGATCTCCTAGTCAGCTACGTTATTTTAGTTCAATTATTTTACGTATTATGCTCTTGTTGATACTGCTCAACTACCTGCAGCCCATGGAGATAATATCACGTGGGATTGCAGTTGCAAGATAATGCTACGGTCGTGATTCATGTTCTTTGGCGGCCACCTGAACACCAAAGTCCTTCAATCGACTGGATCTTCCGAAGTACCTACCAAAATAGGGTCAACGGTCTTACACTCCAAATGAACCTGCCTAGTCATCACACAATTTACCTGAATACTGGACCGTGCCGCATATAAGCATCGGTCAGTAGGGCTTAGCGGCAGGCTTACAGATACAGCGACACACCTTGGTGCCAAAACATTGGGGAAATGATTAAACGATTGAATCCGCCGTCTTGAGCGGTTCTGTTGCGGCTTCGGTATGTTACACGCCATCCATTTAAGGGAGCAAGGTTAACCATTATAGGTTTTTAAAGCCATCAAGGAAATGCTACCTCCAGTCCATCTGAAGGAAACTGATAGTGAAGGCCTGAGTAGTAGTCGAGTCAGAGACGAACGGCGGATGGCTGGTGTTGCATGTTTTTTTAACATTTCTATTTATTTCCTCTTTGCATTTTATATCACGGCTAGGAGAAAATAACCAAAGCATACTGGTCCTTAGGACATCATAACTTCAGAGGACCTGTCTCAGGAATAACCAACCAACTAACAACACACTTAGGCCAAGACGCGATATAACACATGGCATTCAAAGGAAATCATGATTCTCCAAAAGCCGTTCCTCATTTGTTCCTAAAGTTGCAATATACAGTTTTGTCCTCTGTCTTGTTTTATTGTACGCAGGCGGTGGACATGTACATTCACGACGTCTGATTTGCCATATATGTATGCTCTATAGCAGGGTCCGTCAAGTGTACTCCAGTCGGCGACAACAGATGATGCTTCATCTTAGCGAATGGCGTGCGGTGCGGAGTGCCGCCCAGGTTGGGTTGTACGATTGAGGTACAGATGTTGAAATAACATGATTAACGAATTAGCCAACAGTCTCAACCAACTCGAAATTGGGACCCATATTTATAGAGAACGCTGAGATTGCACAAAGGTTCATCACATGGGTCTATCCAGGAATCAATATTGCAATGACGCTATCGGGCTCTGCCCGACTTCAACCCTTACTATTTCTTGGGGCATCAAGAGTACTCTCTTTACCCCTCACGTGGGATTGGGATACCTGCCTCGTACGGCAATAAGCTACCCGCCAAGACGTTGCAATCCCGTGCTTGGACAGGCATGCCACGGCGCGATGATTGACGCGATGGCGGGGAGGGTTCGCATCATCTTCCCCCCCAGACTCCGTCGAATATGATCGTTGAGGTCAAGTGCAACTCAATCTCGCGCGCAAAACGTGACTGATTGCGATTCTGTGGGGTGTGGATGAGTATATAGATCCATTCATCCCACGGACTCGAACTGAGAGACGTCTACATGCTGGTCTCGCAGAGTCGAAGTGATTCTGGAGCGTCACCTCTCCCATCCAGTCGAAATGCGCGTCCTCGACAGCCTAGCCTTTGGCCTCCTCCACGCCGGCTTCGCCTCGGCGCAGACCAAGTACGCCGACAACCAGGTCCCCGTGTCGCGTGACAGCGATCTCGTCTCCAAGCTCTTTCCGAACGTGGAGGTCGAGCTCTTCTCGCCCGCCTTTGCGAACCCGGAGACCGTCCCAAAGGGATGGAACAACGGCACATCGGGACCTACTGATCAGGATACCCTGGGTGAGTATATGAATCGAATCACTGTCAACACTAGTCTCGTGCTTACACCGCGTTCTAGACTCCTTTCTCAGCGGCCTCGCCGACAAGCACGGCTGGCTGACCTACCACCAGCCTCCCTTCACATCCGAAGACGGCCGCTCAATCCCCTACGTCAACCTGTCCCTCTCATCCCCCTCCAACCCATCCGCCGACAAACTACGTATCTGGATCCAAGGCGGCGTCCACGGCAACGAGCCCGCCGGCGACCAGGCCGTCCTCGCCCTCCTCGGCAAGTTCGCCGCCAACGAAACCTGGACCCTCTCCGTCCTGGCCAAGGCTGAGATCCTCGTCCTCCCGCGCTACAACCCGGATGGCGTCGCCTACTTCCAGCGCGAGCTCGCATCAAACTACGATCCGAACCGCGACCACGCGCTGCTCCAACGCCGCCAGACGCGAGACATCAAGAAGCTGCTCTCGACGTACGACCCGCACATCTTCCTCGACGCGCACGAGTACACCGCCAGCCAGCAGCTCGGCGCCTCCCGTCAGTGGGTCAAGGCGCAGGACATCCAAGTCTCGCACGTCAAGAACCCCAACATCCACCCGTCCATCCGCGCCCTCGGTGAGGGCCTCTTCTTGAAGTCCATCCAGGACAAGGTCCGCGAGCACGGGCTCCGCACGAGCGCATACTTCACCGCCGGCGGCGGGACGGACCTCCCCGTGCTCACGGAGCCCAGCTCCGTCAGCCGCGCGGGACACAACTCGGCCGGCCTGCTGCAGGCCGTGTCGTTCCTCACGGAAACCCGGGGCATCCGCCTCGCGGACCAGCATTTCCAGCGGCGCGTCGCGGCGGGCACGATCGCGATCGAGGCGCTCGTGCAGACGGCCGTCGACAACGCCGAGGAGGTCCTGTCCACCATCGACACCGCTCGCAGAGAATTCGTCGAGGGCATCGACGAGATTATCGTCGTGGACCACGCGCGCGTGACGAACGCGACGTGGGACTTCATTGACGTCCGCAACGGCACCGTCGTCAGCGTGCCGGTGCAATTTCGCAACAGCACGCCCACGGAGGTGGATCTCGCGCGCGCGCGGCCTGAAGCGTACGTCTTCCCGCGCGCGTGGGCCGACGTCGCCGAGAAGCTCGAGGTCCTCGGGGTGGAGGTTGAGACTCTGTCCGAGGAGTTCTCGGGGGAGGTCGAGGTGCTCACTGTGGAGACCCTGGGGCTCGCGGAGAGCAAATACGAAGGTGTGGTGGAGGCCACCATCACCACTTCCACTATCCGCAAGGTTGTGAGCGTGCCCAAGGGCGGGTTCCGGGTGAGCACGAGGCAGAAGAACGCCGCGTTCGCGTTCGTGACGCTCGAGCCGGAGAACAACGCCAGCTTTGCGCGGTACAACGTGATAGACCTGGCTGTTGGGGATGAGTACCCCGTGTTCAGGGTCGTCGGCGCTCAATAGGAAGACGGCGGGCCCGTGACCTCCGTGGTTCGGGGCCCGACTGTCCGGGATTGGTGGGGCCGGTTCGGCGGGAGCGGAGGGCTAGTGAGACAGTATTAGCGGCCCGAGGTCCTCCGAGCACCCGTGCGAGACACAGAGAATAAAACCAACCGGTTCGTCCTGGATTGCCAAAGTGGTGCACCCGAGCTGCATTAGAGCGTCTCCAATTCCCACCTTTGATCTCCAATGAAGAATTCCCCGTAGCCCCGGACAGTCGCAGCGCTAGTGACCCCCAAGCACCATCAGCACCCAAACCTGTCTTCTGATCCAATCATCTCCACGCACCTGTACCACCATAAAACATGCACTCAAAAACCACCACCACCACCTCCAAGCCCCCTCGTGAATATCAGACACGTCCACGCACCCGCGTGCCCTCCCCAAAGCTTCCCTGCAATGGCCAAACAAACATCAGATTCTTCTTCAGGGCTGGCCTTCGCCTTCTAGAACGGGATGGCGTAGGATGTGTGCTGTATTGCGCTAGATAAACACGTCCCAGTCATCCATCGCCTGGAACGCGACGCCATGACTCCTGCATACCACACCGGGGTTGAACAGCCATCCACCGTCCACCACCAACTAATTCCCCTCTCCTCGTTTCCGCGTCGCCAGTCAGATACCATTTTGAGGTGGTTCCAGATAATTCTTCGACAAAATGACGAAAGGATAAAAGACGCGAGCGTGGCCGGTCCCTCTTACACGCGGGTGTTTCCTTGTTCTCGCTCTCCTTCCTTATTGACGTCGAGGCTGGCCATGTCATAGTTTCCGAGTATCTTGTGTTATTCTTCTTCATTCTACTGCTTCCTGCTTCTTTTCTGTTCGCGCACAATCTCCGTGAGATATTTGATCCCCCGTATCAAACCCTCGAGAGCCGGCCTCGTTCAACTCCCAACTCATACAATATCACCCAGCAAGCAACCCAGTGACAGAGAGTCATTGACGTGCGTCGCCAAAATCTTTGGTTCAAGATGCACCCCCTCTCAGCCCTCCTGATCCTCTTCGCCTCCTCGGCCGCCGCCCTCCCAGCGACGCCAGCAACACCAACAAGCCCACCACCTACCTGCACAGGCTCGCCCAACTCACCCGGCTCGCCGCAACAACCACCACCGGAGCCCTTTCTGCCAACCGTGGCCCCGCCCCAACAGACATCGCGGAAACAGACCCAACCCCGACCCCAATCTACTCGACCATCACCCCCAAAGCCCCCTCAAACTCCTCGTCCTTAGCCACAAATTCCACCGCACCCTGCGCCTCCCGCAGACCCCTCCGCCTAGGCCCAGCCCGGCTCCACCGCAAACCTCAGGACTCCATCTCGACCGGCACCCTCACACAAACCTCTACCTCCACCTCACTCGCCGTCCCCGCCGTCGCAATCGCAGTCGCCGCCGCGGCCGAAACCCCCACAGACTCCGGGCCCCGAGATTACGCCTCCCTCATCCCGCCCGCCCCCGGCGTCACTCCGCGCCCGGAGCCGAACCTCGCCGACATGGGATATTACCAAACGACCTATTACTCCTGCGTGACGCAGGAGGCCTCGGTCCACTGCGGCTGGCACAGGCCCATCATGGTCGCGCCGGCCTACAACGCCGCGGGATCCTCCTCCGTGGGCCGCGGCGCGAGGGTATGGATGCTTGTCGCCGGTGTCGTAGGCGTTCTCGTGGCGGGTTGAGACGAGGACCAGCATATCTCGGTTGGATGATGAGTCTCGGCGGAACGGGTCTGGAGCCGAGCGCGGCTGTTGGGCAAGAGATAATGACACCTCGCAACCGGCGTCCGGCCAACGCTGCTGGCGTGACTAGCGCGGCTCCCAACGCACGCCTCGCGGTGCCGCTGGAAGAGCCGTGGCGCGCACCAGTTGGTGTTGGCAGCGTCCTTGAGATTTTTCTCGCGTGGCTGACAGAGGGGGCTAAAGCGGCGAACCCCCCTCCCCTGATGATTGATGACATGACGGATCGCCCAGCTGGCTGGGCAAGAAACGGCACAATGATGTGACAAAATAGAATGTTTCCATGTGTCTCACGGCGACGTTATAAATAAGACCATGCTCTTTCTTCCACAAGAACAGAGGGAGGCAGGGGTTTCATACAATTTCTTGTACATCATTCCAATACAATTTGTAAGAGATAAAAAGGGGGTGAGGAAGATAAACACTACCTGCCTTTTTGGCCCCGCCCCAAACCAAGTTCTTTTCTTTTCGCCTTCTAAGAGCTTCGGGTATTTCAGAACGACAACACGGAATAGAACCAGAGAAACGGGAAAATGTAGAACGAAGAAAAACACGCAGAAAAAGCCTAGTAGCCCAGTGAAAACATATGGTGGATGTGAGGAAGGCCGCTCCTTCCTTTGCCTTTCATGCCGCTCCTCTCCCTTTCCCCCTTTCCGTCTTCTCTCCGTATCAGCGTAGTTAAAAACGGTACATGAAGAGTTTTGTTTCAAAGAGAAAAAATAAAGCCACAACAAGTAGGTTGGCGAAAGAGCCGTTGCTGCCATGTATTAGGTGTGAAGAACCAACAGTCTCTCAGGGTGACTCTCGGCAGCGCGCTCTTGCGGAGGCATCTTTGCCTGCGTCCATCGTCCGGGCCACGACGGGTTCTCGTATGGTAATAAGGGGGGTTCTATGACCCCGACGAGCTCGGTTCGGGGACGGTCGATGCCTCAGTATGCAACCTGGAGTAGCATACGTATCGGGAATGGTGAGATTGTGTCGAGTGAGCGGGTGGGTAATTGGGCAGGTTCGGTCGGTGAGTCGTAGAGGATCGGGATGTCGATGATGAGGCATGTCGGTCGTCTCGTCGTTTACTTCTTGGCCGGGGCGGGGGGTGCCTTGACGTTGTTGGACAGCCAAGCCAGGCCCTCGAGCAGGCCCTCGCCCGTCGTCGCGCAACTGGGCACGACGTACCAAACCTTGTCTTTTAACTTGGAAAGCGAGAGGGCCTCGGTGACTTCTTGTGGCTTCATGGCTGTGATGGTCATGTGCGTTAGTGACTTGCGTGTCGGACGAAACACCGCAGCCATGGCAGCTGTGACTGTTCGGCTCCGTAGAGGGGGCTGTTGTCAAACTTACCGCCGTTGATATCCTGCTTGTTCGCAAACACCAGCAGCAGACTGTCCTTCATCTCGCGATCGTTGATGATCCTGTGCAGTTCCGACTTGGCCTCCTCGATTCTTGCGCGATCCGACGAATCAATGACGAAGATCAAACCCTGGGTTCCTGCGTGAGGGGAATGCCTCGTCAGCGCAATTGTTCAGATGAAAGGATGGAGCATTCTCTCGGGTAAGGCGAAGGGAGAGGGGGGGGGAGAGGGAGGCGGGTAGGCAAAGACTCACCGCTAAAGTAATGTCTCCAGAGGGGACGGATCTTGTCCTGGCCACCGACGTCCCAGACGTTGAACTTGACGTTCTTGTAGGTGACCGTCTCGACGTTGAAGCCGACGGTGGGGATGGTGGTGACGTCCTGGCCGAGCTTGAGTTTGTACAGGATGGTGGTCTTGCCGGCGGCGTCGAGACCCAGCATCAGCAGGCGCATCTCCTTTGATCCGAAGATCTTGCCCATCATCTTGGACAGTTGACCACCCATTGTGACTTCCGGGGGTGTGTAATGTGTTTAGAAGGTAGACGTCGAAAGGTATCGAGAACCGGGAATGGGCGGCTGGCGTGATGCGGTGTCGGGATTAAAGGAGATGTCGCAACGTAAGATGGATCGCTCCCTCTCGTATCTGGTATTAAATGCGGTGACGGCAGCGTTCGGGCGGATGTCGCGCGTAATTGAATCGCAAGACGCGTGGTCGTCGGGGTGGGAAGGTTCGAGTTTGGGCGGGAGAGTTGGGTTGGAGAAGAGAGAAGGTGTGTGTTGTGGTTTAAGGAGCTATCGCGGGAAGGGGAGGGGAAAAAAAAGAGGGAAGCAACTTTGCGATTTGTTTGCTGGTGCGTCCAGTGGCTGTCGAGGATCGGAGGTTGGGGGTCGAATGGAGTTGGGCTCTACCTCGCTCGGGCGTGGGACCTGGCGGGCGATTGGTCTTTGAGAGGGAACTGGAACGGGGAATTGGGACTTGGACTAGGAACTGGGACGTGGACCGAGACGTGTGTTGGATGGACATGGGCTTGGGGGGAAGAGAGACGCCAAGAGAGTATCAAAACGGGCCAATTGACAGCTATCTTTGGGGCGAGATTAATGCTAGCCGTCTTCCGAAACAATGCTCAGTACTTGAACTACGACTGCGTGGTGAGCAGTGACATGTGTGAGGTAGAAACGCCGTGCTCGTCTAGAGCTGCCGTTCAGGAATGAGGAACTGCGGCTTGGCTCCTCATGCGTTTCAACGTTTGCTGGAAGGGGGCCTCCTCCCACTCCAGTCGTCGGTCAGGCGAGCGCTCGTAATTCTCAATGGGTCACGGTTACATCCATCATCAGATGCCTTGCCTCGGTCTCCCTCTCGCTCTTTTTCTCCGGGCCCCAGTTCCAATCCAACCGCAATCACAAAGATGGAAATATTGAATATGAGACGATGCGAGGCATATGCACGGTGACAGGAACGACAGCTGCACTGCAGCGCAGCCCGCATTGTTCGGGTCCCATGTTCTTTGTCAAATATTCTTTAATCGTCATGGGACCTTTCCTTCCCTCCCCGTCGCCGTGTTCCTCCCCCCCCCCCCCCCCCCCCTTCTTCCACGTCCCCTTGGCTGCGCTTGCCCATCTGTCCAACTTGGCTCGGAGATTCAGCTCGGGTACGTACCGAAAACCACTTCCACACCGGTACCTCTCCATTCCAGACGGGGAAGAGGAAACTGCACCAGACCAATGGGCTACTCCGTGTACCTTTTTGGAGGTGGATCCCGGCCATCAAGGGGTCCTGTTCTCTTTCAGGAATAGCTTCATCGGCTGTGCTGTGTTTGTCTCTCTCCAGCGGCGCTGCCCGTTTTTCTGATTGCTCTCCCAATCTCGCATTTGCGCATCTCCTCATCAATCTCTCCTCTAGCTTTTGCGCCGTTACGACTCGTCAACCCTAAGTCGAGCCGCCTCCATCACTTTCCCACGCACCTCGGTCTTAGCGGCCTATCCCCCTGAACCCCCGAAAGGTACTTGCTGTTATGGCCGCTCCCCTGGCCAATGGGCATATGTAGCGACCTGCAGGTACACAACCGTCGCGACATTCCACCAATGCACGTGCCATGCCGGAGTCAGGGGCGTAATTTGACTTTGTGCAAGCCAACATCTCGTGAGAGTTTGATTGCAGAGTCGCCATGTCCGCGTATGGCCCGTATATTTGCACAGGAACAAAGACACACCAGAGCCATAGTGCCAGAACTCGATGGGAGGTCGGGAAACACGCGACACCAAAATTGCATGCCCGTGCTGTGGCCATTTCAGATGCTGCCATGGTTACCGCTATTCGCCAACCCTTGCGTCATAATACTCGTGTTAAAACTCCGTTTCGACCCGCCGCGTCATGTCCCCTTTTTGTTTCTTTAATGAGGCTTAACGATATGAGATCCCATGTCCGGGCCGTTGATCCCTCGGCCAATACGCCGCACCCAACTCAATACTTTAAGCGAACGCCCGCTGATGGCTCTCGTTAACACAATCCAAACCCATCCGGTTCCTTTTTTGGGTCTCGCGACCCATGGGACCCGGGGCCGTAGGCCATCTAAGGCCGGAATTCCAGTACGTAGCGACGTTCCACCTGATGCGTAGTCGAGGAGTCGTTCTCGCCGTGGAACTTGAGATTGACCGTCTTGCCGTCCGGCTCCGTGCCGACAACATCTGCCGCGTAAAACGCCGTTGTCTGTGGGTACAGGCCGAGCACCATCTTGCCAGCCTCCAGCTTTGCGAGATTATGCGTCTGGTTCTCTGGCGGGATTGGTATCATGCCGGACGCAAACGTCTTGTACTCCTTCGGCTTGACGTTGTCCTCGGGCTCCACGTCCAGACACTTGTACCGTCGGCTCTTGCCTTCGCCCATAACGCCCACAACCTCTCCTAGTATCCAATCATAAGGTGCCTCGCCCTGCTGCGGCTCGTCCTTCTTCCGCTTGAACGCAACCTTGTCGCCCTTGGAAAACGACACCTTGCTGCGAGCTGCTGATGCAGCGCTCGATCCCAGAGCGCCCGAGGACGATCCCGCCGTGTTGGAGCCTGTGGATCCCTGCGGCTCAACACTATCTGCCTTGGGCGGCATGCTGTCGCGGTTGCTGCCCCTGTCACCAAACTTGCGCGAATTGCCGCCAATGGGGCTTGGCACGGGAGAGTCACCGGCACCGTCGAAATCGTATAAGGCCGCCGCAGCGGCATCTCGGTTGCGCGTCGAACTGCCAGTCCGTGATGATGTGCTGGTCGTTGCAGGAGCCTCAGCAGCCTCCTTGGCTTGCTGCACGGCCTTGAGGATCTTGAGCTGTTCGATGAGGTTCTTGATGTTGTTCGAGTTGTTCTCAGACAGCTTGACTCCCGAACGGCAGTTCTGCTCCATCTTGTTAAGATCTGCGCCAGAAGGCTTGCCGCCGTCCATGCTCGCAATGGCTGCCTTCTTGTCGAGCTTCAACAGCTCGGCCAGGTTGTCGTTTTCTTGATTGACGCCGCCAACGATCTCGTGAAACTTTTCTTTGGCGGACTCCCATAGCTGCACCTCCTCGCCGTGGCCGCTGCCATTATTACGATTCGAGCCTCGGCCGCTGCGGTTTCGTTGAGACATTTTGACCTGGAGTGAGCCCGAAGGGCTAGGCTGGGTGCTTGGCAAGTCGCGTTTCTTCTAGACAGACTTTTCGGGGGCACCCAAGCCAGGTGACGGTGTCGCAGTGTTTGGTTCGGCGGTGGTGAGCTTTCTCTTGCGACCACCGAGAAGCGGCTTGTTAGCCTCGGGCGTCGGTTTCTGTGGCATGTTTACGTCAGCCTCGGATCGCGTAATTTCTCATTCGACGTTCAGATAGGATGGTTGATGTCGAGAAGAAGATATCGAACCATTAGGATATTGAATTGAGGTATTATAAGTGTAGCCCGGAGCTACTTACAGGAAAGGGAAGGAGCGATGTCCAGTTGGGTCTTGCTTCGCCAGCTGTCGCAGGCCAAACCAGGATGCGTTGGACAGACAGAGCAGCTTGTCTTACGCTCTAATGCTGTTGGGTATCTCTGTGCGCAAAGATGCTAAGAAAGAAAAGGAAGAGCAGGGTAGCAAGGTCTTAGTCCATGATGAGGTCATAAAGGGCCAGCGATTAAGCTTCGAAGTTGACAAGTTCGCGGGGGACCATGGTACGTAGAGGCACTCTCGTGGTGGATGGGATGCAGGTGGCAGAATACAGGCGGTATCGGGTCAAGTCAAGAGCGGTGGGAGCTTCATTGGCCCATTAACGCGACAGTTACGGCCGCGTATTGCCGAAGTGGAACCGAGGGAGCCTGCAAGTACCTCACTAAACCAATCATGTCTCGGGAGCACACCTTCCGCAGAGCGGCCCGACCACTTGGCCGGGGCCCGTGCCTAGACCATTATTTGGAGGGGTCTGGAGCACCAGGCCAGGCCACTGTTAGCTCCAGTTTGCGGGGTCCCCCCAAGTGAAGCTTTCCCTGACGTCAAATTCAATGGTGGGGTGAGCATACACACTCTCCAACTTTAATAGTACGACACCACTGCTGTCGTCGCAACTTTGTTTCTTCAGTCTTTCCCTTTATTTTCCTTCGTCTCTTTGAGATTTTACTAGCTCTACACAAACAGTATGGTTCTGCAAGTCCCTCTGTTCAAGCTCCAGTGCGGGGTGAACTCGTATGAATGGGGCAAGAAGGGTGAGGAATCAGCAGCTGCGCGCTTTGCTGCCACGACGCCAGCTGAGGGCTTCAGCATCGAGTCGGAGAAGCCATACGCAGAGGTGTGCTCCTGGATCTCTCCCCTTCTCTTTTATTACTGTTCCATGATAGGTACTAACACCGCCAGCTCTGGATGGGCACCCACCCCTCCAACCCTTCCAAAGACGTTCAGTCCGGCCGAACCCTCCTCGAACTTGTTCAGGACAACCAACAACTCCTATCTCCTCCGGTGGCCTCCAAATACGGCTCCAAGCTTCCATTCCTCTTCAAGGTTCTCTCCATCAACAAGGCCCTCTCCATCCAGGCCCACCCCAACAAGAAGCTCGCCGAGCAGCTCCACGCCCGCGACCCCAAGAACTACCCCGATGACAACCACAAGCCCGAGATGGCCATTGCCATTACCCCTTTCGAGGGCCTTTGCGGCTTCCGCCCACTCGCCGAAATCTCCCACTTTCTGACCACCGTCCCGCCCCTGAAGAGCCTGGTCGTTGATGACAAGGCTGACGAGTTCATCAGCACGATCAAGGGAGAGGAGGAGAGCGAAGACCCCGAGACCAAGGACCGAAACAAGAAGACGCTCCAGCACGCGTTCGCTTCTCTGCTTTCCGCCACGCCGGAAGAGATTGAGAAGCAGACGGAGAAGCTCGTCGCCCTCGCCAAATCAGAAGGCAGCAACTTCGCCAGTGGTGGCATCAGCACAACCGACGGCGAAACCCTCTCGGAGCTCATCATCCGTCTCCACAGCTCCTTTGGCGCAGACATTGGCCTGTTCGTCATGTTCTTCCTCAACTTCGTCAAGATGGAGCCCGGCGAGGCCATGTTTCTCCGCGCCGATGACATCCATGCTTACCTTTCGGGTGACATCATCGAGTGCATGGCCGCCTCGGACAATGTCGTCCGCGCCGGCTTTACACCCAAGTTCAAGGATGTGCCTACCCTCGTTGACATGCTCACCTATAACTATGCCCCTATTGATGAGCAGAAGATGTCTCCCTCCGAGTACCCCTACGCTACCCTCAACCGCGCCGCCTACAGCTCTGGTTCTGCCGTCATCCTATATGACCCACCCATCGAGGAGTTCAGCGTCGTCCGGTCGCTACTGAATGGACACGGCTCCAAGGCCACTTTCGAACCGCTCGAGGGCCCCAGCATCATCATCTGCACCTCAGGCAAGGGAACCATAGCGGTTGGTCCGACGGTGCAAAAGATCAGCGAGGGGAACGTCTTCTTCGTCGGTTCCACGGCCGAGTTAGTGCTGCAGTCCGAGGGCGATGAGGATGACGAGTTTGTCACGTTCAGGGCGTTTTGCGAGGTCGACGAAAAGGCGGAGGGGAAGTTGTAAAGAGCACATAAGATGCCACGTACACACGCACACATCAACGTCGTTTACGGATGAGACGTGGAAGTAGTTCATACCCAGTATTTTTAATCATGCAACCATGAAGGAAAAAGGTTCCAAGAGACACGATTTTACTTTGGCTTGGGCATCTGCTCTACGTGCACAAAACCTAGCCCGATTTCGACCAGTCTATCAGATGTATCGTCCTTATATCATGGTCCAAACAGTGATGACTTTCATCACCTTGAATCAACTTGACTAAGCTTGTAGCTGCGAATTGTGGAAAGATGACTATTAAAACCAATCTGATGGACAATAAAAGCTACCCAGCTCCGTCGTGTGAGAGAAGCGAAGCAGAACTCGATGATGCTCCCTGATTACCGTGATATTCAGCATCTCCTTTAAGGCTCATGTCCCACCATATCTCGTCCATTCTGACCCGACCATGACCTTGTTTGTTTCAATTTCATATGAAAAGAAGTTGATGAATCCCCATAACTCACGCCAGTTTTTATGTATCACCGTATTCCGAGAACCACTCCGTTCCTTTGGTTACCAGATCATCCCGCAGTCTAGGGAAAATCTACCCAGTCCACAAAGCCTTCCCATGGCTGTTATCCCATCTGTCCACAGCCCATTAGACTTACCCCCATAAGCATCCCCAAACAAGAAGCTATGAAACCTAAAAGACAAGCGAACTGATGCAGATGCAACCCAGCGAAAAGAATGGAAGCAACAAAAAGAGACTCGAAGATGACAGTAGTGCGTAAGGCACAGGCACAAGCACGACTGCGCCGACAGAACAGCATTTGGGGGGTACGACATGCAATGTCCTGCGTGTAGAACAGCCGGAGGCCTAAGGAAACGTGGCGAAGAAGACAACAAGATGGCAGAAAAGAAAGGAACTAACAACTAGTACTTTTTTGTTTCGGGTCACACCCAATCAACCTACTCTTGCTTCCTGGTTCCCGCGCAAGACCCAATGCTTTGATGAGAGGATGTGAAAAACGGAGTAACTGCGAAAATGAACGCGATTGGCGAGGAAACGACGTCGCATTTTGAGTCCGACCAAGAATAAAAAAGGCAATAAAGGAAAGACGCGAATGGAAAAGAATGACCAGGGTTGTTGTTGTGTGTGTGTGTGTGTGTGTGTGTGTGTGTGTGTGCGGGAGGTGGGGGGTTCGGCATAGAGATGAAAGAATGGATGGATGATCCTGTACCATCTGCACCCTCGAGGCACATCGGATTCACGGAGACCCCCTCTTTCCCTATAATGATCAAACAAAAGCCATTCGGAGGAGATGTTGGGATTCCGGGAACAAGAAAGGAGGGGCCAAAGTTGGGCGGTAACCGTCGATTGTTCGTCGACATTGGATTTGAAGCGAGAGGGATGGTGGGAGGGGGCCAGACGAGATTGGTCGGGTATCCCCTGGAGCGGTTGTCCATGTCGGGTAGCCGCATGATGCCGCCAGAGTATAGTCCGATTTGGGCTGTTGAACACCATCGCCCCATGTTCTCTCCCGGGATAGAGACTATGCAAACACATCCCCTGGTGCCGTTGACCGATGACAAGCCACATTGGCAGAAGAGCCCAATAGACAGTCTAGCCTTGTTGTTGAGGGGCAGAGACAAGATGTCAGAACCCTTGCATTCAACTCCTATTACCGAACACCTATAATACCTTCGGCAACGGATGTATGCTGTCGTTTTGATGGTCTGAGAAGTGCATACTGGGCCGCAGACGCACAGTACGCATCCTCCACTTCTTGCCGGGCGCCCCCAATCCGGTCTCTGGACCTGGCTTTGGTCTCATGCCAAGGCAAGCCACCTCGCTTCCTGGCAACGGGCCTTGCGTTCTGTTTCGGCGACGTACGGACATGTACGAAGTGTGGCGCCTTTTGTTTTGACGGTGTACGAAACGATCCAGGAGCGAGGAAAGAACGTGGCGCCTTCAAAGACATGCTGCAGGTTGTCATCTTAGAGATGTGGTTGAGTTTCGAGTTGATGACCTCGTACGAGAGCCCTATGGTCAAAAGTCACCGACGACCAGGGGACTCGAGAACAGTCCTTGAGGCTTCAGTATGGCTGACGCCACAAGATACCAAAATAGAGTTGTAGGATGTCGATCCTGGGGTTTGGAATTTTGGAACGAAATAGTTGGCCGCCTGCGAGCATGACTGCCGGGGTGATTTTGTAAAAAGCGCCACCTAGGTCAAGCCCGTAGTCTTCCCATGGAGGGTCGGATGCAGCCTCCCTTTTTGTTATCTCTTCCTTCCAGATGCCGGAAAAATGCGTGAATGGGTACTATGTGCTGGGGTGGCCAAAAGAAAAGGAAGAAAAAAAAGAGAGGATCGTAGAAACAGATGATACCAAAGAAACCCGGGAACAGTGTTGGAGCAAGCGGTGCTGCCAAGATGGAAAGTGGTTCCCCTATTCCTCGCCGGCACACTACAGGGTAATACCATCCGGGTGGATGGCCCCTACGAAGCAGACAAGCCGCCCGCGGATCTTCGGTTTGCGTAGTGCTCAGCCGAAACGTCCTCAGATATCATGTACTGCGACACGTGATGCCGTCCATGGCCTGCTACAGAGCCATACATACCTGCAGAGGGAGTCGTGACTGTGTACTGCTGGCCATTGGATAGCGAGCCGCCCGAGCTCGAGGTCTCGCCGCTTCCGCGGCGGCCCACCGAGGACGTCGCAGAGGATCCATCGGTGTATTTGTAGCTCAGCTCGGACGCGGAGCCGTGCGTACGGAGGCTCGTCTCCGAGGCGCTGAAGATGGAGTCCCCGCTGCTGGCAGACGAAGGCGGGTAACCTGTCATATCCGCCACGTTTGAGAGGCGGTGGTGTGACATCGAGGGGAGAGTGTGCACAGGCGGCGGGTATGCCGTCACAGGGGAAGAATCGTAACTTCCCGAGCCGGCTGTCGAGGTGCTGTAGCCCGTGGTCACCTCGGAAACGGCGCTCGTGGGAGATGTTTGCGATATGGGGCTGCCGGAGGACTTTGTAGACGATGAAGCGGCGTAGGAGGGCGCCGAGACGCCGCCTTCTGTGCGATAGGCGAGGACGCTGGTGTTGGGAAGACGGGATGCTGGGTTCGGGAGCATTCGGTCGCCGCCGGCCTGCGGAAGGGATGCCGCAACGTTGGAGAGGGAGAAGTTCGATCCCTCGCTCTGCACCGCCGACACTGCAGGTCGATGCACCAAGGACGCACCGCTACTGCCGTAACTGTACCCCGTTGTGGCATCTGCGTTGACGTACATGTCTCCGCTGCTCGGGACGGCCGCTTTTGCCGTCATGCGATAGTAGTAGCCCGGGTCATGGCTCTGGTAGGGGTATGAGTAGCCCATAGTGGCTGCGCTGTAGTCCACGCTGCTGGTGCCGTCGTCTGAGTAGCCGGGAGTGGAGGACCAGCTCGACATGGTCGCAGCGGCAGGGTAGTACTTTCCTCCACCTCCGTAAGACGAGTAGCCTGTCGAAGTCGGAGGATAGCGGGTGAGGCTGTCGTGCATGTCGGAGGCGTAGTGCGGCGGGGAGGCGGTAAGGGGTGATGCCATGGCCTGCTGGGCTTGGTATGCCCTCGCTGCCTTGAGCTCGTACGCAAACTCTGGAGTCTGGACCCAGGGAGCTTCGGTCGATGCAACCTTGGGCGTTGCATATTAGTCGTCATGATCACAGAAAGGAGGGAGCTGCAGACTTACTCGTAGGAACATGCAGGACTCGGCACCAGCGGCCTTGCAGTTTTGGCACGGAAGTCCATTGCCCGTATCTCCGCTGCAGCGTATCTTGCGCTTCCGACAACGGCCACACTGTCGATATTGTTAGATTTCTACCTTACTTCCCCCGCAGACGATGGCTATGCAAGTTCCCCTTTCGGTGCCTTCAACGGCAACAACTTGTTTCCTCCCTTGGGAGATGGACTCCATTTACACCGAAAGAGACATAATGAACATTGCACCAGGCGTAAATAGAGAAAATGAAACATCAAAGTGATGAAGTCAAAGAGTTCAAGAAGACAAGAAAGCCAAAAGCCAAAAATAACTTACAGCAACGGCAATGCGCTTACGAGGAGGGGTGTCGGTCTCGGGCTCTCGTTCAGTCATGGTCGATGTCCGCGCTTCGGAAGAATGCGAGTGTCGCTGCTGGCGTTCGGGGTAGCTGTAAGTTGGGTCCAGGCGGCTATATCGTCGTCCTTCTGGGTAGTACGCCGGGCTGACCATGGTTCGCAAGTAAAAGACCCCTCGGTTGATTTTGCTCTTGTAGCCAGAGTAAAGGGGTACAGTCAATATCGGTGGACAGACTGGTGTGGGAAGGAGTCGGCGCGCTGTTACAGGAAGCGAGGGGCTGGATCTGGGCTTGGGACTTGAGGCCTGGTGTTTTGAGAAAAGATGTAAGCGCCGCTGCAGATGTTTTGGTGCGAGTCAGATGGGCTGGTCGCCTCGATGCTGATGCTGTCGTGACCAGTGTTTATCTGCCTGTCTCGTTTCAGCACTAAAGGGTCACCCTCCCTTGTCTTTTCTCCCCACACTCGTGACTTGATGTCGTCAAGGGCTGGGGAACGTGGCAGATAGCCTGGAAGTCGGGTTGACAGGAAGCGAAGGTGGTCTGAACAGGATCGGTTTGATGGCCTCCCCACGTCTCCTTGTCATACGTTGATGTTTGAAAGAAAGAGAAAAGAGAACCCGTTTTCCGAGTGCGAGAAGAAGGAAAATCAAGGAAGTCAAGACTTGCTCAATGTTCCACACGAGAAAGGAGGAAGGAAAAGCAAGGGCTGTTGGTGGAAGAGAAGATTGAAGGACAGAAAAGATGAAGAAGCAGCTGCAGCCGGCGCACTGTTATACTATCACAATTCTGGACTCCCGCCTCCAAATCAATCCGTGCAGAGAGATAGATCGCCGCCATCTGTGTGTGTGTTTGCACATCTTCTTTCATTTGCTCCCAGATGTCACCCCCTCCCACTCCATCAAGATCTGGTTTTGGCCTATCTTTCTGATTCCTCCACTTTAGAGAGAGCGAGAGAGAGAGAGAGAGAGAGAGAGAGCAACGAACGACCAGGCTCTGGAAATTACGACACCACACGTTTCCACACTCCCCTCCTTCGATGTATGCGCGCCCCCCCCTCCCCCATGAAAGCTTGAGGGCACAATACACAACATGTGTCATGGAACCGGCGAGAGAGAGGTTGCTGCAACCATTGGGAGGCCCCTTGCAAGTAGAAAGCACAGGCCCGAACAGACCAAAATACAAAGCTAGAGGGAAGCCAGCAGACGTTCAGACATGGTGCAAGATGTGGCGTAGAACCTCTCAACTGGCAAAGACCAATGTGTGCTGTATCATGTCGCACCGGGGCGGGAACGTGCAGCAGGACAGGCGTAGGAGGTCCTCACTTCGGCTCTGGTAGTGACAAACACGCATGGCTGTGGCTATGGGCGGGTGGGAGTAGTGGAAGAGCCAGACTCCGTTGCCCCTTGTTGTTCTTATTTTTTTTTCTCTTCTTCTTTCTGCAGCTTTCATCGGACATGTACTGTAGATTTGGGGAAGCGACTGGGGTGGAATTTGGGGGAGACAAGAGCAAACAGAGGAGGGGGAGGGGTCCAGGGCCGAGCTGGCAGGCCGCAACGGCGGAGGAGACGGCTGAGAAGAGCAGGGGTCCTGGCAGATCTGTAGGGCCCAGTGGGCGGTGGGCGATCTGAATCTTGGGAAGGGCGTATCGTGGGATGTTGTGAGAACGAGGGATCTGGGGTTGTGGGCCAATCTGGGCCCAGGAATCTCGCTTCTGCAGCTCTCGGGAACAATCTGGGAGGGAACTAGAGGTGGGTGGGTGAACGGTCTGAGACCTGTTCCTGGGTCTGCTTATTTCTCAAGACCTCCTCGTCCCAGACCCTGACTTGGATCTGTAGGCGGGACGCAAGTCGACATGCCGTCTGTTTCCATAGCAGAAGAAAGACTATGACGTTGCCTTGAAAACAGCCACCATCATAAGAAACTACACCGGCAAGGTGTAATTGCTGCCTCTCGGGGACGAGACAACAACCATAATACCGAGAACGTGCCAGGCGGGGTGAACCTCGCTTTCCTCGTAGGTATACCCCCGCACGCTTCTATCGCTAAAGAACTGCCAAGCTGTTGTTGTAGACGGGACTGCTGTAGTCGCTCGGTGGATGTCGTCCAATGACAAAGACGAACAGTGCATTTGGACGATATGGCTTCCATTATGAAGACGTACATGTATCATGGGAGCTCAGCCTGCTTGCCACCTGCCAGTCTTTCTTTAGATTTCTTCCTCAGCCACTTTCACAGGTCCAGTGCTCAACATTCGTTGATTACAACCAGTTGTAGAATACGGGAAGGGTACACAAAAAAGGAGGCGTCTGTTTTAAGAATAAGGGCATTTCTCGAATGGGAAAGGTTTCCATCTTCCAAATGATCTCAAAGTCCACCACGCGGCAAACAGTCGCCCAGCATCGTCTGGCAAAACGGCCAACTCGGTCCCACTTGGAGGGGAAGGGGAAAGAGACAAACCATGGCACTCGATTGTCCGACCTTGCCATGGTACATTGACTGAAGCAGGGCCATCTTTCGCCGCCCTGATTGATGTGTGGTTGGGTGGGCAAGTCGCACTTTTCCCCCGGTCCATGTACACCTGAGCAGCATCTAGAACCCAAGAGGGTACCGCAACGCGACAGATACGCTTGTGTGGGTGTCGCTGTTCCTGTGTTACCCTGCCGAAGCGGCCCCCTTTGCAGCACACAACGCAAGGTGAAGACAGAATCGACTTGGGCAATGTTCATCGACTACCCCCCATCCAACAAACGAAAGACTCGTGAGGGCAATCAAACGTTTGGCGTACTTCCGCGCTCCCTCGCCGGTCAAACTGCCGGCGCCAATCTCTGAAGAAAAGGACAGAAAAGAAAAGAAGAATCTTCATGAAAAAGCAGGCAAGAGGGAAAAAAGAAAAAGCAAATCTTGGACCGTTGTTTCTATTGCTGCTGGCGGTGCGTGCTTGCCTGCGTGCGGCTTCGTTCGCCAAACATTCCCACGACCGGCCAAGGGCAAGGTTACTGTAAGAAATGAGCATCTTGGACGCGAGTGGTGTGTGCGGTGGTAGCCATTGTTGAAAATGCCCGCCCTCTGCATCGACAGCAAACCTCACCCTGCATCTGCCAGGCCGCCGGCAGCGGCAGCTTCCGCGAAGATCCCTCCCTCTGTCGAACAAACCGACCACAGCTGGCAAAAGAGACCCCATGCAAAAAGACGGTGGCGGTATACCTGTCGGACTTTTCCCCGGGATCCCCTCTACCTCCGAGATGGCGACGGCGGCAGCACTTTGTTTGCTCGAGCTTATGTACTGACTGTTGGGCAATCGGGCTGCGTGGATGGGCCGCTATGGACGGCCGCCGGACCCTCGTCAGATGCCCGCGAGGCATCCAATTCGGAGCTGTCCAGAACGAGAGCTGCCAAACGAGCCATCTGCGTTGCACCGCTTTCCTCCTCCTGGCCAGACCCGTCGTGCAGCTTTCCTGAGCCTCGTTCTCCACGCTGTTCTTCGAGGCCATATCTGAAAAGTTCTTTTCCATCTGCCCTGCACTTCGATGGACCATAACTGAGCGACTGGGATTTGGTGGTTTCTTCGATGTTGCAAATCCTAACCGGAGCTGGCCTCCTTTGGGGAAAAGACGGCATGACGCACTTCGACACGCGGTACACGAGTTTGAGCAACGACGACTGCGGTACCCAGAAATAGCAAACGGGCGGCTGAGGCACGGAGCGATGTGGTATGTGTATGTGTATATGTGTATATGTGCCTGTATGCATGGTATATGTAAGGCAATGTGTGTGTGTGTGTGTGTGTGTGTGTGGCTCCCTCCCGCTTCTGCGTCGCCGTCGTGGTTTCGCCCATGGGCGCGCGGCACGGGTCGCTATGCATGCCCGTTGACGTTGGCCGGCCAGGTTTCTGCTCCTCCAAAATTGCAAAATGCAAATGCACCTTCCGGCCTGTTTCCGCGAAGGGGCACCCCACATTGGGGCGGTCAGCATCTCGACGTTGGCGGCGATGGTGATGGGATGAGAGATGAGAGGAGACTGAATGCAATGCTACGTCGTCCGATATCTCCGTGCATTTGAATCAGGGGTAGATACCATGCATGAGCTTAAGTATGTCACTCGGGTGGCTGTGGCGTCGTCTTGAGCAGCTGGCCCTCCTTCAGCCTTCAAGAACCGACTTTATCTCGTCCGGAACTATATCGCTCATGCTTGAAGCCGGCGGGATCCTGTTGGCCATTGCTATCCTAACGCCCGTAACGACGCGTTTCCTTGAGGTCACTTCGATCCGTGTGAGAGCTTCTTCTCTTTCCCATACCACCAATGTCTAATGTCAAGGTTAGACTGGAGCCGCGAAGCACAAATTGCCGCCGCGCCGTGCGGGTAGTCCATCGTCTCGTGTGGTTCAATGCAGTCGACGACGCGCAAGGTCTCGAACCCCAGACTCGTGCTCGACATGTACTTTTTGCTAGACACTTCTTCAGCAGCGCGCAGTGGCTGAGACATTTCCTCGCCTCGTCCACGGTTATCTGAACCAAGCAGGTCTTACGAAAACCTGGATCTTCATGAAGAAAAACTTGCGCCGCAATACTAAGACAACGTCGAATCTCGCTGAAATTCAAAGGGGCAGCTCGTATCGAGAGTCGGCTGAGGAATCGTTGGCGGTGTAGCACAGCATCAGCACTGATATCATGCACGAAAGGACAGCCCACCGAGGTGAAGACGTCTTGACGGCGATCAGGCTTCTATGATGTAGACGCCGGTCGTTTTGCCTCCTGTTCGGTCATTTCCTGTGCGCGCCTGTTTTCCGAACGGGAAGAAGACAGGATAGCGCACATGGCTCGACGGCTTCGTTGACAACGGAAGATTTTTGCAGCCATCCTCGGGGTGCTGCATGTACCTTTTTTGGCTGCCAGTCATAGGCAGAGCCGGTGTCTCCATGCGGGTAGCCGTTGCCACAAGATACAACCGTAAGCGAATGGATCGGGCTTCCAGGGACACAATGTCATCTGACAAGCCATACTAGGGCGGCCACGGCCGGAGCAGCTTCAGGCAGCTCGAAGTAGGTTGCCAGGAAAGAAGCGGGCGCCAGGCCAGGCACCAAAGGAGGCGAAGGAGGCGCAAGAGACGAGCCGACCTGGCTGCCCCCACTGAACAAGTTGGGCGATGAGGAACTTCATGTCAAGGTCCAGGACTTGGGCTTTGAGCCTTCTGAGTTTGTCTCGGTACTAGGTCTCCATGTGCTGTGCCAACGAAGATGCCGTGGTTTGGCTCGAACAGATGCTGCACTGGGAGACAATCGGCGTCCTCCGTCTTGAGTCTAGCATCATCGCCCGGCCACCGAGGCCGAGAGAGTAACACAACGGGCGTGCATTGGTCTTGATGTCTCCCACTGAGGAAAACCCGCTCCGTTACACGGATTGAAGACGTAATACCTGCTGGCCAGAGATGAATGCAGCGGCCATGCAGAGACTTGACACGCTGTCACTCCCGTGACTCTGTACAACATTAGCAGCCTATGTTAGAAGACACCTGGTGGGTTTGCGAGGCCTGCTTTGGAAGCCAGCTTGCAAACCGCCTCAACGAAGTTGCAGGTGGCAGCAAGGACGGAATAACGATAACAGATCATGAGTCCTCATCTTCGTCCCGAAAGCAGCCTGGGCCCCCACAGAAATCCATGTGGCAAAGCTGAATGATGAGAACGGGGTTGTGCTGGAGATGGACCTGACAGGCCAAAATCGTTGTTGCACAATGCTGGGTATGCACGAGGCGGCTGCGGACTTCGTTAGATGGTTTGCTCCATGGTCCTTGGTCCGTCTAGATGTCGCCAAGAAAGCAACCCCGGAAACACAGGAATCACCTTGAAGATATGACAACTGACAGATGACGGATTCATCAAACGGCAGCGGGCTGATGTGGCCTTCCTTGGCGACACCACGAGGTGCAGCGTCCCCAGTGCCGGGGGCATTCGGAAGGACGCATACCTGCATAGCTCTTGCAAGTGGAAAGGCCTCAGTACGCATGTTTGCAACGACGAAATAACGAGACAAGTTCTGCATCGAGCAGGTCATTCGCCATGTGCGACGCGACGAGCCACCCCGCAGCTTCATCTATTGTGACTTTCCCCCACCATCCCCCCCCCCACACCCGGACTTCCTAGCCGACGAGAGACGCAACGAGGGACGATGGGCCTGCGTGCAGGCTGCCGTGGCCAGCGCCTCGACAAGTCAACGACATTTCGGTTTGCTCATGAAACACTAGCCTTACGCGGGGGTCAGTGGTGACATTGGCGTCAAAGTTGTGTGTATTTTGTAAGGTCTACATCTGAGATCGACCGCGCTGCTACGAGCTGATCAGCGACGGCTGGGTATACTGGTGTTGTCATGGACGAGGAAGAACGGGAAGCACGGCTTGGGCTGCTGCTATCTTCGTCTCTCCGACTCTCGATCCCTGCCTCGATTCCGATTGTCCCAATCTCTGCGGTCTCTGCGACCCGATTCCCGATCGTCCCGCCGCCGGTCTTGGTGATCGTACCGTCGTCCGGAACCCCGGTCGTCGGATCGATATCGATCTCTCTCTCCCCTGCTGTCCCTGTCCCTGGCCCTTGGACGTCCGGGGCTTCGGCTTCGTCTCCGTTCCCGTTCTGCTCTGGGGCGGTCTTTGTCCCGCTGCTCTCTGTCCTGCTCCGGTTGACGCTCTGGCTCCGAGCGACGATCCTTGGTACGTTGGTGACGGCCCTTCATCTCCTCTTCTCCGTACACGAGGTCGTAGTTGTCTCCATTCCGCTCGTACTCGTCGCGGTATTGTCGCCTCTTCTCGAGCTCGTCGACTCCTCCCCAACCGCCTCTGGAAGCGTGCTTCCTACGCTTCTGATTTGTGTCGTCTCGCCAGACCTGACTCAGCTTGCTCACACTCTGCGAGAAGTCGACGTGGATACGGCGATCGTCGATCAGGACGTCCTGCATCTTGGAATAAGCTGCCTCGCAGGACGCCTTGTCGGCATATTCGATGAAGGCGTACTGAAGACTGTCGCCGGTCTTGGCGTCACGGATCACCTCGCAACTCAGAATCTTGCCGAACCGGCCAAAGATGAGTTCTAAGTCTGCATCTGTCGTGACAGGGTTGAGCTTGCAGACAAAGAGAACGTTCTCGGGCGGAGCGACTTCGGCGAACGGCAGGTCACCCATCATTTCCAGAGTGAGGGCCTGCGCTCGTGCCTCCCTGTCCCTCCGCCGTTTCTCGATAGCCTCTTCGTCCAGATCGTCATCTTCGTGCAGGGCAGCCTCGTCCGCGATACGGACAGTCTCGAGTTGTGACTTGGTCGGAGGCGGCGAAGCACTGGGTTCGCGCAGCTCGGGGGGGTCGGGGTACGGGTCGTCGAGGATGATCGTGTGCTTGATTCGGATGTCGATGAGCGGGTGCCCCTTGTCGTCCACAATTGCCTCGTTGATCTTTTCCAGTACGTCGAAACCCTCAACGACCTTGCCAAATATAGCGGCTTTACCGTCCAGGTAGTCGGTGTCGTCGCCCAGAGTAACAATGAACTGGGACGCTGCCACGCGGGTATCCGGGTCCGAGTCCAACGGCGCCGTGGCCATGCTGACAGTGCCCCGCTCGAGATGCTTCAGCTTCGGGTGGAAGAAGGCTGGGAACATCTTCTTCGAGCCGTCACCCGACAAAAGGCCCCAAATCGACGTGCCTCCATCGGATTCCGTGGACAGTGGTCCTAGGGGATCGCCGGTCTGGAAGGAAAAGTTCTTCTGGACGGAGTGAACCGGCGAGAAGTTGTAGTACTTGACTTTGCAGAGCTTCAAAAAACTGGCGAGCTTTGGGTTAGCTGAGCAAGAGCTGTGATGCGGCGATCGGGCAAGTCGCGACTTACTTTTCGCACAGCTTGGGCGCGTAGTCGACCAAAAGGTCAATCACAATGTCGCCCGAGCTGGTTTCCAAGAGAACCGACATGGCGACGGTCGTGTGTGCCTTGCGTTGGCTCCGGTGGCTGAACGGATGTTCGTCGATATGTTGTCGCAGTCGTCGTCCAGTGGGGTTGTCTTATCCAAACGGAGCTTGCCAGAACTTTTTTTTTCTTAATTTTCGCGCCGCGGATTGATCAACACAGACCAGCCGGTTCAAATGCGATCTGCAGCTCAAAGGTTTCCGCCCGAGACCGAAGACAGGGGGCGCAGGCTAGGCTCGAATGGCCTGGTGGGGTTGGAGTTGCGTGTATGGTCGATGATGTTTGCGGTCAAGGTGTTGTTGGAGCATCAATCCGCAAGGCAACAGCAGAGAGAAGCCTCGTCACATAGTGTCGAGATGGCTATGTACCGTCATTCGCACAGTGGGATCACCGGGCGAATCAGGAGGAAGCAGGAATCTCGGGTGGGTCGACCCAGTTATTTGCATTCGGGAGCTTGGAACTTGTCCGATTGGTATCTTGATGTATTCTAGATTTTATTTCTTATTTCCTTGGTGGTTTTCGGTTCCGAACTGCACGATTCAAGCAATCTCCTCCCTGTAGCTGTAACTCGCCGAAGCGCACGTACACCGTCTTTGCGCGCGTGCAGCATCACGAAGAACACCGGTCATAATCCAACCACTCTCCACATGCCCACGGGGAAAAGCGTCATTGCTTTCATTAGTGCAGAATACTTGAGAGTCGATCAGTGCGAAAGGTGAGAAGTCAAATCAATGTTTGTAATTTGGTGTCGTATCAGTCATTACAAGCTCTGTGTTTGTCTGTGTCTGTGGTATCCTACAACCGCCAAATATACGCCAGAAATAGAAATAGAAAGGTGAGGATAAAAAAGGGTCGGCTGCGGTGTCAAGCCGACCTCGCCAAAGAACATCCAATACCCGACAGGCGAGATGGAAAAATGATCATCGCCTGTATGCACCAGCTTTTCCCAATTCTGATGCAGGCCCCATAGCCATGCCATGCCTTTCTCGGCACATGTCAGAAACCCGCCCCCCTCAACGCCTTTTGATAAGGTAATATCCTGCCAATTAAACGCCGCCAAAAGAAACCCCGTGCAATTAGGTAGGTAAAGTGTCAAATGCTGCGATTCTGTGTCGATCCGTGGGCTTGTGGTAGGTGACGGTGTCTCACGGAGCGCTCTTGCGTCGTCGCTCCGAGCGTAACTCCTTTTCCGTCTCCATCAGGCGGCACTGCACCCACATGCGGAACGAGTTGTCGCCGCGTACTTGGTCGCAGTTGAGGAGCTCCATCAGGGCCCGCTTCATGCCCTCGTTGACGTCGAAGAGGCGCTGTTCCTCCTCGGCCACGGCCCAGATGGTCGTCTCGTCTGCAATCGGTGCAAGCGAGCTGCTGCGGCGAGCCTTCGGGCCCGAGAGCGACGAGCATCGGCTGCGGCTGTGGTGTCTCCGACCACCGGACGAGGCGCTGGGGTACTGCCCGAAGGGCGAGCAGGTGCTGCGGGTCGGGGACACTGAAGGCGACGAGGCAAGCGAGGTGTTACAGGTGGTGATGGGACGGATCTGGTCCAGGTGCTGGCGGAGTTCCTCGTGTTGAGAGTGCAGGACGAGATATTGCTGGAGGGCGAAGTTGGAGGTCTGCTGCTGGGGAGAGACGGGAAGACTAGACGGTGCTGCCATTTTTGCTGACGTTGGTGGATATGGAAATTGTAATGTGCAAGTAATGTGTCTTTGGGCTATTGACGAGCCCATCGGGAATTGATATGGGTTGGAGGAAAGAAGATGGGTTTGTTTGTAGATTAACGATAGAACCAGGTGAAGACGATACTCGAAAGGTGTCGTCGATGAATATGCCCTGGGGAGGTGCTCGTGTAAGGTGAAGTGATGGGCGGCGGGTGGGTTGGATTTGGCCGATGTCGTCAATGTGATGCTGTTTGGCAAATGAATTCGGCACCACAGTGGTTCTCAGCCAAGCGAATATATGCTATGTTGACTCGTTGAATGTTTGGGATGTTTGATTTCTTGTTTTCCTTTTCAAAGGGGAAAAAAAAGGCGCCGATAAGGAGAAGAGACGGTTGGTGAATGTGGCTGGTTGACGAAGAGAGTTGACTCGTGGTTTTGAGCTGATGGTTCGATTACAGAGGAGGTGGTGCCGAGTACTAATACCAAACGAGGTACCAAAGTCTTTGGAGCTCCCGCCCTGTCGATGGCGGCGATCACAGGTGGATCCGGCGTCCTTTGTCTCCTTTCAAATGAACCCCCCGTTGGCGTGCAATAGAGGAGACGCGGGCGGGCGTGCGTTGGAGCTTGCGGGGGTTGCTGGTAAACGGTCTCGAAGCCCCCTCTCAACTGTCGGTAATAAATGCGAAAAAAGAGGAGAAGATGCAGCAGGATAGGAGGGCGTGGCTGTTGTCGGGCAAGTGTTTGGTCAGAGATTGAGGCCCTTCTGGGGAAAAGAGGGTAGGGATGGGGATCAGGTAATATGTAGCTAAGGTGTGCTTGTTGTGTATGCGTGTGTGGTTGGTGAGTGTCTCTGGGTTGTGCAGTTTGCGGTGTGCACGTCCGATGCAGACGAGATGCAGACAGATGCAGGATAACGCAGACCAAGTAGCTCCCCCCGGCAGTCAGTGACTTGTTTTATTAATCGGCCGTTGTGGACGACCCGGAAGTGAAGGGCGGGCTGTGTGAGATGCGAAAAGAGGAGACTCTGATCAAGAAATCGCGTGGTCGCCGCTCTCTGGTCTGAATAATAAGGTATTCCGGGATCTCGACGAGCAAAATAAAATAAAAACAAGGCCAATTCAGGTACGACAATCAAAGCTTGGACGCCCCCCTCGTGGAAATGGGACATTCAATGGCGCCAATTAAACCTGCAAGCCACAGGGCGTCTACCACCGGCCGGGATGCGGTCGACAGTTGGGGGGGTGTGTGTGTGTGTGTGTGTGTGTGTGTGTGTGTGTGAGGGAGGGAGTCCCACTGCTAATCAAGAGACAACGACGGAGTACCCGCGCTGCAGAGCGGAAAACAGGGTACTGGCGGGCTCGGTAGTCAGGAGTAAAAACAAAAAACAAAATGTGCGCCCCGACCTTGGTGTGGAAAGGGGGGATGCAATGGCGCCGACCGACAACCGACTGGAGGTCTGGAAGCTTTTTTCAGAGCCCACGATGGTTTTGATGGAGCGGTTCAGGTTTGTCGTCACAAAGTCAAAGCCCGGCGTACTTTAAACCTTGCTAGGCAAGAGGTGGTGTTGATGGCGGTTGGCGGCGGGAATCCGTCCGTGATGGAGGCAACGTGAGCTATTTGGGGGATCTGTTTGGATTTGTTTGGAGAGGGGGAGAGGGAGGGAAGCCCGGTTCTGGAACAGCACAGACGTGCCTGTTTCTCTTGCTCGACGAATGATTTGTGTGCGTGGTGATGATGAGGGGAGCCCGACTCTACCTAATAATCGCTGTCGATAGCGTAAGACGGGATAGGACGGGGGAAAGGATATGAATGTCTGGGAAATGGGTGTGGAGGGGCTCACTCTCCACAACCCCTGGTTCAATTTAATAGACCCGGTCCAGGCCGGATGGGATGCTAGTGGGAAATACGAAGAAGCGCTGGCTGCGAGTTGCGTGCTCTGCTGCGTCCAAGTCGTAGTGTGTATGTAGACGCGCCCAATGGGTCAGACGGTCCAAAGTTGGATATGGTGGAGGTCGGTTCGCCAGCGGTGGTGCAATAAACCGGTTCGATGTTGCGCTATTCCAGCAGGCAAGAGCAGAGAAGGAAGGGCACAGCATGCGTCTGTTATGCAGCCCAGGATTAGAGAGCCGTCCTAGTCGGTCCACGTTGAGGGCTAGGCCTTGTTCTGTCCCGGAGCGCAGCCCACAGCGTTTGATAGCACTATCTCTGGTCCCTTTGGGCAACCCAGTTCGGGTCGAGTTGGTGTGAGAGTGATGTGATGGTGCCCCGGTACGAGAGAGTCTCCTACCCAAAGGGGCGACGTGACGACGATACGCAGGGTCGCGTCGGCGTGGCGCTGCTAGCGCGGGCTTGGAGAGATTGTGATACCGACGATGCGGTCGGGGGAGGCGATAACAAAGTTCGTTGATAAGGTGCGAGAGTCCCTGGAGGCGATATCGACCTCAGCTGGTTGCTAGTGCGTTGGCCGTGGCTGCTGCAGCAGCTGCTGCTGCTGTTGGAGGGTTCCTGGTGATGGGATACCAAAAAAGTCTCTGGCGAATGGGAACCGGCTTCCTCTGAGCGCTTGCCCGCGGGTGTTGGATGCCAGAGATGCCAGAAGATTCACGAAGCCGAAATGCTCGTAATGCTGATGCTGCTGCTGCTGCTGAGGTGTATGGCTGTGCGTCCTCGTGTTGGTGGGAACAGCCTCTGGCTCTCGTAATTGTTGACGTTGATGCGGCGGATACTGTGGCCCGTGTTCGAGTTTATGCTGGTCTTCCGAGGGATCGGGGGTGTTCCACGTTATATCACAGTGATACATAGCAATGCAAGGAAGACTGTTGATATCAGACTGTCTCGTCGGGGGAGGTCTGATGTCGTTCGACTGGTTGTATGTATGTATGTATGTATGTATGTAATAGTACGTACGTGCTGTCAACTTGTCTCAGGGATGTCTCGACGCCGATGAGGCTGGTGGCATTTTGTATTTGCATCCCTCGCAAAATGGGTGTGAGCACAAGGTGACGTACGTGCCTCAGAAAGTCCATGTGGCTCACGCCCGGTCGGGTCTCACACATCGATCACACGTTTTCTGCCTGCTTTTGCCTCGATGAGGTATTCATCAGGCATTTTTTGGAGACCATGAGCCACTCGCATAAGGACCCGCTTGACATTCGCTTTGAATAGAATCTCTCCGGCGCAGCTTTCCGAGCCGGCTCCCAGACAGAGGGTGGTCATTGCTGGAGGTAGCATTCCGACAAGGTAGTATCCTGCTTTCTGCTCCTCCGACGAAAACGCACATTCATGTAGCGGGAGATCCCCTAGGCAGACGCCTTGATCGGCCTCTGAGCTCAAGCACTGCCCAGGGTTGAGACGAGCATGCATGGGATAGGCGAGAGGTACCCAGAATCAACGGCGAGCGGCAAAAGGTGAACCATACCGCGCGGCCGAGGGGCGATTAGACACTTTCGTTTTGACAGCTACCCCATGTGTGGGTGCGTGCATGGCTAACAGCCAAACACCTTTACGTCGAAAGCGGGTATGCAAACGGACTAACGTCCCCGAGAGAACTTGACCTTCTCTGTTCAGTTTACTGGCGCCTGCAGCTGGACCGAAGCTGGGATATGCATCGTCAAATGATCGGGCAGCATTGATTTTGCCTGGCAATCCAGACTCGGTGATCGACGGCCAGCGTACGCAACCGCAACCACGAGACCAAGAGACCGGTGTGCGTACCTTGCAGAGAAGTCTCTCGGGCCCAGCAGATGGAATGGCGACTTATGAGCGATCCCAAGGATATCTGACAAGCCGCGAGCCACACACACACACACACACACACACACACCCTCCCCAGCCATACGTGGTACATTCAACCGAACTTCTGTAGGGCCAACGCCGGCCCTCGAGCCGAGACTTTTCGATGCTCGCCCACGGCGGATGCGATGACTTCATAGCTTCGTTTCAACGGCTTGACGCTGCCCTGTTTGTCTCCGCCTTTCCGCTCCCGCGCTCCCTCCAAGTTCGTTTCCCAATAGGTATGCCAGAGAAAGTCAGAGAACGTGTCCCGAATGGCCAGACCATAGTCCCGGTGTATTGGCAACGCGCTTGTGACCCGGGAAACCCTAAACCGCCCAATCATCGAGCTCCCCAAGCCCTTTTTGCAGTTCTGGTCGATGTGCAAGGGTGAGCTCCTTCGGGTGAGCCACACGACCTCCAACGTCACTCTGACCGAACTTGGGTGGTGGTTTGCCGTGCTCCTGTCTTCTTGTTGGGATTCCAGCCACATCTCGAGAATCGAGGACATGACGTCCAGCCTCTCATCGGCGTCGTCGTCGTTCACCAAGCCCGGAGCGTCATCTCCGTTCCTGCTGCCAACGCAGCCTTACGTAAAGAAAGACCATTCCCACCCAACAAAGCTTTTGCCGTGGAATTGAGTTTATGGGGTGCAGACCGGGAAGGTTGGCCAAAAAAACAACAAAAAAGTGACCCTCGTCCTGAACGCATGCGAAGCCCTTGAACTTTCTCCGCGTCCTGAGACTGCCGGAGCGTCAGACCACACTGGCTCGACCCCGGAATGCGGGGAAGCTATGAAGTGCATGTGGCTGACAGGCAATAGCCTGATAATCGACTGGTTCGCGGAACTTTTTCCAAGTCCTGCTCGAGATGGCATGATGGTTGAAAACCTTTGGTACACACTTTCATGGTCGAAACTTCGTCAGGTGCCGTGGGCTGGTTCCTGTTCTGTATCTTCCTCCATGGTTTCCTCCATGGTCCAGAACATTCGAGCCATTCGCTGCTCGAAACGCACGTCTGCTGTTGAATCACCAGCTTCCCCTCCTTAGCGACCGAAGGTTCTCGTGTCTTGGAGGGCGTACGGCTAGTTTAGTAGAGACGCATCATCACCTTATCCGGAGCTCAGCTTGGACCCTAGCTTTTTTCAACCAGCATGCATGTCATTGCTGATCCTTACTGGGCCTCCAGACAGCCTTCGTCTTGGAATGCGACCCCAAAGTACCAGCTAAACGACCTGCTGCTTCACCTGGGAAGACAGACACGCAATTCTCTCTCATTACTCTTGGCCAACAAGTGTTGATCCGATCGTCAAAAACTTTGGCTTGCTGTCATTGTGCTGTCCACTAAGCACTGGCGTGCGAGCCAGAGATGTCCGCAAGCCTAGAATCGGTACCCGTGACGAGTCAGGTGCTCAAGGTTATCGTTACTAGGAGCTCGTCTTGTCTTTGGCTTGTACGAGTTGCATGTGCAAATACGTATAATGCCGCCCGATGTGTGTTGTCTCGGACAGTCGTATTGCGACATATGTCAAAATGTCGGTGGTTCGGCCGCGACATGACCACGTCCGAACGGTAAAGTCCGCCACCGATGATTTCATACTTCACCACATCGCGCCCGTGCTTGGCGGCGCTGATACTCGACAGATTCGAATCGGTACGCTGTCACTGTAGAATGGGCCCCTTTGCTGCTCCCTTGGAGGTATGGGGAAGTCGACGTAGTTCAGACCCATCCCGCGCTGGCGGCAACGACTGCAGAACGCCTCGAACGTCACCTCATTCCGCTGGGTTGCGGAGATCAAAACCTCAACGGCCGGGAACAGAGAAAACAGCTCGTGGAGAGTCGCGATGAGTGCTGGGATAATGCTCTGGTCGTAGGTGATGTCTGCGCCGATGACCACGTCGACCCTCTCACCGTTGTTCCACTTTTGGTCTTCGGTTCCCACCATGGCATGCCCCATCTCAGTTCCATGGGCCTGACGAGTTTGCTTTCTTGCAGGTCGTTTAGGAAGAAGCTCTCGGGAAGGTTGTTGATAACATCATCCGACCCGTCCGAGGCAACGACATGTGTGGCGGCGAGATGCTTGGCGCAGAGGACGGCCAGGTATCCGGTGCCCGCCCCCAGTTCGAGAACTCTCTTCCCCTGGATGATTTGCTGGTTTGCGCAGAGATATTGCCCCAGGTGCAATGCGGCCTCCCATGTTCGGAGGCCCGTGGTACCAGAGGCAGAGATCAGCGAGCGGGACTCAAGCAGGGTGATGTCAGGCGTATGTAAGTGCGTTTCCGAAGGGTTCTGCTCGAGACCCCCTAGATGGTAGGTGACGTATGCTTTCTGTTGGGCAGAGGATATCTCAGACGGCATAGGAGTCGCCAGAGATTCTGACAAGGCGTTCATGAGATCTTCTGAGACTTCCTGGGCACCGTTAGAGGGATGCCCGTGATGAACGGTAGAGCTTCATGCTACGGCGTCACGCGGGGAAGGCACTCACATGCTGGTCCCAATCCTCGATACCCGACTCAATGCGTGCAACAAGCTCTTTTAGAACCTTGAGACGGTACCTTGCGGGGGGACTATAACGCGGTCCCTCCTCTGAGAACAGTTTTTTATAAATGGTGTCTTGCGCTGATTGTTCTCGGATGACCCCGGCAGAAGGATAGTCGAGGGTCGGTTCCAGTTGAAGATACTGGTAGCAGAACCGCTCAACCGGGTCTGGCGTGTGAAAAGAACTCGTCATATTGTGACACGAAGTTTGGTGAACATGAGAAAATGTCGTATGTTGCCTGATTCGGTGGGATACGAAGCTTCAAGTTTGCTCTTCAAACCCCTGCAAGACACCTCGTAATGCGTATGAATTCTGGTTGAGTGGATGAAAGACAGGGTTCACCAAGGAGAGTATTTTGCGTGATATGGTATTGAATCAAAGAGACTCAGAAACCCCAGATCTAAAACCCAAATCTGAAAGACACGTTGAAATGCCGATCGACAACTTGCACTATAGTAGAAGTCTCTTCCTCAGTCAAGATGCACAAGATGCAAAGAACCAATGCTGAGTCAGGAAAAAAAGAGGCGTACCGTGCAAACACGGCGCCGTTTTGCGCCTGGGCCGCCCTCGAATTCTCGATTTTCCCGCACTGCCAATCAAGAAATGGCAAAAAGTCCATACTAGACGCAGACGCCTCCTCAGTCAGCTGACTCGGGGATGGGGACAGGTAGAGAACAGCGGTCCGTGCTCTAAGCGGCTCCACGTGATTTTGGTTTTTTGGTGCGGCGGCTGAGGCCTTAGGCACGAAATTAGGGCTTCCACCCACAGTTTGGGCGAAAACTCTCGGACCCCCATCACAACCACAATCACTCTGCGAACTTTTGACGATACCACACCTTTCCGACTCTTCTGTCCCAGCGCCAACCCATCTCGACAGACAGATCAGCCCCCCCGACCGCAAAGATGGCGGACGTCGACACCCCCGTCACCCTGCGAACTCGCAAGTTCATCCGTAACCCCTGCTTGGCCGTAAGCAGATGGTCGTGTGAGTTTGCCCCTCCAGATATCTCTGTCCCAACGAAGGAAGCGCGCACGAAGGCAACGCCGGAAGAGGAGGAAGCGGAGGAGAGGAGAAGCATCGCCCAGCCGGCATACCGAAGCACACGACATAAGCAGTTGCTCGACAGCCGCGGATGGAAGGAGAGAGGCGGACGCGCGGGGGATTGATGGAAATTTTTCATGTGTGACGGGAAATGCTGATGGTCGTTTTCGCGCAGTGACATCCTCCACCCCGGCCGCGCCAACATCTCCAAGGATGAGCTCCGCGAGAAGCTTGGCTCCCTCTACAAGGCCACCAAGGACCAGATCAACGTCTTCGGCCTCCGCACCCAGTTCGGTGGCGGCAAGACCACTGGTTTCGCCCTCGTCTACGACTCCCCCGAGGCCATGAAGAAGTTCGAGCCCCACTACAGACTTGTCCGCGTCGGCATGGCCAACAAGATCGAGAAGGCCAGCAGACAGCAGCGTACGTCGAGCCCCCATCCGATTGCTGCCGCGCATGTGTCGCGTCGCCGGGTCGGACATGTACCTGTCCGCAAGACCCAGGCGCACCCCGACACACGCCGCGGTGGCAAATTCATTCACTCACACAGAGACCTCATGGCTGACACTCCTCGCGCTCCACAGGCAAGCAGCGCAAGAACCGCCAGAAGACTCTGCGCGGAACGGCGAAGGTCAAGGGTGCCAAGAAGAAGAAGGAATAAGCGTCTCGCCTTGTTGCCTAGGGTTAAGGCACGCGAGGGATTTCCCCCGGATCATCCGCAAAACAGTGGGCGGCGTTGGTGGAACATCAAAAAAACATACGAATCAAAATGTCGTCTTTGGGCTCTCGTGTTGTTGTTCCGCTGGGGGGACGTCCCTCGTCTCTCTCTCATGGGGTTATCCATTTCGGCTGCGGCTTTGTGCATTATTCGACGAAACAATGCGGCTTTTGCATCGTCCCTGTGTCGGTCCGGCGGGTTTATGGCCGGCCGCGCAATACTAGAGTCAACGCGGCGTGAAACGGGGGAATGGGTTCATGATTCTCTCAAATATGAAATGCATCAAAAACACGTACCCCGATGGTTCCCCAGAGTCTTTTCGTCCATGACGCTTACATGTGCGGGGTGATGACCTCCAACGCATTGCAGTGACGATGGTCCAGAGCGACCGTCCCATTCCGACGAGTGTTTGCCATGTCCTGCTGCCGTTGTCAAACTGCCCTTGATTATGTTAGTGATACTAAGGCCCACAACCCTTAGTATAGCAAAATGTGAGACGTTGAGGAGTGACGGAGTTGCCATTGAAGATGCCCCTCCAAGGATGATTACCAACTGTTAGTTGTTCGCCGACACTGCTCGCCCAAGACACGGGTACAGTGCCTTGAGTGTCATCGTCCACATCGTCCCGGCTATACTCTACTAGACGCAGTCCACATTCAGCCGAGCATCTCTTGGTATGTGGTCAATGTCAAACCTGGTTAGATATCTCAAAGGTCAGGTCGCCTCACAGGCGATCCGGCGATGTCAAGTTCTGGATTACCGTGGAACAAGTGGCAGCCACAGTCTTCCAATGTCAAGTTCCACAACAAGCACGCTGCATCCACCAACATCAACCCAGTGGCCCTGGACAGTCCTACGGTGGCCAAGACTTCGAGGAGCGGCCGTCTATAGTCGTTTCCTGCCAGCAACGAGACACTACGCTCCTCGTGGCATCTTCTCCTACATCGTGACTATACGAAAGCCTGTCGTTGCCTTATTTACCCCCAAAACATAGCAAACGTCTCTGCTGACGCTCACGATTGCCTCTCTCGTCCGCCTTTGCCATACACCCGAATTCCTCGCACAAAACAACACTTGACCTTCCGAGTCCGCGTTGGACCTGGATAAGCTCCCGGTATGTCGTGCCTGCACTTTTGACTATATCCTGGGCAAAGATTTGTCGCCGTCTTCCATGCTGTTGATTCCCAACCGTTCCGATGCAGACCACTTTTATTTTTGTATTCATTTTCCATTAACGACGACGCAATGCCTCCTCCCTCGACCAACTCTAGTATATAACAATTTCCGGATCCTATCCGTGGAATAACATTATCCCAAAATGCACGTCAACGTACGGAACTTAGAGGTCCATGAGAAGTCTTTGCGCCCGGAAAGCAAGTGATCAACGCAGGTCTTACCCGAGAGGATGTCTAGTCTGATGGGACCAGGCTGATCTATCACCTCCAAACCTCCCCTTCAGGTTCAAGTCGCCAATGCTTGTTTATTCTCTACTGTACCTTGCACAATGGTATCCATGCATTACGCAGCACCGCAATATACCAACGCCATCCTTTGCCAACCCAACCCGGTCTATACGGTGATTCGATGCCCGTGAAACGCCCCGCCATGCTGCCAATTTGTATTTCCAACCTCCTTCACCATCTCAAGCCTGATATAACTAATCTCAAACCTCCCTCAACTTCTTCACCGGCCGGGCCAACGAATCATCTGGCAGTCCACTCCGCTTCGTCCCGGGCAGACTACTCGTCCGGATGTCGTTGTCGTCCTGACTCACCCTCCGGTGCGGGTACTCGTTCTTCAGTCCCTCAAAGCAGTGCGCGTTGAGTCGGTCCCCGGTCGAGAAGAACGGGTGCTGGAGCGCCTTCGCCGCCGTCAACCGCTCGACGGGGTCGTATTCCAGCAAACTCGCCAAGAGCTTATATCCCTCGGCACCCAGACTCGCCAACGGCGCCCCGTTGCTCTGCGGCGCCGACGTCGCGCTGCTCGAGGCCCCCTGTGAGATGGTGCTGTAGTACCACTTCTCGAGGTTCGAACCGCTCGGCGCGGGCGGGTGGTGGCCGTACCCGTGTCCACGATGATGCCCGTGATGTCCGTGGTGGTGCGGCGTCATGGGCGGCTGCAGGGTTGATAGCTGTGGGTATTCGGGCATGGCTGTCAGCAACGGCCACCGCTCTTTGGACGGCAGACCCATAATGTCGACAATCTTTTGCATCTGGTTCCGCTGGAAGGGCACTGTCTTCTTGCTGTCCATTTTGGCCTCCTCGCCCTTGAAGATGGGCCGCAAAGACAGTAGCTCTGCAAAGATGCAGCCGACGGCCCACATGTCGATAGCGGGTGTGTAGTGACGACTGCCAAGGATGAGTTCCGGCGCGCGGTACCATATCGTCACAACGACCTTGTCACCGCTGAAGAGGGAATGCAGGGGCTTGTCAAAGCGACGCGCGAGTCCCAGGTCACCGATCTTGACCTCGCCGGCCGAGGTGACCATGATATTGGCGGGCTTCAGATCGCGGTGCAGAACCCAGTTGGCGTGGAGGTACTGGCACCCGTTGAGGAGCTGGAACATGATGCTCTTGACCGTCTGCGGCGGAATAGGGTGCCGCGGGTTCTGCGTGTGATGGTGGATGATCTGCAGCAGGTCATGCTCGGCATACTCAAAGACCATGAAGATGCACTTGTCCTCGAGGATGATCTCAATGAGCTTGATAACGTTGGCGTGCTTCAGCTCACTGCATAGGGACATCTCGCGGATGGCGGATTGCGAGATGCCCGTGTACGAGATCTGCTCGCCCTCCTTATCGGGTTTGAACTTCTTGATGGCAAACTCGCCCGTCTGGCCTTGGCGGCCGAGGGCCTTGTAGACGCGGCCATAGGTTCCAGAGCTGATGAAGCCGACAACCTTGTACCGCTCGATGACGCGGACCTTGGGCTGGTAGTTGATATGGCCGAGGCCGCGGTCTGCCGGGTCTGTGAGAGTTGCGGTCAGCAAGGCTGGGAATGAGTGAAGTGGAGACTGGTATGAAATCGGGAGAGGATGTCAAATACAGGAGCTGTGACTATGTAGGCCGCCGTAGCTGATGCCCCTCCACATGTTTAAAAAGTGTCAAAGGTTACTTGTTGTTTTGTTTTTGAGAACAGAATGAGATATATGGAGTGGGCTGACGAGAGCAGGAGGTTTAGGGAAAACACGGTATGCACTTGCTCTACAAACGCAACATGTCTCTTTGGTTATTTGCGTTCGTCAGCAGGTAATAATAGCAGATGAAGCCGCAGAAGCGACACGCAGCTGACGATAGCCGCAAGGCAAGCAGGCAGAGCTCACCGCCGATCCAAGGGGAGATGGGCCTCGGGTCTAGGGCTGAATGAGGCACGGGCTTGGGTGTTCGCGGGGATGCTCTAAGCTTTAAACAGCAATGGCAGAGAGCAGCGGAGGCGGCGGCGGCGGCGGAACAATGCAGCCTGCTACCCGCCGTAACACACTTCACGGCACAATTCTTGCGAAGTCGCACCGAAACCCTCTTCCTCTTGGCTGAGTGGTCGTGTGAGGTGCAAGGAGCGGTGGGGAGTGGAACGAGGAGACCGCAGATGCAGGGCCCCCCAAAATATGTATCCTCCCCAAGACGGGATACCCGGCAGGATGGGATAGGAGGGGGGAGGGAGTAGGATTGGGATTGGGGGATTGCTGTTCGGATGTGTGTGCTGGGATTTGTCTTTGAGTGGGTGTGTACAAAATTGTCTTGTCGGGAAACGGGGCAAAGCGAAAATGTAGAGTGTGAGAATGACAAGCAACAGCAAGCGAGGTCGAAAGCTAGGACCGATGCCCAAGCAGCTCGCAGCTCCAAAAGAAAAGAGTATTTAGTTGAGTGCGAAACTGTGCTGTGCAGTGGCAGCGGCGCAGAGGAATCGTGTTTGGGGGTGAGAGTGAGAAGGAGAGTGTGGGTGCAGTGCGGCATAACATATGCAGGATTAGGAGAGGGAGGGGGTGCATTTGACGAGATGCGATTCGATACGCAAAGCGGATGGAACATCCGGGATGGTGGTTGTCGATCAACAAGAGGAGGAGAAAGTGTGGATAAGATTATACATAAGGGAAACGGCACCGAATAAAGGGTAACAACGCGCGGAGAAGGGCGGCGGCGGCGGCGGCGTCGGCAGGGGATGAGCAGGGACGTATATCTCACTCGTGTCTCCTTCGCTCATCAAAATTTGTCCCTTTTTGCCGCACGTTGCTAATCTCCATCACTGTGGGCATGTCGCTTGACTCTCGGTTTGCCTTTCGGAACGACACATTGACAAAAGACTCGAGTCAGGTAGGAGGGCAAAAACTGGGGGGTTTGGGGGGGGTTCCAAAGTGACGGCGGAGGGCTATGGAGCGTTTGTGAAAAGTGTATGATAACCGGACCACAAGCAAACGTCCAAACTCACCTTCAAACGCTGCCTGAACACTCCTCTTGAGATTGCCCGTCCGCACCGAGCTGGGGCCCGAGGCGACGGTTGACGGGTTGGTCAGACTCATTATCTGACGCGAGGGTTCGCTGCTGACTTTGATGTTCGTGTTGGAGTCAAATTCGAGATCCCAACTGGCCCCAGTTATTTCCTCCAAAGGCCACCCGCGTTGATTCGGAGGGTCTTCGTCAAGCCTCTTGTGCCCCCTTCTCGGCTTCGGACTCTGCTTGCTTAAGTCGGAACTGTAATGTGGTACCCGTAATTGTGGCCGCTCTTTCTTCGCCCCAGGCTTTGGTACTAAACTTCAACTGCCTTGTCCCGGGAACCAGGACGTTGCTTTCGTGTGTTCCCAGAAACTCCGCCGAAACGTGGCGAAAACGGGGCACTCAAATTCCCCAGTGGGTATTGTTCGGCGCAAATCTGAGATTGGGATAGGATAGGAAAACCGTAGCTCCGATCAGAGTCTCCAAAAAAGCCAAGGGTGGTTCGGCAAAGCAAGGGCAATGATCCAGACGCCAAAACTCAGGTCTTCTCACTCCAGGGTCCGTCAGGGTCAGCAAAAGGATAAGCGTCAGCACCAGACCAGGCAGAGCCTCGTGCGCCGCGCAAAGTGGAGGATGGCGCGACGCCCTCGTAGGGTGGCAGGGTGATGGTGTGTGTGTGCGCGTGCTTGGGAATTGTATTTCTGGAAGGTCCTGTGCCGCAGTAGACGGATGTAATGCCCGAAACCAAAGGGCCCTGCACGTCGCGAAAACGATATAGAACCCAGTAAACAACCTGTTGGCTGAGAGTCTGGCGATGCGGGAATCCCTCTGCGCAGGCGTGCGGGGGTCGCCGACCTGGTGTGAGCACCCTCTCTTTGCAGCTGCAAGGCTAGAAGATGGGAGGAAATGCGCGGGTGCCACGTAACGACTTCCGAGTCGCTGGGCAGCCTCGGCCGGGGCCTTCGGGACGCTGGCGGACGAGATTGCAAGTCCCGAAGAACCTCTCAGATGTGGGCGCGGCTGGAAATTGGTAGTACGTTTCCCAAAGGACTCGGTTGCGCAAGTAATCTGTGTGTGTCTCTCTGTCTGCAATGCGACGATCGACGTCGCGCGTTTTCAGTGTTTACTGTACGCGATAACAAGCGATGACGGGACGGAGTGCGGAGAAGCCCGGGCAGAATCCCCCAATGCGAGAGAAGCGGCCGATGAGGTGGTTCACGAGAGCGTCAAGAGTGAACGAGCGAGCGAGCGCGCCCGTCGAATGACCACTGACTGTCGAAAGCGAGTGAGAGAGGATGAAGTCCCAGATGGAGAGAGAAGAGTGAGTTGAAGTGACGTTTCACAAGGAAGCAACAGACGAGGCGGCGCGGCTTCGATTTCGTAAGGGCGTCGCTATCACTGGCTGGTAGCGGGAAGCCGCTGCCTGAGAGTACAGTGTTAAAACTTCATGCCAGCGCACCGTGTGGGCAGGCCGGCTCAAACATCACGATACCCCCTTGCTCTTATTGCCTTGCTGAATGCCCCAACGCTTGGACAACCTTATATGGAAACGCACGTGCGGGATTACCATGGCATGAAAGAACTTCATCGACTTTTTCGTTAGAAAACAAAAACGAGGCTCTAAAACGTGCCACATGCATGCTAGGTCTACCACCAAGACTAAGACGACCTCCAACCCGAGAGAGAGAGAGCAACCGCTTTATCGCGGGCCGAGCTTCTCGAGCACACGCGGTCCCTGTTCGTCCCACTCCTCCTTGGTCACCCACATGCCCTCCTTGTCGGCCATGATGTTGGCCAGCACCGCACCTCCGAGGAACACCATGTGTCTTCGGCGGGGCGGGTCTTCTATCCGGACTTTGAACTTGTTTAATCTTTCCGGGTTGCCGCCCAGAACTCGCGTCAGCCACAGCTGCTTGAGCTCCTTCTCCAAACGTGACGGGAGACCCGGGTACATGCTGCTGCCACCAGACAATACAATGGCCTTGAACAGCGACGACCTCACGTCAACGTCCGCGGCCTGGATTGTGTTGAACAGGAACTCGGCAATACCAGGCTGCTCGCAGTCCACAAGGTGAGGCTGGAACAGGCACTCGGGTGCCTCGAAACGCTCGCTGCCCACCCTGATGACGCGGCCGTCGGGTAACGTGTAGCTCTCCACCAGCACCGTCGTATCTTCGCTCAGGCGCTTGTCCAGCTCCAAGTCGTACGAGACGTAGCAGAGCTTCTCCTTGATCTGGCGGACGGTCTCGAAGTCGGCCGTTCGGTTGAGCGCGTATCCGCGGCGAAGGAGGAGTGCAATCAGGTTGCGCGTGACGTCTCGGCCTGCGACGTCCAGTCTGCGGGTGAGGTGGTTGAGGACGACCGACTCGTAGACTGGGACAATGTGGGTCACGCCGTCTCCCGAGTCGACGACGACACCAGAACTGAGACCTGGAGGTGGCCGCCAATGTCAGCTCCGTAAAGACCATTTCCAATTGGAGACCCGGAAAGCTTGCGGTCGTGACATACCTTGGGCGTAAAGGGCCAACACAGCCTGGATCGCAACGTAGACACCGCCGAATCCGTAGCGGTCAAACATGACCTCGCACATCTGCTCGCGGTTGCGCAGCGGGTTCATCGGGGGTTCGGTCAACAGGATCTTGCGGCCCCGCGGGTCGACCTTCATCTTCTCAAAGAAAGTGTAGTCCCAGAGGTGTTGCATGTCATCCCACTTCTTGACGATACCGTTCTCCATCGGATAGCTGATCTGGAGCATCGTCCGGGCGGCGGCGGCCTCGTCACCGCACATAATATCCTTGATGGTCACATCATTGTCCTCGCCCTTCTCTTCAGTTCTCAGGATCGGTCGGCCGACGATGGAAGGGTATTGGAATTCGGGGAAGTTCTGCGCTGCGTAGCCGACCTTGAGGAAACCTGTTCCTCCGTCGAGGACTGTGGATCTTGCGTCAGCCACCTCCCAAACGCAGCATCAAGCACGGGAACAGTCGTAACAACAGCACAGCTAAGCAACTGCTGATGCTGCTGGGTCAGAGGCATTGCGTCTTACCGATGGGGCCTCGGCTGCCATTGTGAAAGCAGAAGCTATAAGCTTGCGAGATGGGAGCTTCTGTCGGAAGGGGGGGATGGAGATGAGGTGTGGTTGGGGAGAGCGCCCGGGAAGCTGTTACGTCTGTGTCGTCGATAGTGGGGTTGGGTTGGGTTCGCTGCCTTCCAGTCTCCTGCTGTCCTGCAACTGGATCGTCAAGCCCAGAGGTGGCTGAGCTACGTTGCGTCACGTGATACCCCGCAGCGAGGACCTTCCCAGACCGGGTGCGGTGCGCACTGTCACTGAGCTGAGGGAAGTGCTCTCAGTCATGGAAGTTGCAGCGCGTCAGCGGACCGGGCAAAGCCCCACATTGACGGAAGAACCCCCACCTGTTGAAGGCCGCTGTTCGGCGGGACACTCGACATGGATGATGGAGCTTGAAGAACGTGGAGTACCGAATGGTAGCTTCACACTCATTTTTCACCTGAATTTGCGCGGGCTTGGTGTTAGCTAAAGTACACACTCCAGACTTTGTTTTGTTTAGAGCAGCCAGCCATGACGACCCGCGTCCTTCGACGGAATATCAAGATCCTCGTGATCAACCCCAATTCGTCAGAGGATATGACGAGGGGCATGGAGAGGGCCATACAGGCAATGCCCTTGCAGGATGTAAGCCAGGGTCAAGAATGCCATCTCATGAACAAAAAAACACAAAAAAACAAAAAAAAACAGGGAAAAATGAAAAGAAAAAAGGCATCAGAGACTGACTTCTGTGTCAGTCCCTCGAGATCCACACATACACAGCACCGTCCGAAAGCCCAGCGAGCATCAACGACGACGCTGACATCCAACTGAGCACCGAGGTTGTGGTCAGGGACCTCGTCAACAGCGGCAAGCTTGATCAATACGATGGCGTCCTCGTCGCATGCTACAGCGTTCATACGCTTGTCGAGAAGCTCTCTCGCCAGTTCCACTCGTCTCTCGCCGTCACCGGCATCTTTGAAGCAAGTATCCTCACCGCGACAGCGCTCTTGCCTCATAGCTCAACCGCCTCGTACCTCTCATCAAAATGGGGCGTCGTCACTACGGGCGAGTTCTGGGAGAAGCACCTGAGCCAAGGAGTCAAGAGTTATCTGGGCCAGAGAGAGCAGGCAGAGAACGTCAAGTTCGGCGGGGTCACGTCGACTGGCCTGACGGCCGGAGACTTCCACCACATCAGCCCGGCAGAAGTGAGGAGCAAGCTCGAGCAAGCCACCAAGAAGCTTCTCGGCAGCGGAGACGTGCGCTGCGTCGTCATGGGATGCGCTGGCATGGCGGGATTGGAGGACATCATCCGCAACTCGGCTACCGACGTTTACGGCGAGAACAAGGGCAGACAGGTCTTCATCGTCGACGGTGTCAGGGCCGGCATCTTGCAGTTGGAGCAAACGGTCAGAAGCAGACGACTGTTCCAGATTTAAGTCGTTAATTAATAATACCCATCGCTGCCGGCAGATTTCCCAACGCCAAGCGTTTTCCCGTCCAAAGAACACTAATGCAAGCAGATAATGGTCCAGAAAGTGTATTTGTCTCAATCAAGTCGTCGAGTTCGGCCCCAGACCTCATCGATATCCTTCTTGCCCTTCGTCTCAGGAACCTTGACTGAAACAAAAAGGGCAAACAACACAGAAAATCCGGCGAAGAGGAGGTATACCCAGCCGGCACCTCCAAGCCACTGGTTCAGTGCGTTGTTGACGATGGGGAAGAATTGAGCAACTAGGAAAGTCGCAACGTAGTTGGATCCCAGAGACCAGGACTGAGTAGCGCCGACAGCTTCCTGTCCCACCAGCTCTGAGGCGAGAATGAAGGGCACTGGCCCCAGACCGACCGCGAAGAAGGCCACGAAGGTCACAACCGAAACAGCTGACAGGATCTTGGCTCCAAACTGGATTGAAAGGGCCAGAATGAGCGAGCTGGTGCCCTGTCCAATGATCGAGATCAGGATGCACCTCTTTCGGCCAAGCTTGTCCGGCAGCGGAGAGCATGCAGCAGTGGTGATGAGGTTAACCACGGAGATCAGGATCGTCAGCAGGGCCGAGCTGACGGGGAGGAGGTCTGTCAACAGAGACACAGAGTACATGATGATCGAGTTGATACCACACAGCTGCTGTGCAAACATGATGCCAACGACAGCGGCGATGGCAGGTCGGGTCAGCGGGTCCTTGATGACTTCAAAGAAGCCAAGATGGACGGGCGAGCTGTGCTTGGGGAGACCAGGAGACACCGGCGGGACATCGTCGGCCTGGGCCAGAAGGCCTTCTTGCTCGGCGTTCACCCCTCCGTCCCAACTCTCAACTTCTTCACGGATGTCGAAGTTCTTGCCGCGAATACGCTGCAAGGTGCGGCGGGCCCTCGGGACATCACCATTGGCGGCGAGCCAAGCAGGACTCTCGGGAATCAGCAACAGACCGAAGGCCTGGCCCAAAGCAATGAAGACGCCCACGGCGAGGATCCACCGCCATGCCTTTCCGTAGCTTAAGAAGAATCCCAGCGTTTGAACAGCCAGAATGCCAACATTGATCGAGACCTGGGTCATGGCTCCAAACAGACCACGCTCCTTGGGCGGTGCAATCTCGCTAATGTACAGCGGGACAATGACAGTCGACGCACCTCCCGCAGCACCTGTGAAGAACCGGCCGATCGCCAAAGCGGGAGCCCCTCCAGCAAGTGTCTCAATGAGGGCACCAATGATGTAGAAGATGGCAGTGATCCGCATGGCAGGACGTCGGCCGCGTTTCGAAGAAAAGGGGCCGGCGCAGAGAGCCCCGACAAGGCCTCCGACGGTGAAGATGGAGGAGACGGTCGCGAAGACGGCATCGGTCATGGGAATGCAGTCGGGAAGCCAGCTCTCGGTATTGGGGGATTTGGCGTGTACCCATTTCAGCATGACCCCCTTAGCTGCAATGGACTTCTTCCGACAGGTGAGGACATCTTGAGGTGCGTTCAGCTCGGCCTAGAAGACAGTCGCCACGGGTTAGCAAGAGCTCCTCAAGAGACGGGTGGAAACAATTCGGGGTCCAGGTCCACGATGAGTGCGACGCAATACGTACAAGGTGGAAGCCGAATTGCAGGGGCCCAAGGTCGAGACAAGAATCAAGACAACCAGGTAGAGGCTAACGTCGTGCATGCACTGTCGAAGACCCGAAGGAGCCATGTTGGCGATACTCGATGTTGGAGAGCTACGTGTACCGTCTAAAATGAATCCAGGGATTGGTGTAGGAAGTAGGAAGCTTTGGCTCGAGCAAGGGATTCAGGGCAGCTCAGGGCAGAAGGGGGAGTCGGGACGACAAAGCAAGCGAATACGGATCTGGGCTGGGCAAGGGAAAGCTGGGGAAGCCAACGGCGCCCGTAGGAGCTGCCCACATGCTTCAGCTGTCATACATCACTGTTACGCATTAGGCGGTTCCTGATCCGGTGCACCTAAGCAACCCCACGGGCATGTTCCAGGTCGCACGGGCGGGCCGGTTCCGGTCAGTGGCTAGCGCTGTCGTTCCCCTGCACGTTGACATTGCACAAAGGTGTGTCTTACTGCGCACATGCGCACATAGCAAACTGAGTCGAGATGCAATGGCTCAATGACAACAAACCCCATTGTGATACTGATGAAAAGCTTGATGAGTGTAAGCTATAATCTGATAGACAACTTTATTGTTTGAGAGCTGGACTGCAATCGCTCTCTCAGCTGCACCAATCCAAATTACGTCACAGCTTCGCCTTGGAATCTACAATCAATTTGAATCTTCAATTAACTATTCCTTTCTCGAGATGTCTCTATTGGGTCTTGCCCAATGATCGCTTCACGGCCACCTCCAGACTATCAACATCGCTAGGACCAAGTCCGATTCTCTCGTTGTCCGTCTTCTCGTATAATGTGCCGCCCTCGGCCCAAATGCGTCGCAGAGTGAAGATGGTAGCGTAAGGCACGCCGTCGGCCCATGCCTTTTCTTCGGCCTCCCTGAGTTTTTGCAGCGGCGAGTAAGTCACTTCCCACTTGGCGCCTGTCTGCTTCTCATACTCGGCCAAGATGTCCTTGCCGGTCGCCACGAAGGACTGCACCTTGAGGGCCTGGTTGAAGGATGCCTCGGGGTGACGCAGCGAGGCGACCAGAGTCTTGCCGACACTAGATGGAGTCAGTACGAACTAAGTGGCCTGCAGATTAGACGACGTTGGGACTCACTCCTTCATAGTGATCAATCCGACCTTGCCCTCGCCGTCTTCGACCAAGACAGCCTTTCGGTTTGCCGTATCAAAACCGCCCGCTTCCTGCGCGAGGGCGGGGAGCGTCAAGAACATGTCAACGTACGGACCAGTCACCAGGTACGTGTATTTGAGTCGCTGGATGTTCTCGCGGATGTACTTGCGCACTTTGAGCTTGGCCTGATGAGGCTTTTCATGAGCGCTCTTAGGGCTGTACTCAATGTCCGTGCCGTACTCGGAAGGGAAAAACCACTTGACAGAGTCGGTCTCCTCGGCCAGCTTGATCAGGTCGATCTGCTTCTCAATGACATTTCTGCCCAGCGCCGAGATGACGGTGTCGGCATCCTGGTAGGCGGCCTTGATCTGTTCGTTGTTGTCGACATCGCCGCTGATGATCTTGGCGCCCTTCTTTTTCCAGCCGTCGAGCAAAGACGCCTTCTTTTGGACCGTGGCGGGTGACGTGAAGATGGTGATTTGACCGAATGAGGGGCTGGCGTCCAGCAAGGCTTCGACGATGAACAGGCCAATGTTACCCGTCGCGCCAAAGACGAGAATCTTGGAAGGATTAAAAGTCGACATGGTAATGTGCCAGTGAATGGGGTTACAGAATACAAGCTGCCAAGTTCAGGATATTCTCACGTGGGGGTTGTAACACCAAGTAATGATGCAATGTTTTTTAAAGGACAAGATCCCGACTCCTGCTTTAGGTGGGAGTACGACTGGAGTTATATGATATCAGTTGCATCTCATCAAGCGATAACGGCACGCCAGAGTCACCCCGCTGAAACCGCATTTGTAAGTTGTGCTACGGCCCCTCGGAACTGACGCCATCTCAAGACGTGCTTCAAAGGTGTGAGGGGCATTTGTTTAGGGAGCTGTAGGGGGACCACGAGGGGAACGGACGCGAGAACCGTCCAACCCCGCGCTATTCATGTCGCTCGTTGCATCCTTGACTGGGACGAAGAGGTCAAAAATCCCGCGTGTAAGCGGCCCTGGACCGGTCTTCTCCACACCAAAGTGCTGTATCGCTCCGAGCTCCGGTGAAATGAAACTCGTCAATTGCTCTCGATAACTGTCGAAGTTCAATATTCGGGGAGGAAGGCGGTCAACCTCAAAGACCCCGAGATGGACCGGGTTAGGTACGTACCGACCAGGCCATCGAGCCATCCCTGTCGGCACGGTGTTGTCTGACAGGCTGGACGGCCTAGGCGCGGGAGACGGGCGACCCCACCACCGATCGGTGAAGTTTCCCTCGAAATTTTTTTAACTGAGAGAGGTGAACTTTTTTCGAAAATCCGGGAACGCAGCTACCTCGCGACCCGCCGGGCGAGATCGACGACAAAACAACGAAACCGACACCGCAAATCCGTAATCATGGCGGCAACCGACTCCCCGGTGACCAATGGGCACAAGTCCGACAAGAAGAGCAAGAAGGACAAGAAGGAGCGGAAGCGCCTGCGCGAGGAAGATGCCGAGGCCAGCGAGGAGCGCAAGCACAAGCGCACCAAGAGCATAGGCGTGGCCCAGGACGACGCCGATGACGACGATGAGGCTCCCTCGGGGTCTCAGGACCTTTCCCTGGCCGCCTCCACAACCTCCAATGGCGAGCCGTCACCCGAGAAAAAGAAGAAGAAGGACAAGAAGCACAGAAAGTCAGTAGGCGAGGCCGAAGAAGATGCGTCTGACGCCGAGCGCAAGGACAAGAAGGACAAGAAGAAGAAGCGCAAGTCACAACACAAGGAGACGGAGGAAAGCCTCGAGGATCCCCTTGTCGAAACTGCCGCCCCCGCACCGGCAAGCGAAAAGAAGGAAAAGAAGAGCAAGAAGGTCAAGGCGGAGTCTCCCGAATCTACGGCCGACAACGACGACGACGATGCCATGGACGTCGACTCCCCCGCGAAGACGAAATCAACATCCCGAGTCCACCAGCCCCCCGACGCGCCGTCCAAGCCCCAGTTCCCCTTCTTCACCCAGACCGTCTCCCTATACCTCCCCCTCTACCCCATAGGCTGGGACACGCCCTGCACGGCCGCAGCGTCGCAGCATCTCGAACCCCTCGTGAACCGCTACGTCCCGGAACTCAAGGGCGTCCTCCTCGCCTTCCGCAACGTTGCTGTCTCGGAGCAGCCCGGCCGCCGGCACGCCGCCACCAACGACAGTGAACACTGCGACCTCGTGTCCGTGGACGAGTACGCCGTCGGCTTCGGCTACGTGACGGTCGATGTCGACCTGTTTGTGCCCCGTCGCGGTGCCTGGATGGAGGGCAGCATCAACCTCGAGAACGAGGGCCACATCGGCGTCGTCTGCTGGGGCAAGTTCAACGCCAGCATCGAGTCGGCGCGCCTGCCGCCCGAATGGCGCTGGGTGCACGCCGGCTCCGCCGAGGCGGCGTCGTACGTTGCCGATCCCTTTGACGACAGCGCCTCGACGCGCACCGCCGAGGACGAGCACGGCGCCGTGCGCCAGATCCACACGACGGGTTTCTGGGTCGACGGCAGCGGCGACAAGGTCAAGGGCCGCGTCCGGTTCCGCATCAAGGCCTTCGACGTCGGCGTCAGCGGCGACCACGGCTACCTCAGCCTCGAGGGCACGATGCTCGACGCCGCGAGCGAGAAGGCGGCGATCCAACGCGACGCCGAGCAGGAGCGCAGGCGCCGGGCCGGAAAGAGCGGCGGCATCCTCGCCAAGGAGCGGCGCCGCATGCCCGAGTTCAGCGTGACCAAGTTCGGCGTGGTCGAGGACGAGGAGGATAAGGCGCTGCGGCAGGACGTGTGGAACACGACGGAGCCGGTGACAGACACCGAGGCTGGAGAGAAGGAGGCGTTTACGGGCATTTCGACGGAGGAGGCGTAGAAAGCTGCCAAAGTCGAATCGCTTGGCTCTGCGTCTATGATTCCCCGTGGGATGGCTTTTCGGGCGTTTTGAGGATTAGGGAAAATTTGACAATGATACAATACTCGCATGCCATGTCCCGATAATGTTGGACTGCCCTGAGAAACAGGGATTGTATTTTGTAATGTCACTGTTGCACCTCTTGAGTTGGAGACCAAACCACTTCTTGACAATCTGCCTGCGCGAGCATGCTGTGCCTTAGTATGAGTAGTATAATTTCACTAGAAGAGACAGCATTGTCACCACTTCCGCCACCAATTGAACGTTTTCTCCTGGCCCGCTTAGAGTCACTACAGAAGTTTCTGTTCAAGAAGGACATCCATGGCAACGACATGGCCAGATCAGACTTGCAATGCAGCCCGTCCCCTAACCCAACGTGCCCAGCGCCGGAATCCGATCACCCCATCCGCCACGCGCCAGCATCTCCCGTGTCACAAGGCCTCACCAGTCGGTGTACCAAGCAGTAGCCATCCGCTGCAGATGGGCAATGAACTCCGTCACGGGGATCAAGTCGCCGTAGAGCAGCCACGAAGCGGGGCCGAGGAATTCTAAACCGAAGATGTGGTCAGTGTTTAACTGCTCGCTTACTTTAAGAGGCACCATAGGGTACTCCGTGTTGCTTGCGCCACGTACCGACGATGGAGCCTTTGGGGCCGTAACCCATCCACGAGAGAACTGGGGTGATGAACAGTCTGATGAGCATGCCGAGGGCCATGTCTGCGAACCACGCGAAGACGGTGACGATGATGTAACCGAAGTGCTGGATAGAGCGGTAGCATGCGGCAAAGAGGGAGCAGAAGAAAGTGAGGATAAGGCTGGTGAGGTAGGTTGTCATCTCGAGGAGGGCCATCTTTGCGGTTTCAGCTGGTGGGTTTGCGGCGGTTTTTGGGTGATTTATTGTCTCGAGGATATTTTGAAGTCACCGAGAAATTTGTTTCTGATCTATTAGCCTTTTGGAGGATTAAATAAATAAGAGAGAGGGCCTGTACTGTTAATGAGGAAGAGAGCCGGGACGCAGTCTTGTCCTGGCAATATGCCTTTCATCGCGGGCAATGGAGCCAAAGGGGGGTTTACTTGATATTCTTCTTGTTCACGGTGAACGCTATCACGCGCAGAGACTGGCTTTGAGCTTTTGATTTCATCTGCATGCCCATGGCAGCCTAACGCCTCGTAGTAAATAGCCTCAATCCGAGTTATTAGCAACCTAACTCTTGGATATCGCATGGTTTTCGTTCCTGGATTTGACCCGAATATCTGGAATTCCAAGCGTAGGGCAGGGAGCCGTTCAGTAATGTTCTGGGGAGTCACACAAACCGGATCTGGATCCTCAAGGGGCAGGCGAAATGACCTTACATAGAACATAACACGAGGCTATTGGGTATCATCTGGTTACATGACTGCAAGGGCGCCCCCTTCGACACTTCGTTAAACACTCGGTGTGGTCGGATTCTTCTCACACTACGGCTTGGTTGATCCTCTAGGTAGGTATGGTCTGGCGATAGGGCATTGTTTAAACAAAGCCAAATAAGCGAGCCCATGGAAATCAAATGTCAAACCACCCAAGTTATGAGGAAGATTACGTTGCGATGAGGTCTTTGGTAAGAGACTCTGATTATTCCCGTACTCAAGTACAGCCAAGTAATGAATTTGGTCCACCACTAGAGCATCAATATCCATCGGAAAAACAGTAAAGTCCAATATTGGGTTCTTTCCTGCGGCTTTCGGTTTGTCAAGAGTGTATGCCCCATATGCCGACTTCTTTGACTCTCCAAGAGATATGATATCGATCGGAAAGCGACGTGACCTATGTTTTGGCGTTGGGATCTACTAAAACCAAGACATGGCGACGTGCTGCAGTAATGCGAAGAGCCCACCGGCAGGAACAGCTGCGCCGTACCAGGTGGCCTGCCAGAAGGCAGCTATGGTGCCTGTGTTAAACATATCAGCAGCACATCGAGCCGTGGGGAGTAGTCTGACGGAAACTGACCAGCGATGGGACCGAGAGGCCCAAAGCCGATGAGCTTAAGAGCGGAAAGAACAGGCCAAGCGAGGAAGGCGAACATTTTGAAAATATTGGATGGACACTGCGGTGTGGTGTGGTGTGTGTGGTGTATAGTATATGGACAAGAGGCAAGAGTGCTACACAGAGGGAGGGGTGGGGTTGAGAAGGCGTTGCAATGATGATGAGGAGAAAGGAGACAAAGCTATATATGTATCCATCCTGTTGGTGCTGGCTGGCTGACTGTATACACTGCATGCAAGAGATCACTTCTCCGGAGGGAGCCTTATCAGTTGGCCAGGAAGTGTGCAACAACTATTGGACGTTGCCTTGCCTTTGTTTCACATCTTAAACTGCTTGCCTCCAACGGGCTGACTATGGAAGTATCGCTAAAGCCTGAACTTTACGCGTACCACCCTCCATCATGAAGCCAGTGTTCATTCCATACCATGCCGAGGCGCTGGAAGAAGGAGAAGAGAGACCGCTTGGGTACGTAACCTGCGTATCGGACCTGCCACCATGAGGCAAAGGTTTCTCCAGGAAGTCATCAGCGTTGGTTCAAAAAGAAAGGGGTGTGCGATGTAGTAGTTACCGGCAACTGGGCCGGGCTCGCCGAAGCCGAGAGCCTCGAGAACCCAGGGAGCGATAATGACCAAGATGCCGAGAGCGATGATTGTAACGAACACCGGATGGTCTTTTGCGAATTCAAAGCTGCTCTCGGCGGCATCGGTGGCCTTGTCCATGGCCTCTCTGACAACCTGGCCGATGGTGTCGCGGTGTTGGACGAGAGCCTCAACGCCCTGGAGGATGTACTTTGCAAGCTCCTCCGTCCAGGAATTGATAGTGACAATGTTCTTGAGACGGCGCTCAAGGTCCTTACCGTCCTTCTCGGCGGTGCGTAGAACGTCAATGAACTCGCTGGCAGCATCTTGAGCAGACCGGAGAGGCTGATCGGTGATGATACCGGCTTGCTTCTCCGCAATGGTTGGCTGCTGTTGAGGCTGCGGGAATTGGCCAAGGAGGCACTCGAAGAAGCGACTGCAGTCCATCTTTATGACTTGTATTGAGTTGTTGATGGGATATCTGAACAACGAGCCAACAGGCAAGGTAAGTTGGAGTCTCAAGGCGGTTCTGATTGATGAAAGCTAAGAAGGACGAGTTGACGTTTTGAGAATTTGCAAGGTGCTTTGGTCCGTTATTTCACCCAACTCGAAGAAGTTGACATTGCCATTCCTCGTCCAATACCGGGTCAGCCTGAAGTCGATGGCCTCCCGCATGAGCCAAATCTGCCTTGCCCAGTCTCTCTTGCCGCCGACCAGTGTCAATGTTCCTTCAACTGCATGTCTTGTTGGCCCAACGTTGCACCCGACCAACCAACTTCTTCACTCTCACGCTGTCGGGGCCCAACCAACGCAAGTCGACCTTACTTGTGTTCTTGTTGCACTTCTTCTCCTCAAGGCTTTTTACGGCACAAAGATCAGGGGCAATTGTAAGGTATCTACGCCATGCAGCCCTTGCTGCGGTCGATGTCGGCCCGGGCACCGACCACACCCACCCAGCTGCCATCTCGATTATGGGCGACTTCAAACGCTGAAGAGTTCAGTCCAACAAATAAAAATGAGTCTCACTGAAAAATGCAAAAGTTTTGGGCCCTAACCAGGGATCGAACCTGGGACCTCTCCCAGACTGAATTGTCGTGAAGACAACCCTAAGGGAGAATCATACCGCTAGACCATCAGGGCTGATTGCATTATTTACAGGCTTGCTGCTGAATGACTACCATGATCGGAATTCAAAATATCAATTCTGTGGGAGCAGTCGGCTCTCGTGTGACTCCTCCTCCCCCACAGAATGGAGCCAAATTTCGACCAACAGCTCCACCAGCATCCACACTGCTACACCCAGCGCCCGAAATTCTTCAGCAACGACGCCCCTGATGCGTCGACTCAGTCACTGGGGTCACCACGTCCGGGTGTTCTAATCAATACCAGGGTTGCCAAGAGCCCTATCTATCGAAAGCCGGCAAACCGAGACCCGCACCGCCGTCGCTGGCTCAGGCTAGGGTACCCTTTCGGCCCCACACCACCGGGACCAGAACCCTTCAAGCTGTCGTAGCTTACAGCTCAGCCGCGCGCCATGCCGATTCATTCGGCACTTGGATCTGCAGCTGCTCCTCTTACGGCGCCGGATTGAGGAGTCCACCAACGAACGACGAGCATATGTCTTTGCCTTTGGAGTTGTTACTGGCACCTGCTCTATCTGATTGTCTAGAGCTTCCCGAAGCTCACGGATGCGAAGAACAGATGTTTACTGATCAATACTCACTGGACCGTGATCCCATATCCACAACTCGTGTCGACTCTTCGAGCCCCCAAGTACTGGGGTAACATCCTCACAAGTGTGGGGCGGCACCAACGGGCGTGACCTCCTTGGTATTCTGACCGGATGGAGGCGAATAACAGATGTTTACTGATCAGTGCTCACTGACAGCTGAGTCTGAGGGCTGAAAATGCCGGCCTCGCTCTGCCGGATAACTGCTGCGAGTTGACCATTTTCCACTGTCTATTCTTAGTTACCATCTTTCCAACTGCCGTCCTTTTCCAACAACGCGCCGTTTCCTGTCGTCTACCGTCGACAACGCCGACTCCTCCCGTTACCTTTTGGCTGACGTCTTTACCTCGTCTCACAAATAAGCCCTTTTGGTCTAGGCTAGACACCTGCCGAAGCCACCCTTGCAGGCCCTATGAGGCGAAGGATTCGACCTCATGTTCTGACAGGTTCCTTGTCCCGAGAAGCTTGACAACTTTCATCAAGGACTAACTCCCATTCAAACCCTATCATGCACGCGCCTAGCCAACTCAGGATAAGCTCACCAAGCACGCGTCTTGTTGTTATAGCCACAAACCCGAAATAGGGATTCTAAACATCCTGGTCTCCTGCTGATAGCCCATCAAGTTGATGAGCACGGCTTCACTTGATCTTTCGACCATGGCTTTGAAAGCAGTGCGGAAAGTTGTAATGGCTGGAAATCTACCTCCCTTGGTCCGTTCATACCCATCACGAGCGCACAAGCTCATCCCTCACCGCTGTCCTAAGCAAGTGCTGCGGGCGAGCCGGAAGACTGTTGCCATCTTTAGCAACTAGGTCCCCTATTGTGCCTAGTTGAGGGTTTGTGGTGGTATCCGCGTATCCGAGCTCGTTCAAGAAGCGCTTTCAATATCTGGGTATAAAACCCCTTTCGAATTTCAACCTGGGATGACTTAACCACTTCTCTCTACAGATTACGAGCTAGCTCACCACCACCCACCCATTTTCTCAAAGAACAGAATCACACCCGCCAAAATGCGCTTCTCTTCCTTGCTCGCCCTCATCTCCGCCGCCGTTGTGGCCGCCGTCCCCAGTCCTATACCCGAGGACGCCAAGTCCTATGTCCTCGCCGGCCCTCTCCCCTACGGGGAGCTGAAGACCGAAGTCGCCAAGGTCAAGTCTGACGGCGAGCCCAATGCTGCTCGCAGACTCAACAAGCGTATCTGTGAAGGCGTGTACATGTGCGAAGACCAGGACTTCAGCGGCGACTGCTACTACGGCTGCTACCCCCTCAGTAAATCCATCTACCCTGACTCCTACTGGGTATCACGTATTAGTTCAGTCGGCCCGGATAATGGTGGCGTGTGCGATTTTTACAAGTCAGTATACCGATATGTAGCTGTTTTCCATAGTGTTCAAGAGGATCATTTGCTAACTGAGCACAGAGGAACCACTTGCAATGTTCTCATTACTACTTGGCAGGCCTACAAATATCCTGGTGGCAACTTGAAAGCTGCCATCAATGACAACATGGGTTGCTTCTCCTACGGACTCAGTTAACGATTTTTGAATGATGTCCCAGGGTCGGAGAGGGCTGGCTTGCGAGCTATCAGGCGTAGTCTTGAAACAGATTGTTCGTGAGAATCATCGAAAAGAACTTAACAGTCTTGTTGAAGTTGTGAAAATTGATTTCCGAGCCCAAGCGAAACCACTCAAACTAGAAACTTGACGTAAAGGGGCCAAGAGAAAGTCGCCGTGGCAGGTTCAGGATTACCGATCCTTTGGAACAGTCTAGAGGCACTGAGACCCAATGCATTTCTGCCTAAGTATTGTCATACACATCTCCAAGCCATAATCAGCTTGATCGCTCCAAAATCTGCGTTGGACTCGCATCGTGGAGTCAGTAGTCTGAAGGTGCTTTGACATTTCTCTCCAAGCAGTTGATGGAAAACAGCAACCTAGCACTGAGCCCAGTTGTCCAGGTGCTAGGTATCATCTGCAAACCCTGCCCTGGCTTAGCCAATAGCTTATCCCTGGTCTCGCAGAACAAGTGGTCGAAACGACATTTCAGACAGTAGAAATTGACTGGTGATATGAAGAGCTGAAATACAGAGCGGTGAAGCTAGACTTCGACTACTGAAAGCAGCTGCTCGAGACAAAGATGTAAGGGATGCGTCTCAACCGAGACAGGCCGCTCGAAGAAGCAGCGTGAACCTCACTGGGGCTGAGACAAGTCCTTCAGAACCCTGCGTCCTCTCCGTACGTCCTCCTCATGATACGGCTCCCGCATTGTCTCGGCAATACCCTCCTCAACCCATTGGTTGACAGCAGGATGCTCCAACAGCGTCTGCACATACGCCATCGCAGGCTCCGAGAGCTTCAACCCAAAAGTCTGCACCCGCGTGGCAACAGGCGCAAAGAAGGCATCCGCCGCAGTGAACTCCTTGCCCGCCAGGTATGGCCCGCCAAACCGCGTCAGGCCATCGGTCCACAGCTGGTCCAGACGGTCGAGATCACGCTGCAACGCCGCGTCGGGAGGACCGCCGAGATCGATGCGCAGGGCCACGTTCATGGAGCACTGGTCGCGGATGGCCTCGAAGCCGGTGTGCATCTCGGCGGCGGCACTGCGGGCGAAGGCGCGGGCCACCTTGTCGTGAGGCCAGGCGGCCGGGTGGGCCTCGGCGATGTACTCGACGATGGCGAGGGAGTCCCAGACGGTAATGTCGCCGTCGATCAGGGTTGGAACCTTGCCGGTGGGCGAAAAGGATAAGAAGGCGGCTTGGCGGAGGCCGGCGACGAAGGTCTGAAGGCGTTCTTCAAAGGGGATATCAAGGGCTTTGAGGAGCACCCAGGGTCTCATGGACCAGCTGGAATAGCGCTTGTTGGCGATGAAGAGGACGAAGCCCATTGTGAGTGGCGGATGCGTGGCTAAGAGAGGGTGTGGGAGGGATTGAGATGCTTATGTTGAGGCTGAGATGAATCAAGTATTAGGATGAAGCTAAAGAATAGTATCGTGTTGAACACCGTTGAGCGTGAGAGACACTTGGTATATATAATGCACACTAGCGGCTTGACTTATCTAGCGATACCCGTCTAGAAATATTTCAAAACCTCGCGCCCTCTGGTTCGAGAAACGAAGGATCATGCAGGCGGGGCCACCCGAATTTGGCTGACAGCGGACACTAGTCCAACTTGATTGTGGATAGCAGCCTTAAGAGTCCAAGCTTAACCCGACCGTGGTTTACTGTTCTGCAGAAGTGTAGCTGAACTGTGAGTTGCGCGGAGGCTGAGATGGCGTGGTGCCTCGTGCCTTTACGCCGACGAGAGAGCCAGCCGCGGTTAAAAGTGGAGTACCGGCTGTCATTGGGAGCGCATGTCAATGGAAGGGCGTTACGAGAGGGACTATTTGGGTCCAGGAAGCTAAAATGTCCTGACTAGAGACGGAGGACTGGCCCGAAAAGAACAAGCTCTGCCACTTGGCGGTGACGTGAAGACGCGACTGAGCAGACACGACAGCTCCGCTCTATCGTTGGCCCTGAACCATGGTCGTCGAAACTAAACTAAACCGGGCACCTCGTCAGAATGCGGCTCAATGCTGGCTGCCAGTTGCTAAAGCCAATTTATGTTCTCTAACCCCGTAGTCTTCTCGTGTTGCCGAGGTCACGTCTAGCACTTGGCAGAAAACACAACCATGAACAGTTGTACATAACTTTTCCTTAGGGGTTAAACAGATGGGCTAAAAAGAGTGTTTGAATCAGCGAACTGGGAGGCTCTGTAAGAAAGCTATCTCGACGAAATTAGAGACGGAGGAAATGAGCGGGCGCACACTAGCAAGCTTGGCGAGGAATATATCTAAGACGTGCACTCAGGAAGACTGAATTAAGAGAAAGCCGGGACAGGCGATTCGGTATATATGGGCGAAAGAGTTTGGAGGGGAAGAAACAGAAGACCCGGTGCTGCGATGGAAGTGAAAATACGTATTATGTAAGACAAGTTTTTGGGATGGCATTCTGAGCAATTGCGCTGGCGCGGAATTTGTACCGAAGCTCTTGCAGATCGAGACCATCTGCGACCAAAACTTTTTTTTGGACAGCACCTCAATCTGCCCCAACTTGACCAATTTTCCCCCGCCAACCCCCAAGTCTCGACTCGATTATGCTTGCGGCACCATGGGTGTGTCGGCGGTGCCTGGGAGGGCTTCTGAAGCCCAGAAGCACTCAATTCATCCGCCGTGCTAGCTCAGGCAAGCTCCCCATCGTCATCATCTACGCCCGAGAGCTCGTGAGCTGACCCTGTCCGCCCTCGCAGACACAACCGCACACCTCCCACCAGCCCTCCTCCAACGAGCCCGCAACCTCGCCACCGAACACGATGCCCTCTCCCGCTCCCTCGAATCAGACTACGACACAAAGACCGCGCGCCGCATCGGCGAGCTCTCGAGCGTCGTCACAGCCCTCCGCGAATGGGAACAAGCGACAAGCTCCATCGCGGAGCTCAACGGCCTCCTAGGCTCCAAAGACAAGGAACTCCGCGAAATGGCCGCCGAGGAGCTCGACTCGACAAACGGCCAGCTCTCCGCCCTCTCGCGCAAGCTCTCGGCATCATTAACGCCCAAGGACCCCTACGCGCACATGCCCTGCCTGCTCGAGATCCGTCCGGGGCCGGGGGGCCTCGAGGGGCGCTTCTTCGCGGACACGCTGTTCAGGATGTACAAGCAGTACTGCTCGCGGCGGGGGTACCGTGCGCAGGTGATCAAGTACGAGACGGCCGACGCCGCGGGCGACCAATCCACCGCGGCGGGCGAGAGCCCGCTCCAGGAGGCCGTCATCGAGATCCAGGACCCGGGCGCGTACGACCTGTTCCGCGGCGAGGCGGGGATGCACCGCGTGCAGCGGATCCCGGCGACGGAGAAGAACGGCCGCGTGCACACGAGCGCCGTGGCCGTGTGGGTCCTCCCATCCTTCCAGGAGAGCGGCAGCGGCGACGCGGCCGAGGACATCAACAACCCGGAGAGCGACTTCTACATTGACCCGTCCGAGGTGAAGATCGAGACGATGAGGGCGCGGGGCGCGGGCGGCCAGCACGTCAACAAGACAGAGTCGGCGATCCGCATGACGCATATCCCCACGGGAACGGTGGTCAGCATGCAGGACTCGCGGTCGCAGTCGCGCAACCGCGAGGACGCGTGGAAGCTGATCCGGTCGCGGGTGGCGCTGATCCGGCGCGAGGCGAGGGAGGAGGCGGCGGCGCAGCTGCGCAACTCTGTGCTCTCCAAGCACAAGATCACGCGCAGCGACAAGATCCGGACGTACAACTACAACCAGGACCGCGTGACGGACCACCGCGCCGGCATCGACGTGTATAACCTCGACGACGTCATCAATGGCGGGGAGTCGCTCGACAAGATTGTCGACAGCGTCAAGGACTGGCTCGTCTCCGGCGACATTGAGGCCATGATGGCGGACGAGGACGCCGCGGCTGCGGCGGAGGCCAAGAAGGCGCAGAAGTGAAGGCGGTGATGGTGTACAGCCATGTATCATATTGTAGACTTATCTTAGAGCAAAAGCCGCGGCCGATCGCGGGTGGTCATCCGAAATCAACTTCTAGGCCTCACATGTTGGCGAGACCAGCAAGACAGACAATCGCGGTTAACGAATTCGCCATTTACGGCGCGATGTATGTTTTGCCTCGGGGCATTCTGGAAAGGCTGTCGGCCACGTTCACTTGTGCCGATGGAATCGTCTAAACATCCAGACGTGCAGATTGCCAAGATCCGGGGCCGCATGCTTAAACCACCCCGTTCTCAGCGGTGTCCAAGGGTCTATCGAATAGGCCCGAGCAGATCTGAGCCAGATCAGCCACGTTGTGGTATCCGTACGCAGTGGTGGTGGGCAAGACACACGGCGCTTTCGAATTGAAACATTGAAAATTTTTTTTAATTTTTACATTTTTGACTACATTCGTGTCAAATACAAGAGAGGGGATGTCATACAGAAAACGGCATGACAGAGGGAGCCCTAGATTTTGTTTCCCGTCGCAGTCCGTTTTTGCCGTGTTCTCCCTCCGACCGCTGTTAAAAAAAGCCATAAAAGACGCCGCGCTATGGTCATATAATAATGTACAACAAGTGGGTGGGTTAGGGGTACAGGGGGACCTCGGAGCGTGACCCGCGGACAGTGCAATCGCCAAAGGGCCCGTCATGACTGGTGTACATGTGTGTTCTCTCTCTCCCCTGGTCCAGGTCACGCTCCAAAGTCCGCATTCATCAAGCCGAGAGAGGCCTTCAAGCCAATTGGCGCTCCCGTCTCATCATCTCCAACACGCCGACGACGCCGTTCTTGCGGAGCCTCTCCAGAACAACACGCATGCCCTCACGGCTCTTGCCCATCTGGTCCTGCGTCTTGCTCGAGGCGATGCTCTCGATGCTGCGCTGGACGCCGCGCGCGCCGATGCCGCTCATCCAGCCCGGCATCCAGCGGCCCTCCTTTTGCTCCGGCTGGTCGACGACAGACGGGGACTGGTCCTTCTTCCCGCCGCGGAGCCTGTCGCCGAGACGTGACTTATAGACGAGCGTGGTGGTGACGTCGGTGGCCGCGTCGGCGGGGGCTTCGGCGGGGAGGCGGAAGTCCTGCTGCTCCACGACGGAGAGGACGTTCATGAAGTTGAGGTTGCGGCTCTCGGTGCGCATCCAGCCCTCGCGCATGTCGATGACGGAGGTCTCGAGAACATAGCTCGCCTTCTCACTAGCGGAGCCGCCGCCGGTGATGGAGGCCGGGAGGAGCTTGAAGATGGGAGCTGGCATACGCGACTTCTTCAGATGGATGCGGGTCGTGTGCAGCCTGCCCGTCACCGGGTCAAGGCGGCTGTCGATGGTGTCGGTGCTGAGGACATGGGTGGAGAAAGGGTTGAGTTTGGGGGAGGAGTAGCGAAGGAAGTAGGCGAGCGTCACGGTCGGGAAGGGGTGGGAGTAGGTGTGGTTCGTCGTGTGGGTGAGGACCATGTTGGCTGGCGGAATGGCTGGATTTCGTTGTTCGGAACTAGTGTTCGGCTGCTTCAATCGTCGTGTCTTGAGTTTTTTTTTTTCTGGTGCGAGATGGCGCTCACGTTCGTCGGGACGAAAGAGGCGTTGACATTGAGTGGCCTGGTGCGGGCGGCTCAATGCAGGAGTCGGTTTGTTTTGGGAATTGGGGAAAATTTGAAGCTATATCCGGAAGCTCGGGCACCGAGTCGTCGGTTTTTGTCAGCGTCGGGGTTTAGGTGGAATACAAGTCTTTGTCGTCGTGCACGGAGGAGGGCGAACAAGAGAGAGGAAAAAACGAAGAAAGCGGCCGCTGCGGAAAGAGGGGAGGATGATGAGGAGACGGGAGGGCGAAAGAGGAGGAGGGAGGTGAGAAGAGGGGAGGAGGAGAAGGGCGGTCGTAATGATGTAGTGCTCGTGCGTGTGTCGTTCGATAGGTCGATTGATTTGGGGGGAGAAATGCGACCATTCTTTTGGGTCTGGCCTCCCTTCCCCGACCAAGCCGCCTTACCTAGAGCACACCGGGACCTTCCAGCCACTAAGAAACGAGTCAAACGACGCCAATTGGCTTTAACTGCCAAAGCCGCAGGATTTGATTGGTCTGGCAGTCACTCCGCGCCCGCTTTTCATCACGCGAGCTTGGGCCGCCTAGGTGGCAAAGTCACATGATGTGGAGTACACCGAGCCTCACCGGGAGCTCTGGAAAGCTGTCACTCGTACTCTAACAGTTTTAAGCCTCACCTCCGCCCCACCTTGAAACACAACCTCTGTTCAGCAAGTCCGTCGCCATGTGGCCATAAACTTCCTGTCTGAAACACACCGCGACAACGCCTGCGGACTTGATGATGTGCTTGCTTGTCTGAGGAGCTTGTTTGTGGCTAGCTAACAATCGCATCTGTGCATTGTGCATCTTCCCCATGCCTCGCATACCGGCACATGATTGGCCTGACCTTTTCGGTCTTGCTGCCCGTGAAGCTGATTCATAGAGACGGCATCGTGTGGTCGACGACAGCAAACGCCAACGCTTCTGCTAGATATCGGTCTGAGAAGAAACCTTATTCACTTCCCAACTTCGAATGTTCCATTGAAGGGTGCTTTCGGCGTCGACATGCAGTCTTTGTTTTTGCTTTGATTTAGAGGATCTTACGTGACACTATTTGAGCTTCATTCGCAATTCTCTTTCCATTGATGTAATACAAGTCTAAGACCAATCAAGCTTGACCTTATCAGTAATTCAGTCGTCAATCCATCCTCCCGGAACGCGCAGTGGCGGGTTCTCGATCATTTCCCAGAAGTCTCCTGCGAACTCGTCCTCGTCGAGATCCCAGTGGAGCTTCCAGTCCTCGAGTTCCGGACCAGTGGTGAGCCCAACTAGCCGTGGGCCCGATTGATCGTCTCTGTACTGGAACCATCGCCTGCATTGTAACCATTCGTTGTTGAGGTATAGGTTTCGCTCTTTAATACCGTATTTATCTAGTGCTATGCCGGAAGACCGAGCATCTTCCAACCACATGAACATGGCTCTGGACATGTGGCGTCGCACTTCGCGGTTCGTGCAATATCCAAAACTTAGGGCTTCTTCCAGATAGACCAAGCCGCTGAAGAAAGAGGGTAAGTGGTGGTTTCCATATGTACGTCCAGGTTGAATCAGATCTTCCAGTGACACTCCAGAGAAGATCCATCGCGCAAGTTTGCGCCAACTTTTGATTAGCATCCCTTTTTCGACGAGTCTGTTTGAATACTGCGGCATAGCAAAGGCTAAATTCTGAACACCCCAAAAGTACGCTTCGGCAAAGGAGCAAAGGTTGTTGCAGTCAGGGCCACAAAGCATGACTCTTAGCGATCCATCTTTCAAGCCGCCCCCACGGTCTATCTCATTCAGTAAGACGTCAGGGTCTGCAGCACGCCAGTTCAGAGAGGTGAAGCGGGCATCTGGTGAGAGTTGAATGGGGTCTACCTGTGCCTCGGTGGCCAGCATTTGAAGAACACCCGGGACACTCCAAATGAGATCAAAAAGACGTGACCCTAGAATGCGTCGGCCGTCTTTCTGGAAAAGAACTGGGAGATGTCATCGAATACGCCTCTGGATATCAGGAGTCTCATCAAAATATCGACATCTTTTGTATCGCTGTTCTTCAAGTATAACACTTCGGTCACTGTGGAGCCGTAATTCGTCTCTTGGGTGCTAAGACCCATCCTGATCAAGTTCGTCATAACATCAACATTCCCATGAATTGCTGCTATCTGGAATCAAAAATCAGCTCTGTTATCGATGAGAGATAATGAGAGAAAGCCGGCAATGTATAATATAGCAAATCTTTTTGCAAAAGATCCTTACATGTAGAAGTGTCCACCCGTAGGAATCGCGATCTCGTAAGGATGCCTCGTTCCGATTCAGAGTATCAAGAACATCTGCCCATGCTCCAGTTGCGACGCGTTCAAATATTGGAGCGCTTTCAGGACGTGTGATCCACGGTAAAATGGAGAACTTCCAACCTTGACATGCCCTACGGGCGTGTAGATCCCAGACTTTGTCTGATATCCACCAGGGAAGCTGTACGCGAGCCTGGAAAACTGTTTCAAGTTTAGCTAATTAAATGGAGGGTATTTTGAGCTTTGGGTGATCATACTTTGCATATTCGGATCCTTTTCATGGTGGAATACCGTGTAAGTGAAGCCGCCGATTATCGAAGGCTTCAGCCACGGAAGGGGGCTTGGTTTGTGTTGTTGACTTTGCACAGGGAACGTGTCATTATCGTCATCAACCTCCCTTGCAGTTGTCGTGAATCGATCAGGATCATTTCCAGGAGTGATCTGAGTCGACCCGAATCCAGACTGACTGCCCTCAACTAGGGAGTCAATAGTTGAGGAGCTGTCTTTGACTAGAGCGCTGTTTCTTGTTGGTGTCATTGTTACACGTATGAGTAAGTCGTACTTACATGATGTATGTTTGCTGAGAAAGTGCGAGTAGTTGCAGAGCAAATTGTATCCTCTCGTGGTAACGCTGCAGTACATCCTTCTTGAGAGTGACCTTGAGTTTAATAAAGTTCCTTGATCTCTTCGCATTGCTGATTCGACATTGCAAGTCTTCCGCTAACACTTCCAGTTCGTTTATGGCTTGTTGGCAATATTCCATACTGAGGCCCGCCGCACTACTGTGATGGATCCCATGCTGCCCACCCCGAAGCCCATTCTCCATTTCCTCGAGAATTGGCTTCGCAATCGCGAGCTGCTTGATACGCTGACTGATTTCACTGGGCACATCTTGAACCTCCTCCCAAAGCCTGTTCAACTTGAAGATGCTGGTGCTGAACTTGCTTACCATGCCGGCCACCGTCATGGCGCTGACGACGACGCCAAAGACTTCCGCCATTACGACTTTGGCGGTGCACCCCGAGACCCCTAAAGTTGCTGCAACACTCCCTCTCCTACGTCTCGGAAGTATCAGGGATGTCTATAAAGTGGTATGAGACCAAGCGGAGTCCTTGACTAACCAGTCCGTGAAGGCGGGTTGAAGTAGGTATCTGATTAGAGATGATGTTGGAATTGAGATATAACGTAAAGCAGAATACCCGGTTTAAATCCAAAGCTCACCTGCACCGACGCCACAGAGCGCATGCACGTGTTTATGGAGGCGGGGAGCCTGGCCAAGGCACACTGCCAGCTGTGCTGCAGGTATTTTGACCAACAAGAAACAAGCCAAGCAAGTGATAGTGGCACGGCGAATGCATCTTACACCCCTGCGCCTCGACCATCTGAGGCCCCACACATTATGCACTGCTCAATAAGAAACAAAACCTCCCCCCCTCACACTACGCAGTGAGCTCTTACAATAGCATGATGTGTTCTTCGGCTAATCACTATCATGTGGGTAGTGTGAGAGAAGAAACTCAAGAGGAGAAGGCAAAGACAAGAAACAAGAGGACGGCCAGCGAAGCCTATGGTGCAGATTTCGCCCGTGATATTGATCGTACTTTGATACGGATGCCTGAATTGCCCTACGGAGGCCGTTTAGGGAGCTGTTGCGTCTCCCATGTAGAGCGACACGCTGGAGACAGGCAGCTTGGCAACACCGTTAAACGCCATGCGTCTAAGTTGACCTGGGAGACTTTAACCTGCATTAGCACCTCCCCAAGCTGATCATGGTGATTCCGGCTCCACTGACTGGGACATCCCGAGAATCGAGCTGGCGCCCTTCTCCCCATCCCGCACGAAGACGCCCTCGCTCTCGACCTTCCATCCTTGAACGCCACTGAACTGCACAAACTGCACAGCCATCTCCCACGCTTCTTTGTCTGCCGCATCGCCGCTCTCGAAGACCATGAGGTCGAGCCAGGGGCTGCCATCGTCCGGGTCGAAGAGCTCGCGGAACAGCATCGAATAAGAGGTATTACGCTCCATCCACAGATCGGCGAGATCAACGTTGCGAATCTCGTCAACGTCCTGCAGTATGTCGTTGCGCGGCACAAGCTGCACGAATAGGCGGTCGAGGCGGGGGATATTCTGAACGAGGGTGTTGAAATGGCTAGAGAGGGGGAAGATGCCGACGTAGGATAGGTCGCGGATTGACGGAGCGATCATTGGCTCATCGTTGGGAAATTCTTCGGCTCCGAGGAGGGCACCGAGTATGGAGGGTGGACGCTTGAGGTAAAACTCGTATGTCTTGTAGACGCGGGTCGAAGAACCCTCATTAAGTAGGAGGGCTTGCCACGGACGGATGGTGAAGAGGTCACAGGGAACACGTTTCTGGTGCGGTGATTCTGGCGGGGGTGCCCGGCTTGACGAGGCTGTGGTGGTTGACTTGTACCTTGTCGTGATTGTCTTCTTGTCTTTTCGTGAGAGAGACAGGACATGCTGGGGCATGGAGAAGTTCCACGCATCTCCGAGGAAGAGCATGCGCGATAGTAACTGCGCGAGTACTCGAGGCGATGCGATGATTGTAAGCCGGATAGGATCGATATGGTCGAAGATCGTTCTCCATAACCAGTTATAGTCTTCGCTGTAGGAAGCTTTGTTCGCGAAGCCGGTCTCCATGAGGGTGGCACTACTGGCGCCATCCGAGGAGACGCCGCCCATGGCATCTTCAGCAAACATTGTCAGAGTTTTGACATAATTGATCAGGTTGTTAGCCCTGAGAAAAACAAGAAAGTCAATCGCGGACGATGGGTTCCCCGTCTCTTCCATGAGCGGCAGCTCAAACCGGTCGAAGGTCCAAACGACATGCCGGAATAGAACGGGTAGAATAGAGTCCCGCCATCGCTTGCACACGAGAGAAGTCGTCTTGAGGTCTCGATCGAAGAAGAGATTCTGTAGCATGAACGACGACGGCTGGTCATGGAGCTTCGAGTCTGAAGGCGCAGGTCGGTCTAAGTGGGAGAAGATCTGAGCGAGGATCTCGTTCGGGAGATCATTGACAGAAATGACCATGTTGAACGCGGTCAGAATTGTTTCTGTCGAGAGCAGGTAGTTTGGGCAGAATGGTTCCTATCAAGGAGCATTCAAAAGACGTGTCGTCAATCTAAGCCAGGGTGCTTGTTTCACGGAATAGGTGCGGCCGAGGCAGGTTTCAGGATCGGATGATGCTGGATCTGACAGCTCAACGGGATAGATGTGTGCGAATGAAAATGGGTCTCGCTTCAGTCAGACCATTCAGAGACGGATGAAAGACTGGAAGTGAACACTCGTTATGTTGCAGTATAGTTCAGCAGAGATGTAGTAGAGAGGTTTATGATGGGGCGATGTCATCGTGGGGTTCAGGGATCCGTCGCGACAGTTAAGGTACCTAGATTTCGCCACAGCCAGCCCCACTCAAGCTGCGATAAGATAGCGATAAGAGCTTCATGCTTCCGTTCCCTTCCAGGTTACTGAGCAGTTGGCCTTTTCATACACATTATGACCGCTGGATTCCTATTTATAAACTGGTGTACTCCTTCCCCTTGTTATTGAAGGCGAGTATCAGAAGTCAAGAGTAGGCAATACTGATGGCAGGCCAGAGGCATGCTATCAGTTATCAGATGTCAGGGAAAGCCAGCTGGAACCAGCAAGTCCCGGCACTTGATCTACAATCAGCACTTGTCCATCCTAGCATTCCGATGCATGATCAGGGTTCATCTTGACTCCAAGGCAAATGGGACACTTCTGTTCCTCGAATGGGTGCTCTCTGACGTCTCCACTGCCGTGCTGTTGCGGCGCATGTGTTTAGCCGCAAGTCTAAATGTACCGTTATTTCAGCCACCCTTTCTAGATGCAGCATCCCGCCGAACTCGACATTCCGGACGACAGAGCGACTACGATCAAGTCTAGTCAAAGCGGCCATCAACGGCCTCCGAGCTCCTTGGCCACCTGCCGTCGGGAAGAATGGCGCCAGTACTTCCGACTAAGCTATGACAAAAGGCGGGGAAAGCGGGGATCGAGGTGGGTGCGAGGCTTGGGGAGGTGGTGATGATGGCACGAGATGACATCGTTGAGACCGGGGGCCTAGGGCTGGAAGGCGAAAATGCTTTTTCGGCTCATTTGTATCCTCTGTACGCAACCCTGCAGACTGGGTCTTGGCTAGTTATTGAATTTCGAATTTCGCATTCCCGACATGCCATTCTGTTCGTGAACCAGCCCTCTCAAGTAGCAAAGTTTATAAGATAGTTGGAGCTCCAAGTTCTGTCTACCTTTGAGAATGCAATTCTTAGCCCCATCTATTCAAAGGGAAATCATGGCCGCCAAGAACCACCAGAGACCGCCCTTCCGCGCTGAGCACATGGGCTCGTTACTGCGACCCAAGGCCCTGACCGAGAAGCGCATAGCCCTAGACGGCAAGAAAGCCGTCGAGATCGCCGAAGACGAGGAGCTCAACCGTCTTGAGGAAGAAGGCGTGCGTGACATCGTCAAGACGCAGCTGGGTCTCGGTTTCCACGCTATCACCGATGGCGAGTACCGCCGCCACCAATTCTGGGGCAACTTCTTCCCTGGTCTTGAGGGTTTCGAAGAGGTCGACACGCCGAGCTGGGATATCTTCCGCATGTATGTCCCGGACATTGCGGCCTTTAGTGAGTTTTCCGATACCGCAATGTGTGGACCTGGTTTCTGATGGCGATGCTTCCAGTTGAGAGTGACCATAAGCCCGGCGAGTCCATTGTCTGCACAGGCAAGATCAAGCACAAGGGCAGCACGTATCTGAGAGAGTGGGAGTTTCTAAAGAACAACATCCCGCCTGAGCGCGTCAAGGAAGCCAAGCTGACCCTCCCCGCGCCCGAGTGGTATCATTTGCGATATCAAAAGGGGCATGCATACCCCAAAGACGTCTATGCCAATGATGAAGAATATTTTGCGGACATTGCCAAAGCATACCGTACAGAATTGGAGGTTCTGTACGATCACGGCGTTCGGAACGTCACCATCGACGACCCCAACTTGGCGTGTAAGTAGCCCCCAACGTTGTTCAGCAATCGTTCAATGACATCTTGACCGACAATCATGCACCCAGACTTCTGCTCGGAAAAGATGCTCCAGGGCTTCAAGGACGCAGGCGAGGACTCTGACGCCCTGCTACAGTCCTATATCAAGCTGTACAACGACTGCATCTCCTCCCGCCCCGCCGACATGCACCTTGGCATCCATCTCTGCCGCGGCAACTTTGCCTACTCGCGGCACTTCTCCGAGGGCGGCTACGACCGCATTGCCTCGCGGCTGTTCAATGAGATCGACGCCAACACCTACTTCCTTGAGTACGACACGGACCGTGCCGGCGGGTTCGAGCCTCTCAAGGAGCTGCCCGCGCACAAGAACGTGATCCTGGGCGTCATCACGTCCAAGTTCCCCGAGCTCGAGGACCTCGAGAAGATGAGGGAGCGGGTTTTGCAGGCGGCCGACTTTGTGGCCAAAGGCGCGGGCCAGACACGCGAGCAGGCGCTGAAGAGGATCGGCGTCAGCCCGCAGTGTGGGTTTGCAAGCCATCACTTGGGCAACTCGATTTCGCACCAGGATATGGTGAACAAGCTGAAGCTAGTGAGGCAGTTGGCCGACTCCATATGGCCGGGCGAGCCTTGAAGTCTTGAACCGGCTTGAGGGGCGGCGTTGCGGCGTGAGTTGCATAGCACGGTTGGCATTGTAGGGTCTAAGAGAAGGAAAGTAGGACCCTCGCGAGGTGGGTTTGTTGGTCTGCAAGAGTTTGTGAAAGTTATCAAAGCAGAAGCTTGTGTTGGCATGGATGAAACCGAACACGACTTGTTCCCGCTGCCAACGCTTCGTGTTTCAGTGATAAAGTGTATACCGTTGTGGGAGATGGACGGTTGCCACCCGCTGCCCAACGGTCGCTCATGTGATCCAGAACGTTGCAGTAAAAAAGGGGTATCATTTGAGCACATGGCTCGACCTACACACGCCAAACGCCGCTTCACTTGGTATCTGAATGACTGTCACTCTCCTCCGCCATTTTCGTGGCCGCTGATCTATCTCGCCTACACAGGCAGGGGCTGCGGGTTGTTTCCGACCGTCTTGTACAGCTCACGCAGCTCAAACTCCTCGTGGCCGCCCTCGGGCACCTCGCCGACCACGCGCGCGGGCTGTCCCGCAACGACGCTGAAGCTCGGAATGACCATGTTTGGTGGCACAACGGTGCCCTCGAGGATGCGCACGTAGTCCTTGACGATGGCGAATTCGCCAATCACGCAGTCGCGGCCGATATGGATATGAGAGCCGATCGAGGCTGCTTGAATGACGACGTTTTGGCCGACGAAGACGTGGTCGCCCATGCGGAGAGGCATGTAGGTGAAGGCTCTGCAGAAGTGAGTCATCAGCGATTGGGAAAGACTCGGGGTCGGTGTATGATGTGGAAAGTGAACGCACCCTTTGTACATTCGTCCCGGGGGGCGCAGCACGGCGCCCCTCGAAAGAAAGCAGTATCGGCCGATGGCGACGGCGGTGCTGTTCGCGGGGGCCCCGCTGGCGGAGGGCTGCGCCGAGCGGGCGAGGTCGCCTCGGATCATGACCTCGGGCTGGATGACGGTTTTGCCGCCGAGCATGATGTTCTGTGTACCGACGAGCGTCGCCTTGCGGGCGACCTTGTTGCCCGTGTCCTGTTTGCAGTCGGATTAGTCGGCGGTCTTGGTGGGTATTGTGGCGGAACTGGCCCAGGCATAACGTACGGTCTCGATGTAGTCTCCTTTTGCCGGTCGTCGCGACATGGTGGGCGGTGGTGGACGGGATTGAAGGTCACGAGTTCATCGATTCCGAGCGGGATTGAAGTTGTCGACGGTGTTCGCGTACGAGCGCGTTGAGGTGTGACGCGGGTTGGTGTTTCCAGCGGATCGGGGCGGGTTTACGGCGCGCTAGTGGCTGATTCAGGGTCTCCCTCTCGGCCGGTCTTTAATTACCAAAGACCGCTGCCGCCCGTGAAGAGTCGACTCACGGCAACCGAACCTCTCAGCATGTCACAACAGCCCTGATCGCGTCAACTAATTAATGCTTTACGGCATATAAACAATAATGATATATGTTTGTTTCAGCCTATTGAGCAAAAATGGGGCCGAAACAATCAACCCGATTTACTTGATCGCTTCAACGACTTTTTCAGTTCCTTCCACAACTTCCTTCGAAGGATTAAATGTTTGATGATTCCTTATCGAAAAAAATGCTACATAATAAACAGCAGCCACGCAACTACGGTAATTGCAAGCAAGACTCGGGGATAATGACTGAAACATATGGCAAGCAGCTCACTTTACTTTATAGTGAAGTAGATAACACGAATGGCAAAAGCGAAGATGCGGCCAGTGTGGATTGAACACACGACCTTCAGATTGATTGAATGAAGTTTCTCAAGTCCCGTACAGAACCCGCTTCAGTCTGACGCTCTCCCAACTGAGCTATGTCCGCCGCCCATCTTCGGAGAACTCCGGGCATCCGTGGCTTTTTGAATCGTTGCGAGAATGGACCCGAGCCACGACTACAAGCTAGTTAGCGGGGCGGCGGATCCGGTGGGGGACGAGATCGGGTCACATAGGTGGGCGACGAGGTCTGTCTCTGGTTCTGACGATGGAATCACCGAAGAGAAGCCATGACTAAGGCGGTAGAAGAGGCTGGCTATCAAAAGATAACAAGTCTACGTCGGAAATTAACTTCAGCCCAGCAGCCGACAACTACCGCTCCGGGGCGAAGCCGCAAATCACCTCCGGCTGCCTCCATAACACTGTCACTATTACCTTCGGCGCCTGAATGGAAGCTGATTTCTGCTGCCGAAGGGCCAGCCGCGTAAAACATATCAGCGTAAGGTAGTCGAACAGCCCAGCCAACGGGAACGGACCAATCTGACACCCACAAGGGCCACAGAGCACAAAGGACCGCTCGTCCGCAACGCGGACCTCTTGCCATAGCCAAAGGCGTTCGAATCAAAGACGCCGAAGCAACCGTGTGATGCCCAGCCAGGTCTGGTTATCACAAGGGAAGCCGCCGACGCGCACGCCAGCTCGGGGTTATTGCAACGAGATGGATTTGTCTTCCACGCTCCGCGCTCAGTGTAGAACGGCTGTGGCACTCTCTAAGGTTCGAAGCCATCAATGTATGGAAACCAAGCAGTTATCAGTGTTAACTCGTTTCTTGTGCAGGAGAAGAATGACTTCAGAGTTCAACAGCGACAAATTCGGAATGCTGAGGCCGTGGTAAGTGGAACGTGTCCATATATACGATTCACTTTGTGAGTCTTGGTTTCTGAGAAGAGTCAACGTTGCTTCGCTGTCGAGCTACGCGGCTCAAAACTCATCATTGATGCTGTAGTTTCGCCGCCGGGTATTACTCCAGACCTGGATGCTCCGCATCTGGAAATCAGATTTGAAGCAGCAGGCACTCACATACTCTAATTAGTTGAAACAAGCTTCACCTTTTTTACTATGTCCTGCCTGATCATTATACGCTACCAACATGCTAAGAACACTTAGAACGGTGCATTTGAAACGAGGTTGCTCGGAGCTTAGGGCTCAGGCAAGATTCTGTGAATCTCCGAAGAACTCAATCAGCTGCAATAGCTCGAACAGATGCAGACAAGTCACAACTAAATCAATACTAAAAGGGATGACTGCCACAACCCACCCGAATCACAGATGACAAGCCTGCGTCTAAAATGAAGTCTCTTGGCATCCGGGTTGCAATTTTGCCCCACATATCCGCTACGGCTACCGAAGCCGATTCATGGAGGGAGGGAAGTGCTTGACTTTGAAGAACCTAAGTGTAATAAATACCAACACACAATCACCATACCAACACTGGGCCAATAACTTGATGTTAGGATGAGTAAAAAATCAAAAGAGTCTCCTCGACGGGGAATTGAACCCCGGTCCCCTGCGAATCGTTTTAATGACAAGCAGATATCCTCACCACTAGACTATCGGGGATTGGTTGATTGATGATCCATCGCGACCAGAACCACAAGATCACCGGTTGGTTGTGACGTTCATCATAGTCTTTTACGGCTCTTTGACCCCAGTTGGTCCCGAAAAGCTGTTGATAGAAGCTCATTAATAGTAGAGCCTCTCCTAGATGTCGCTCTCGTTCCATGAACGCCACCCAAAGGCTTCTTGAAATCGCCTCGCCATCTTCGTCGACCTTCCTACTAACACGAATTCTTCCTGCTGCAGCGACATGATACATGGTCTGTGCTGACTAGGTAGAGTAATCAAATAGGCGAGTTGTATCCAGGTACACCTTGCAAAGTACGATCTTTGTCATGGACTGACACGCTACCTTACACAGAGCACCAGCTGGAATAGGGAATGCTACACCTGAGGATTGATGATGTTAGTGCGATCAAGAAGGAAACCAAATCTCCCGTTCAGTTCTAAAAAGAAGGAAATCAATTACTGATGTCTCCCTTCTGTGGAATTTCGAGAGATGACCGGATCCATCGTGACAATGGCTAAGTTCCATGATTACTGACAAACGTATCAAACTGTGCGTACGAGATAATCAAAACGCAGACGCAGCATTGGTATTAGATACTTGCTACAGAGCTTCTGTATAAAGGCCACTGTCTCAAATGCTATTACTTTGATAGCATTGATATTTAAGTCCTTATGCCTTACATTGGTACCAGACGTTTGTGTTTGGTCAAGGCCATGATGCCGACCTCAGTCATACTCAAACGTTGGTTGAAAAATATCTAAGTCGATCCAATCACTCCACTGGAGTTTGGTACGGCCATCGATGGTGACTTTCTGTATCATTTGTTTACTTTGTAGTGTCAAAGCGTATCATTCGGCCATATGGTCCCAAAGGAACGCTTCCGGCAGTTTGGGAACATTTGAAATCCAAGTGTGCGATGTGGACGGTGTACAATCTGACATGTGAACTTGTAGTCTTAAATACATGATAATGATATTCTTAAAGAACATCGGTTGTAAGTTTTGAGGTATCAGGTGTGAGCTGGGTACAGTGCACTGTCTTTAAACTATTACTACTCACCTGAGTGCTGAATAATTCCCAAAAATAGCACGGCAGAACGCATTTCGATACTTGTTCCACGCCCTTCCGTTGGAGAGGTAGTTGGCCCGCTTGAAGTCTTTAGGCAAGGCAACGGAGGTGCAGAGTACGCGATCTCCGAAGCGGACCATGCTGATTAGTGAACAACCTTCAAGCGCAGGGCCTCGGGGATGCATGATCAGTAAACATAGAAAGTGGGTCTGACAAACCATTTGCATTCTACTGGGCTGTTTGCGACATGCAACAACAGTATCTACTAAAAAGACACTGACAGGTTGTTCACTCTAGAGAACCTCAGTCGTTGAAGCCCCCGTGCGATGCAGTAAGAATTACGCATAGAAGCCTGGAATTTAACAGCGAATGGTGTTCTTCAAGTATTCGTAGCGCTAGACCTCTCTTTACCATCCCTCGGCGACAGCTTTTATGACTCGTGGTGGGACGCGCTATCCAAGCCTGCAAACCTTATCACAGAGTTCGGATCCGATTATTTACATTCTGTCGACAGTCTTGCATTGGAGTTCTATATGTTACAATGGGATACTGAGCACTTTGGCCATAAAAGTCTCTGATCTATTACTAATAATGAAATACCTTGAGATGGTCGTGGCTGTTGGTGTCCCAGACCTTTCGCGTCACTCATATCTTGATTCAAAGCCTACTGATACGTTGCTATTGAAGGATACTGTAATCCAGTGCAGCATGTGGGTCTTCAAGCCACAGGAAAGTGATGCAAGAATTCTTACAGACCATCACAGTGTGCAGATATTCGTTTCTTCTCTACGCCTGCAAGACATTACACACACATCATAGTCATACCTACTCAGCATCAAGGACAATGCGTTCTTTCAGATTAGTGATCTGGCAGTAGCCTGCTATGGCTGATGCAATGCTTCCCACGCGAAACTCCATCACTAATCACAGACCACACCTTAATGCGTGGCTAAGAGAACAGAAATGTTGCTTAGCAATTCACCGGGCTCGGGCCTCTCTGGCGCCATTCTCGGCGCCGAACAAGACCCATCTCCGCTTCTGCTGCTTTCTGCATGACCGAAGAATTGGTCTCCAATTTGGGTTTGGGAGAGTGGAAAGTCGGCGAATGTCTCTTCTATAAGCCGTGATTTAGTATTTAAGAGATGGGTGTTCAACCTCCCATCTCCTATGAGAACTATCATCAGCATCAGCATCAGTCACCAGAAAACTCCACAATATTCATTCAACCACTACAGAAGTCCTTAACGAGCCGTGAAACATTACACAATGTCTCCCAGTCTTACTTACCTCATCACCGGCGCAAACCGTGGAATTGGCCAAGGTTTCGTGTCCCTCTTGCTCCAGCGCCCTTCCACAACCGTCATTGCCGGTGTCCGCGACCCGTCGAACTCCTCTTCCAAGGCCCTTGCCGATCTCCCTAAGGGTGAGGGTTCCAAGCTCATCGTCGTCAAGATCGATTCGTCTGTCGAGTCTGATCCAGCCTCCGCCATTGCAACTCTCCAGAAGGAGCATAACATCACCTTTCTCGACGTCGTCATCGCCAACGCCGGAATTTCCCACTCCTCCGAATCGGTTTCTAATGTAGACATCAAGTCCACTCTGGACCACTTCACCGTCAACTCAGTCGCGCCGTTGATCCTCTTCAATGCCGCGGCGCCGCTGCTCAAGGCCAGCGCAAGCAAGAACCCCATCTTTGTCGCAATCTCGTCGTTGATGGGAAGCAATGGCGCCGCAGATAAGGTTGCCCAGATTCCGGTGCCAATTAGCCCTTATGGCGCCAGCAAGGCCGCGCTGAACTGGTTCGTGCGGAGGCTGCACTTTGAGGAGCCTTGGCTGACGGCTTTTGTATTCCACCCGGGTCTGGTGGAGACGGATATGGCGGCGCAGTTGGCAGAGACGCGAGGATTCGATTTGAAACTTTTCGGCGCCATTACTGTGAAGCAGAGTGTTGACGGAATGGCAGCTGCTATTGACAAGGCCAACAGGGAGAGCAGTGGAACGTTCAAGAACTACGACGGAACTGACCTACCTTGGTAATGCAACCTGTAGGGGCTCGACTTTGACTTAGGAGCATAGCTTGCACTGTTAGAGACTCATGATAGACTTGCCACACTTGCTTTGATGTAGATTTTTATGGATTACTTGCATATTGTCTCATGATAAACGTTGCCCTGTTGTTATGTGCACTTATGAAGTTCATTATAAAGCTTTGGGATTCGGTTATGTTTGATTCTAATTCATTGAACTATGGGCAATATTTGCAGAGAAGTTTCGAAATGTTCGGGGGCCTTCAAAGTAACGACTGACTTAGATAAGATCAGATGTCTCCGCAACACGGCGCTTGGACTTCCCCTTGCCACTGTAGAACTCGTCGACCCAAGTTTTGAGCTGGGCGATCTCAGCCGTAATGACCGCCTCCACGCCTGCGTTGACATCGCCGTTCTTGACGAGCAAGTCGTTGCAGTGGCGCCCGCCGGGGAGAAGGTGCACCGGAGCACCGGGGCGCGACTGGAGAGGGCCGCCGGGACGGAGCTCGCTTGATACGGAGGCGGAGCGCCATGGGTCGAATTCACTATCAACGATTAGCGCCAAGTTTAAACCTATGCATTATGCAACGCCAACACCATCCATGGGTGCTGCCAAGGGTTCAAAAGCTGACTCACCCGTTCGACCAGACCAGACGAGTGGTGTTGGTAAAGTACCACCCACTAGTCTCCTTGTTAAAGTCCTCTGCGGTCTTGCCGTTGTTGGAGGCGTATGTAAACTCTCCCTGCTTGGGGAAGAAGAGATCGCACTGGCGCTGGTAGTACTCGGGAGTGACGAAGCGCGAGACGATGGATGGGCGGTCCTTGGGAGCCCCACTGTAATACTGTCAGGATTGACCAAACAGAAATATGGACTACTTCTCAACCTACGTCTGCCAGTAGAAAAAGGGCTCGTTGCACGTCATCCAGTACCAAGTTCGTCCGAACTGGTCGTCAGCAGTCCAGTCGGTGTAGATGGGGCTCGTCGCATTGTAACTGTCAAAGCAAGCCACGTTCATGGGGTCCTCCCATTCTGCAATGCCGTAGGATGCACAAGCTGGGTCACAGTGAGTCTAGTGTTCATCTGGCGGCTGGTTGAAACATGTGCTTACTGCCTGGAAGGTATTCAGAGCTCCACCACTTAGCATAGTTGTCGAGTGCCTTGGGAAGGCCAACACCGTTCTCATTGGGGGCTGTAAAGTTGCCGGTAGCCCCCTCGACCGCGTCGCACATTGCGTAGAAAGGGGAGTAGCCCGAGTACAGCTGGATAGACTGCCAGTAACCCAGAGGCCCAACAAGAGCGCTGTGTTGCATCAGCCAGTGAAATTCTTGGAGTCAAAACTTAACTTACGAAGCAAAGTCGTCGTTGTGGGCGAGATCCTGTAGGCCGAACTTCTTCTTGAGAGAGAAGACCTCGTCTTCGGTACCGGTAACCAAGACGTTGTCGATATAGTCAACCATACGTTCAAAGTCGCGGCTGCAGTTCTGAGGCATGCCCTTCTGGATCGGGAGGAAGTAGCCCCAATAGTCGTAGACCGCTTCAACGGGCCCGCTGCTGGCATGGTATGCCCATATCGTTCCCGGGGCCAGCCTTGCAATGGCGGCGGCCAAGGTGCCGGAGTAAGAGCCACCAGTGTAAACCCAGGGCTGATAGGCGTCAGTTTCACATCTTTACTTATCAAAGGACACGTTGACACTGACAGCTTGGGGTGCGTTACTGCTGCTGTTGGTGTCAAAGGGCAGCTCGAGGTTGCGGGCGATGTTGACAAAGTCAAGCACGGCGTTCTTCATCGTGTGTTGCTGGAGGTTCTTGGTGTCTTGAAGGGTGTAAGGCAGAGACGTGCCCCAGTTGCGGTCTGCACGATGTTAGTCTTCACGTCTCTGAAGAACGGGCGTGAGTTTGTCGTACGCTCAACCATGACGACAGCACCACCAATTGCTTTAGCGATGTTGCCTGTGAGGGCGCGGTCCGTCAGGTACCCGGTGTACCCTTCCGCAGCGACTTCACCTGGGGTGAAGAGGACAATCTAAAGTCGGTTAGTTCGGTGCCTATTGAACTTATCCACGAGAGAGCCATACCGGAGAGCCAGGACCCTTCCAGTAGGTGGCATTCCACCAGTATCTCTGTTGAAAGGTACCCAGTTCCGGGGCATTGTGATCAATGAGCTGCTCGAAGAATCCCGTCTCACGCTTGGAAAGAAGTCCCTCATCGTCTTCAGCTCGCAGAGGAGGCTGGATGGGCCGGAAGGCAAAATGAGCCTGAGCTGCCGTCAGGCAGCTGAGCAAGGCGAGTGAGACCTTCATGGTGACAGAGACACTGCTTGGAAATCAAGGACCAGACTTCACAGCACAGGACGACTGCTTCGCAACTACGTCAACCGGACAGAGAGTCCCTCGTCAACGGGGTCGCGGGGACTGCCGTTTTTAAGGAGACGCGATAGACATGGGTCTTGAGCGTGGAGCTATCTCCCCGATGGCGAATGCAGCGATGATCGTAACCGTTCAGTTAGTGTAATATGCACCGGCAATGTATCCGACGTCCAACTCGTCGCCATGGTTGATGGGGTGGGACCCATACGACAACGTACGGTGGGAACAAGCTTTCCAAGAGATGGCGGGATATACTAAGCGTAACGCGACCCCGGCATCACACAGGGACCCAACGAAGCACTCTCCATGAGCAGACCGGTAGATTGTAAACAATCAGGTGGCCAACTGTTCTGACAGGCATTTGGGCACTATGAAAACTGATTGCGTGGACCGACCAGTTAGCCGAAAACGGAAGGTGACAGGTCGGCATGGTCGCGGGGCCAGCTCGGGTGCCAGATATCGGCAGTCCGGCAGGAACTATTGTCTCCGGTCCTTGGAACGACCTGCGCCAATGGGAAGGTGGTCAATATGGAACGGGGTTAGAGAGGAGTTGGTTATGAAAGATTGGCTCTCTTCCGTAAGTCTCGGTCTTCCGAGTGGGTCAAGAGGGATAAATGGGGCCAAATGCTCATATCTATCTACATGGGGCTTGATAAACGACTGTTTGCTTCAATTTCACAGCCAAGAAGAATAATGTTACGCTAAGACTTTGACAGGAAAAAAAGAGTTGAGGAGTTTGTCGGGGCTTGAAGAATGAAGACTTATACTGGTATGCTAAACTCGTCATGAGTACTCCCTCTAAACCCAGAGGGCCGTTACGAAGGGGTTCAACAGAACAGGATATCATCGTACTGAGCATGGAGTTCAAACTTGCACAGATGGTTCCCTCGCATCGCAAGACGTTGGCGCTATTTAGTGTGACTCCTCCCTCACTAGAGTTGGGGGGAATGAAAGACTAATCTCAACTTGAGTCTTTGAAGACAAAAAACACTTGAACAGTGAGCGAGAGAACCACGGAACGGATAGCCTTGTTGCGAACTCAGTAAACTTTTGAGGCGTGTTTCGACTCGCTACAACACAGCAACGTCGCGTAGTCATATTTGGCCAGGTTAAAAGGGGCTTGTTGATTGAGTGAGGTGACCACTGGCAGGCAAACAAGAGATTCTGGCGACCGTGCACGAGTTGAGTCATAACAGCCAATCAAAGGCGCTAAAATGCAATCACCATTTTCCGGCCTCACAATCCAGGCCGTTAGGGAATTCCCGTCGGCGAGCTCCACAATCCAATCCAAAGCTCCGACGACATTTCAAGATCCAGACCCCAATTGACCATCGACGACAGCCTCATTCGCCCATTACAGACCCCAATTGCCGTCACAATGGCCGGAGACTCGACACCAAGGGGTCTGTTTCCCCTTCTTACTGCAACCCTGCGCAATGGCTGACGATCCGCACAGAAGCAACCCGCGAGGAGATGCGGGATGCGAAGCTCCCCCTCGCCTACCGCGACAGCTGCGCCCACCTCCTCATCCCCCTCAACCGCTGCCGTGTCGACTCCTGGTACCTCCCGTGGAAGTGCAACGTTCGTCTTCCCTCGCCTCCAATGCCTCACTCCGCGGCGCCCGGGGCCAGCCCGCCCCGTCCCGTTCCGACCCGGCCACCCCTGAGAGACCACGTTCGCTAACCCCTTGGAACAGGACGAGCGTCACAGCTACGAGAAGTGCCAATACGACGAGTTCAAGAAGCGCGTCGCCAAGATGAACGAGCTCCGTGCGGAGAAGGGTACGAGAAGCAACTAAGAGGAGAGAAGTGTGGGAGACGACGAAATAAGCCGGAAGGCGGCGCGCGTCTGTGTACATAATCCGTTATACGAGGACCAGGGCAAAAAGGGCAAAAGGGGTTGTTCTTGCCGCGTGGGTCATAGATCGAGCCGAATTCACGCCTTTGCGATTACAAGCATTTGATCGAGTTTCTTGCGGCCATGTGGGGAACTGGTTTGGCAAGGACGACGAAGTATGGTAGTATGAACAGACAATCCCCGGATGAGCAAAAGTACGCCGAGATGGATCACCGAAAGCGAAGACTGCTGCTTTGGCATGGCGACAAGCACAATCTGGCAAATTGAGGTATGATACGTAAGGGTCACGTCACAACACAGTGCTTAAGGTCGGTTGCCTGGTATACGATTCGGCGGCAAGTACGGAACAGAATCAGACGTATGCAGACATGCAAACTTTGAAATGGTTGCGAAAAGCCTCTGGTTGTACCAGATTCCATCCGATCTATCAATCTTCCTTCGCCCGATCTAGGAAGTCCAGCAGCCGCTTCTTGAGCACAACGCCCTGTACCTTGGCAGTTTCCGGCTCGACAATGATGATATACCTCGGCCCAAGCTTCCCGAATATCTCAAGGACGTACTCCATAGGCGCTTCGGCGCTGACCGTAATCGGCGTCCGGTCAATCAACTCTGTCAAGAGCTCACTTCGCACATCAATTTCATCGGTTTCGCCTTCGAACTTCAAGGCGTACTCTATCTCCACCTCGGGCAAGTATCCAAAAAGCAACCCGGATTCGCTAACTAACACCAGCCCGGCATCCATCAAACCTCTGGCCTTGAGCTTTCGTAGCTTCTCTGCAAGTACATCTCGCCGCACTCGATACTGTCTGCCTAATTGAAGGGTGATCTCGGTCATTGTTGCCGCTGGCGGGATCAGCTCACGGGCAGTGGCCTCCCGATGACGGACCACTTCATAGGCTTGCTCCGCATCGAGGAATGGGTGACCCAGAAGGTGTTGGGAGAGATCGTAAACCGACTCTGTCGAGATCGCATCGGCAACCCATTTAGCGGTCAGGATCGCACACATGAAGGCAGGCACGTACGTCACCTCACCCGTCAGTTCGAACATGATGACCGCCAGACTCACAGTCATCCTGCTCACGCCGGCAAGAAATGCGGCCGCACCAACCATGGCGAAGATACCGGGTGATATACCACCAATGACTTGGCCTACAAGCCGTCCGAACAGGGCACCACCATCCAGGGCAGGGATGATGATACCCGAAGGGACCTTGCATCCGAACGTGATGATTGTGAGCAAGAGCTTGACCACCGCACCGCCTGCCAGCTGTAGCATATATGCCGTCTTGTCGCTGCTCTGCTCTTGCTCGCAGATCCACTCTCCCGTCGGTTTCTTGCAGTCGACCAGCAGCTTCGAGAGCGCCACGTCTCCCGTATCGCGGATGAGGACGTTGGGGTACTGCAACAACGCCGTGACCAGAACGACGCCACACAACTCAAAAACGGGATGTCTCTTGACGATGTCATACTTGCGAAAGTGTTTCGACCAGAGGAAGTTGGCCTGGCAAAATACGCCGCCAAAGACTCCGCCACAGAGTCCAAGAAACACGAACACGAGGTAGTGTATGGGGTCATAGTCGACGCCGTAGTTCGTCTCGAATAGCACCAACTTTCCGGTTCCTGTGGGGTTGAGGGCCTTAAGCGCGATGGCCGCAATGAGAGAGCAGAGAAACGCCCGCCACAAGACACGTCGTGGGAAGTACGTGCTGATTTCCTGATGAATGTCAATGCCAACACTCAGTCGATTGGGTCCACGATACCGCACATACCTCGTAGCTGAACAACACACCGCCAATAGGCGCACCGAATGCGACGGACAGGCCAGAAGAGCATGCCACGCTTAGCATCTCCCGCATCTTGCGCGGATTATCCCGATACTTGGGAAACCAATTGGCCACCAGCCAGCCAACGCAGGTCGAGATGTGCACGAAGGGGCCCTCCTTTCCCAGACACATGCCCGTCGAGACCGCGAAAGTGGCACCGACTGCTTTCACAATCAACACCTTGAGGTCAAGGAAATGAGGGATGACGAATCCCGAAAGAATCGTCTTGATCTCAGGGATACCGCTGCCGGCAGCCATGTACATCGTCTTGCCCTCCGTCATGGCGCCCGCAGTAACCACGCTATCCGCGTCGACGGCTGGCAGGGATGCTTTTGTTGTCATTGTGACATTCCCCGCGACGAGGCCGAAGAGCAGTGCGAAGAGGACGTAGACGGCGTAACTGGCGAAGTACCCGCCCTCTTGTCTCTCATCGACCCAGGGATTCCATGCATCGCATACGTCGGTTTCAGCGACATCCCAACAACACCGCCCGCGATCGAGAAACGCATTTTTCTTGCAATACCCTTCCTTCCAATCACTCACGGTCGCCACAGATACGTCAACCACGAAGGCCACGAGGGCCGTCAGTGCCCCTATAATGGCTGCCGCAATCCATCCCTGGCTTTGATCGAACCAGCGCGACAGCTGCCCGCGGATACCAGGACGTGCATAGAGACGACGGGCGCGAGAGGAATCTTTAGTGAGATCCCGGAGCCAGTCGATGGTGGTATAATCGTTATAGGGCAGGCGATCGCCCAGGGGCGGCGATTGGCCGAGCGCCTGGTCTGCTTTGGAGAGGGAGAAGGCCGAGGCCGAGCGGAAGAGGACCGGGATGGAGATTCCGCTTGTCGATACCGGGAGGAGGGGGCTCGTCTCGTTTGGCGGCGTGTTATCGGAGGCCATATCTATCCCTATCTGTGACCTTGTAGGCTGAATGTTCTTATCTCTGAGGTGGCGGTGACAACGGGTTTACGAGGAGGGAAACGAAGAGCCAACACTTCGACTTCGACAACATCCTGCCTTATTCCAAGCGTTAAACTCAGTCTATATAAGTAGTCTAGCAACCAAGCTGGTCTGTCTCAGTGAGCCCCCCATGCTATGGACGTCATTCCAAGATCCGCGGAGACCTGAAGGTCGTGAACGCGCGTGGTGGTCCAAGGGGGAGATAGTGGAGATAAGCGCCAGCGGCGGTGCGTGACAGATAAGGTCTTGGGCCTGGCCTCACTAGCCCGCCCGCCTCACGGCGTTTCCAGATTGTCAATCGCTGTCTCGCCCCCCCGGCATGTGTGCGAATGCACGGCGGCGCTGCCGGCGTTTTGGAGATAGTGGGGCCTTTGAACGGTCATGCGTCCTCCCCCGCCATCCTTGGATCTTCCCGTCGCAAACCAACTCCTCTTTTCGGGGTTCTCCAACATAAGGGTCTAGTTCTTGTTTTGTTGCTTTCTCCGCAGAGGCGAGGCGGTCATGTGGATGTAAAAATAATGCTGTTTCGTGTTTACAGGAGTACTTGGTTGTGGCGATCCTAGTTAGAGTGCGAGTCAAATACTGAACACCGACTAAATTGATGAGCTACAACTCTTTTATTAATATATTCTCCACATGCGAGATATTGAGAGAGACGCGATTGAGTCTGGGGCACCGAATGAGTACGTGACACTAGCCTGAACTGATTATCATTCAGTGACAACACCGTGTGTTTTGTCTAGGCTGATATCGCCAATCGCGGGCCCAATAAGCCATTGCTACAACCCGATTCTAGCAGTTACTCTACCACAGCACGTACGTAGTAAGGGCATTAAAACGATGTATCATTTATGTATTTTCCCGATAGAGGTAGAAGCATAGGAACCATCGCGAACTTACGCAACTAAGAAGGAAAGAAGACCGGTTAGCTTTTGTCGAGTTATTGATGTATGCGAAGCCTCCCAGGTATTGCAAAGCAGACAAGCCAAGACATCAGAAATGACAAGTAGGTTATCAAAAGAGCTCTAGAGTTTTATCTACATCCTTCTCAGGATGCTACACATTGAGTCGAGCCCATTTCAAAAACAAAAAAAGAAAAAAAACCTAATTCAGACCTACAATGAAGACTAAGAAGAAAGGGAGACTATTCAACAAGTCTCATCGCTCAGGTTTTGAAGAAGTTCTCAGCAAAAGATTTGGCGGCTTCGCCGCCAACGTGGCCATTCATGACTCGCAGGCCCTTCCCGAAGGTGCTGCGTGTAACATTTGACCTCACATCTCTCATTTTTGTCGTTCCTTCGACGCCCAAATTCCCGATAAAGATCCGTGGTTCATTCAACGTAAGGTTGTCTTCCCAATTCAGGTTGAAATCATCATTTTGGTACTTGTTTGTTTCACGCTGGGGTCTTTGGGGTTGAGCATCTGCGTTCTCGCCATCGCCTAGGTTCAACGCCACTATATCGGAAGCTTCAAGAGCAACAACGCCGGGACCTTGCAATATGTCAGTATCAACCAAAAGCAAGTAATACAATAATAGAAAGTATAAGGCTGGGTATATTCTACCTGCAAGCAGAAGCTCTCTGTTTTGCAATCGTGTTGCGAGGGCGAGATTGAGTCCGAGGACTTGCCTGACTCTCGAATTTGTTTCTTCGAGAACCTTGAATGCTACTTTGAAACCATCCTGAATATTGCCAGTCAGACCTACATGAACGACTGATATCCGGGTAAGAAGTTCGACCCTCGTGCCGTCCAGGCGAGTGATGATATTAGCCAGCTCATTATCATCGGCCTCGCCAGTAGTCAACGCCTGAATATAGTTTTGGACCCTGCCTTTCTGAAACTTGGCTTGTAGCTTCTCAAAAAAGACGTATAGATCCATTAGACACCGGTTAACGGATTTAACCTGACCCTCGACTTCAGCAGTTTGGAGTCGAGGTTCCTGCCCAATGAGGTCCAGTGTCTGATATATAGCATCAAGGGCCGAGGAAACGTGTTCGAGGGTCTTCGATGCTCCTTTGACGCTTTCTCTAGCCTTCCTGATTTGCTGGACAAAAGTGATAGCAGTGCCAACCAAGCCAACAACACCAGCTGCTGTTCCAAGAGCATCAGCCTAGTGATTGTGAAATCACAAACAACAGTTAGCCAAAGTGACTGTGGGCGATTTAGCTTCTTCTGGAAGGGTCTTTATTCTTACCATAGTTACAACCCTGTCTGCTAAGAACTTTTTTCAACGATATCGGCACTGGCGTACTTCAAAAAAGCTGCGAAGACATCAGTCAACGGTTTTTTTTTTTGGAATTAGTTATACTAGAAGTTCAGCCTTATGTGGTGCAAACAAATGCTGTTACTGATGACAGCCCAACACCACGTGATATCCGCCAATGACCATAGTCATCGGAGAACTCCGGTTGGGCTCATGCCAAGATCTGTGTGACCAGCCCAACCTTTGGTTCATGGATACGTATGATGGCATAGCCGGACTGGATGGCATCCTAGTCATGTGAGCTCAGTAATGCATACGTTCTCCTTGGTCCAATGAAGGTCAACATCGCTGCTACCCCTCTTCTACTTGGTTCGTGTTGTTGACAAGTCTCTTGTTGCCCATTTTCAAATCCCAATTATCAGCCTGCTGAAATCCGTTGGAGAAAGAGTTTGCGATCTCTATGGGAAATATGATGTGGCTATTTCCTGCGGTTGGTCAGCCATGAACGCCTCAACACCTTCTCAATGACGACTACAGTATTACCACCTTGCGTGAGCTTTCGGCAATGAACAGCGGAGACCCGGAAACAGATGACGGAGGGCCGAGTGCAGGCTACTCTTCGGGTCATTCCATCATCGGGTCTAGCTTTGGTGACAACAATAAGTTTCATCTTGGTGACGTCAACTACCATTTTCAAAGCGGTAAGACTAATGTTTTCCTCGTCACAACAATGACTAAAAGTTGATTCCTAGGCTCGAATAATCCCATACGATTGCCTCAGGGAACACTCTCCTTGACAACCGACTTATTTCCTCCCAACGTGTTGACCTTCAACCCCCAAAACCAAAAAACCTCGATCAAGAGAATCAACGAAGATTGGTACATGGAGGCATTTGCCGACTTCATCAGCCATAATGGAATTCTTGACAGATGGTTGACGGGACATCTCGGTCAGCTGCTTTGGATACGAGACGACACTGGCTCTGGATATGCGCTACTGGCCGCTAAGATGGTGGACGCATTCGAATACAACGCCATTTTTCAATGCTCCGTGGCTTCTTACTTCTTCTGCCAACAGAGCGATGCCACTTCAACGACAACTTCTATCGACGTCGTCGCTGGACTCGTGTATGGCTTGTTGGTCAATCCCCACTTCGAAGAATCAATCTTGCCGCATATCCAAAGGTTATTTTACCGAAGAATCAAGAACATTCGAAAGGAAGCCTCAGGGTTCGCTGTGTTAGAAGAAATGTTCATCACATCCATCAGACGTATCAATGAGACCAAGCCGACCCAGGAACTTGTCATGATCGTTGCTGGTCTGGAGCATTGTACACCCGACACATACGGAAACGGTGTATCGAACATAGTGGGCCTAATGAAGTTAAGCTCTAGAAGCTTTGCGAATCTCAAATGGATAGTTACCAGCCAAATGCCCGTCCCAGTCGCAAGTGGGTTTCAAAGGTCCGGTATAGCATTAAAGACGATCGACTTAAGTGCAATATCCATCGCAGCAGCACTCGGCCTCACAGGAGTACTAGAGAAGGTGATGGAAGTTAGTCGAAAAATCCGCACAATATGTCAGAGTTTACAAAATTCTGATGTTGATGATGGGGATCTTTCCTGGTTCCTTCATTGTTTTGCAGCGATATATTGGTCGAAGCCACATCAACCACTTTTGAAGCAGGAGTCTCGTCTGCTATGGTACCGACGAAATTCTGTAGCACAAACAACTATGACACCGAGTCGCCTAGGTATCCAAGTGGCGTCCGAAGATTTTACAACAGGAGGGCGAGCTTGCTCAAAAGTCTACTTCTCTTTCGCCTCCTTATTTCTATCTAGACCAACTCAGTTGGCTACAACTAACCCACATGAAATACTTGCACAAGCTCTCTGGGGTATTATTACCCTAATGTTTACGTCTATATGTGGATCTGAGTCCTCATTGGCTTCGTTCTTATCATTACTTCCTTATGATTCCCGACAAGACCTGATTGGGGTATTTTGCCCAACTTCGGGTCCCGAATCAGCTACGGCACAACCCTCGCCCTCATTCAACTCCGGAGGCATTGGGATTTGCTCTCCAGAAGGGCTTGAAACCAGTGAATGGTTTCAAGTCACCGAGCCTTTATCCAAACAGCACCTACCTATGCTTAAAAAGCTGATGGCATCCATTCTTCAACTGGTCTACGATCGTAATGAAGAGACAATTCTTGTTCTTGACTCGGTAGAGCTCATTCAACCAGTAGACTTCTATTTGCTTCTCCATCAACTTAAAACTCTCGGTTACGGCCTCAGAATTCTGATCTGCGTCAACACTTCATACAGTATCACGCATGAGGGCGGAGGGTGGGACTCGTTGTCAGATACATGGGTCGACGAATCTACGGAATACAGAGGTGAATTAGAAACTTTTCAACACTGTCCCGGAAGACGCATAATTGAATGGATCAGTCGGTCTGTCGAAGTAAGGCAAGCTAACCAGAAATCGAATTTTAGAATGTATCCGGAGCCTCTATTTCAATAGCATGCATCAACGACAATATCAGGTTGTCGACTCTCTACCTGGCACGAATCAATGGTTATGGACAAACAAAGAGTACCTTAAGTGGCGGGATGACGGCGGTCTTCTGTGGATATCTGGAAAAGCAGGAAGCGGGAAGTCAGTTCTTGCCAAAACAATCTTGCAAAACCTTCAGAACAAAAACAGAAACCACCCGAGTTCCGATACATGGTCAGTGTGTGGTTGGTTCTATTCGGCTAGAGGCATTGCTGGTGGCACGCAGCATGACTCGATGCTCCGCACTCTGATATTCGAGGTCATTAAAGAGAACCTGGCAGCTTTCAACGCTATCAAAACGAAGTACAGAGATTTAGTCATCAGATGCGACGGGTTGGTTACCTGGCCCCTGGATGTACTGAAAGAGGTCCTCGTATTGCTGTCGGGTTCTTGTGCTGTACCCAACACCGTGGCAGTCATTGACGCTTTCGATGAGTCAGAGAGAGGCAAAAATGTTCAAGATACTCGGCCAAATATTACAGCGATATCTCGTCAACTTGTTAGCTTATCTTCGGGACGGATACGAGTTATCCTCCTCAGCAGGCCCGATGCTGATATCGCAAAGGGGCTACGAAACATCCATCACATATCCGTTCAGGCCAACAACCAAAGAGACATCTCAGAGATTGTAGAAAACGGTATCCTCAAGATACGATCAATTTGGAGCAAGATGAAAAATCCGGAGCGGGACGTCCAAAATATCGATGAACCCTCAACAATTCTCGATTCAGCTCCTGATACAATAACTTTACCGGTCGACATAGAGGTTGAGATTGAGAAAATTAGGAACTACTTGATCTTGAATGCCTCGGGGGTTGCTCTTTGGGTTGTTCTCGTTCTCAAAGACCTTCAGATTCACCTACACAGTCAAGACGGGTTTACACTCTTTGACCTTAGAACGACCCTCAAAGCTTTACCCGCGGACTTGGAGGATCTATACCTTTACTTCCGCTTGGCACAGCAGGACCAGATGTCAAAGAACCCAATGCGCACATCTCACAGCAAGCGTATGCTCACATGGATTGTTGGGTCACAGCGGTGGGTACCATTACAACTTGACGAGCTTTGGGAAGCGATCGCAATCTTAGGCCCAGACCATGGCCCCTTTTCGGAGACTGAAGATATAAAGAGTCATTTTTCGAGAGATTTCATTACCAGTAGGAAGATCCAGTTTGGGGAAGATTGGGAGCGATTTTATCTTCTTGTCTATGAGCATTGCGGCCTTCTGGTGGAAATCAATCGTGCGGAAGACCCATCGACGTCCGTTCAAGACAACAGCAGAGTCTTTCACCTCGGTGCTTCCGCAAACTGGACGGTTCAGCTTGCACACGAAACGATAACAACGTTTTTCAGAAACCAAGAAAAAAGCGGTCATCTCTTCATTGACGTCGAGTCCGCTGAGACGACAGTCGTCGCTACATCATATTTATACTTGGGAATTCCTTATCCTTCGCATACTAACTCCCCCAGCATCGGTTCAAGCGCCCAACTCCAAACAGAAATACTAGAGCTTATAATGAGCTCTACATCAGAGTATTCTGTCCATGGAGGTCGTTGCTTAGCTCTCACAGAGTTTTTCCGTATTCGACCGCTTGCCCGATTCGCATTGCAAGTCATATATCGAACGAATCTTGCGACTTCCTTTTTACGCATTTTGAACGAGATGGACGACGGAGTTTTGCCAGCCGAAGACCGTTTTATCACCCACTGGGTTGCAGATTTATGCTTCACCCCGATGACTGTAGATACCAGCATACGACATTTTGTTCGTTTCTGCTGCTTACATGGCCGCAACGACTTCCTTGCATACACCAGCGATCTGACGGAAAGACATGTTCGAATCTATCAGATAGCAGAAGGAAGGTCGCAGGTGTTGTGTACGGATCGGCGCTACGAGATCATCGGTGGCGCAATTGAAGCCTTGACAGAAATCACTGCGGAACACTGGGGCTGTTTTCACGACGTTGCAGTTGCGTTGTCCAAAGAGCTTTCTTGTATAGCGGGAAGCACCAAGTCATTCGGCAAGATGGTTAGTCATTATCGTCCAATTCTCGGCGTAAGATGCATTAGCGAGGGTATGGAGCTTCTCCAAGGTATTCTTTCGACAGCCGCAGAGAGGCGTGATGTCAGTCGCGCGTGCCGATGCCCAGGTCAGTTCCATACAATTCGACTTCCAAAAGGCACAATCAAGAGAGTACAATGCGAGACAATGTTACAGACATTTGAAAAAGTTTTGGAATGGATTGTCATGTTCCCGGAGAAGTTCCTGTCATATGAAGAACCTCCTCCTCCGCTTGACCCCTTTTGGGGCGCTTAGAAAGGGATTTAGAACGGCAACAACACAACAGCCAAAGATAGATTTCTATGGGCGGATGATTATAGCATTAAAAAGAAAATTTATCGTTCCAGATGGAATGAGGCCTTCGAATTAAGGAATTATTGTTTGTTCGAGGTCCGAACCGCGGCCATTGTAATTACAAGGGTTCCGTAATGGAGCAATAATAACGAAGATACTGTTGGAATAGAGACTCGCACGCATTTGTACGTATCCAAGCGGCAATGCCACCTGTACATTATTCAGCAGGATCCAGCGTATATAAGGGTCAGATCTGCCAGATATCTAGGAGTTAGAACATTATCGGCAACAAATACAGTGACGGTCAACCCCTATTATCGTGTGCCTCCAGCAGCGCGCGAGCTATTCCGACAGATACCCATATTCTTTAGGAAGCACCAACAATGATCTTGGCAGCAGCCACTTCAGCAATACCGTACGCCGCCGTCTGGATGTGCCCCGACACGATGATCGGCATGATGCTGTTGTCAACGACACGCAAGTTGGTCGTGCCATAAACCCGTAGTTCCGCATCCACAACACCACCGTCGGCTTTGGGAAGGAGGGAGCAGGTGCCGACCGGATGGTAGAAGCTGGCGATGGTGTCGACGGCAAACTTGCGGAACTCGTCGTCCGTTTGCACGGTGGGGCCCGGCTCTGTCTCAGCCTCCCACACGGCCTTCAACGGCCCCGTCTCGGCGATCTTGCGCGCAAACTTGGCGCCCTCGACGGCGGCCTTGGCGTCGTGCCCGTTATTGAGGAAGCCCGGGTCAATGATGGGCGCGCCCGTGGGGTTCGCGGCGTTGATGTGCACGTTACCACGGCTGAAGGTGTGCATAACGGTGCTGAGGACGGTGATGTACTTGCCCGAGCCCGGGTAGCCGGCCGCGCCGACGTAGTTGGCCTCGAAGATGAGCTCGTAGTCCGGGACGGCGTCGTCCTGGAGGAACTCGAGCTTCTTCTTGTCGACGGGGTGCGTGCTGTTGCCGAACTCGGCCTTGGCGAGCGCAACAATGTCGGCTTGCGCCTTCTTGTCGACCTGCCCCCAGTTCAGGAAGCCGTAGGCGGCGGTCGTATATTCGTACAGCGAGGGTTCGCCGTCGAGCCACTTTTGCAGCTCCTCGGTAACGTTGGTGCTGCTGGCGTCGAAGATGAAGGCGTCGAACGAGTCGAACTCGTCCTTGAGACGGTAAACATTGGAAGTGCGGATGTGGTCTTGGTAGTTCTCGCCGACGCCGGGGAGATCGATGAGAGGGGTGACTCCCGCTGCCTTGATCACGGCGGGCTGTCCAATGCCGGAAAGCTCGAGCAGGCCGGGGCTCTGGATAGAGCCGGCTGAAAGGATGATTTCTTTGGTCGCATTGACGACTGTACCGTCGGTCAGAGTGACGCCGGTAGCAGTGTGGTCTTTGCCGCACTCGTTCTTCAAGTTGACCTTGGCAACCTGAGTGTTGGTCCTCACCTCAAGGTTGGATCCGGCCAGGGGCAGGTAGCTGTTGGCACTGTAAGACCGCTTGTAGTCCCTGTTGTCAATGTTTGTTCCTTGAAACATGATGCCAATTGGGTTGCCGTGCATGTAGCTCTCCTCGTTTATGGGGAGGCCAAGCTCTTTACCAGCCGGCCGCCACGTGTGCAGGACGTCGTAGATGACACGATTGTAGATGTTGCGGATGGGACCGGAGCGGCCACGAGTGTCCTTGTCCGACCCGGTAAAGTTCTCCGATTTGGTCATGGCATCGATCATGGTCTCCCACGTCCAGCCTTTGCTGCCCATCTCGCCCCACGCCTCGTACTCGGCAGCCGCGGCGCGGTCGTAGCAGAGGTAGTTCATGGCTGACGAGCCTCCCAGGACCTTGCCGCGGTTGGCACTGACTTTGCGGTCACCAAGGCCGCGCTGGTCGACGGTGGTGAAGTTCCAGTCGTAATTCGTCCCCAGGATCGAGCCCCGCATGCCGGGGACGTTGATCCGGAGCTCCTCGAGGGCGGCCGGACCAGCCTCGAGGAGGAGGATCTGAGCATCGGGGAGACCAAGACTCAGACGCATCGCCAGTGCAGAACCAGCCGTGCCGCCTCCTACGATTATCTGTTGTCTCATGTTAGTCAAGCTCAGCACTTTGACCAGTGTGACGAGGGGCGACGTAACTCACGTAATCGTAGGACTTTGCTGAGACATCAGAAGCCATAGCCAACAGCAACAGCGCTGAACAGCTCTTGAAGAATATCATTTTGGCAGAAGAAGAAAGGAGAGGCTCCCGACCGACAAAGAACCGATGCTGGTTGGTTACACAGATACAGTCATCGGGACGGGCGCAAGCATCAATTTGTATTTGCCAGTCCTCGAGGAGATCTCCCACTTCATGCACTGCTGACCAGCATGGTAGCCACGGGTGTCAGCAGATGTGGCTATTCCTGGGAAGGGCGTAAGCAGTCGCAGGAAGCGACGCTCATTACACTGCCCGCTGTTTTCATGCATTTCATACTCGGGATTAATGCCGTTGCCAAGTCAGTAGGCGGCGATGCGTAAGCCTGGAGTGCAGGAGCCTATGTCCAATGAACGTTTTACAATCTTGGGTGAGTCTCCGATACAACATCGGCTACTAGGACCCTGGTGAGGGGGTTTGTTCATATTGTTTGGCAGTATGACTGATGCCAAGGTCATAAGCGAGGTACGAATACCCCAACCGGGTCGGAGTCACTAGTGCAGATGCAAGCCCCGAATATTGACAGCGCTGAGAGTCTTGGGCTCGGGGACATCGAAACAGCGTTGCTGGGGTATCGTGGGCGCAATATCATGATGTAGGCATGGAAGCTTTGAGGTGGCCTGATTCCGGCCGCATCTAATTTCTCTCTGCCAATAGAAACCGATCTGACGGCTGTAGGGTCCTTTGAACCTTCGAGAACAGATCATCGTTCGTGGGTAGCGACCCCTATTACTGACGAGGAGAGCATTCGGCTCCGATGCGGTTTGGTTTTGGACTTCATTGAACGGACGAAGACTCGATTTGTTTCGACGGCTTCCGCGTGTTGCCCGATATTACAAGCTTCCAGAAATAATTTCTACAAAGCGAACTCTTGGGACGACACCAGCAGCAGGTGCCTCACTTGACTGGCTGAGCAGAGTTTTAGACTCGTCTCCTGCATTCAAGGATGCGGCAAGTCTAGGTAGGCCAACGTACGACGGAAACTCTAAATGCTCTCTTACTCGCCCTTTTTAACCACTTATATACAAGCACGGCGTGGAATGTGGTCTAGACACATCAAACAACGGTAAGAAACACCAGTCATTACCAGCACGCCGTGTCAGGTCGTACTTTGCAATTTCGGTGCAACCCTGGCGGCTAAAACTGGGACAGGGTGCGCTACGAGGGACCTTCGACGGATGGTTGGAACCGGCCCGGACTGCGAGTGCGCGGGGCTCGGTGGATTAGGTAGCCAGATCAAGATTCCCACTACGATACACTCGCGATTGAGCCGGCCAATTCTATGGGGCGAATCTGGGGAGATCGCCGTCTTGGCCCACATTCTTGTTCAAACCACCAGACTGTCTTCTTATGTTAGCAGATTCCATCGCATAGTCTGGATAGAACCTAGATGCAGCCAAGACCCACAGAGAGAAAAAGAGCTCGTCGAGCTCGCCCACTCGACCCTTGATGCATTAATTCCGTCCAGCGTGGTAGCGGTGGTTAGCTTGTGTTGGACGTTGGACGTTTAACAGATTTAAACTCCCCGAGGTTAATTCCTTTCTTTTCCAATTTGGGACACTCAGTCCGGTGTCATTGGCAATGGGGCATCCGTAGGCGACTTTCGCTTTAATAAAATCTGCTCTCCAACAAAGACGCAGCTGAAGAAGAATAGGTACAGGGTGCTGATGCAGACACTGCATCCGCACCTCTCATATCGCTTCGACCCCTTGTGTCAAGAGCGGCAATGTCAAGACCCTTGTGCATGCGCGGCATACTACGGAACACGGTGAGAGAGCCAATTTCCCCGGACAATGCTACCCCAGCACTGGATAGAGAGATAGTTCGTACGGGTTGGTCACGGGATTCGAGGGGATAGTGCCCATCGGGCCCAACGGTATAGTGTGGGCATGCATCCTGCCAAATCATCTTCACAACGTGGATATTTATGCGCACGTACGTGGCAGGTCAAATGCGTAGAGCCATAGTGTATTCAGTATCGACAAGAGCTTCTCAAGGCGGTAAAAAACGGGTTGACTGGTGCTCTGAAATGGAAATTATTGTGACATGGCGCAAATAAATCGTAAGGCTTCAAATGAAATTGAAGTGCGCACCACACCACCGCAAGAGATTACTCATACTGTCTTCAAGGTGGTTGCTTTGGCTTTAGTTCTCTTCATGTGTTCGTATACTCGTAAAACTCTGGAAAGGTGCAAAATGGGATGGGGTGGTATTCAACCTCCATGGTAAAGTTTTTGCACTATCCCAGGAATCCAGGTCGAGACCTGGATGGCCACAGGGAGACGACCCCTCGGCAGGGGACGCAATCCCTCCCCGACGGGTAACATGACTAGATCTAGTGTGATGATGCTTCCTTGAACGATGCCACCTGAAGCTGGTCCTCCTTGTCAGGAATTCTTGTTCTTCCGATGGCGGACCAAGTCTCATCTAGCTTCAACGTCACACTGCCAACGGACGTGGTTCAGACGACCGTTCATCACCGGATTATGCATTTGCCCTGCTATTCAATCCCACCATCTCGACCGCACTGCAACAAGCCTGATACTCGGGCTGGATGCTTCCCTAAGATCACCGCCCAAGACGCCATCGGTCACAGATTGTCCGGCAAGAAGGGAAAAGGGGTTTCTTCGATCATTGCGTACATCCGTCGCTGTCAGGTTTCAGGTATCAGTTCGCATCGACGAGAAATCTGAAATACAAAAGCTTTCTCAGCGGCCCCGGACTCTCGAGGGCCTTGGGAGAAACTCCTCGTAGCCGAGCCTTCCAGATTTCATTTCTAACATCAGTCCCCCGGCAAAGAGCAGTCGTATTTATGGCTACCAATGCGGCCCCAGTGATCCGGACCGAGTCAAACGGCCCGCTCGTGAGTGGGATCGCAATCGGCTTCGTCATTGCCTCTGCCGCTGTGCTGTCCCTTCGGCTCTATACGCGAGTTCTTCTCCTGAAGACGGCCGGGAGTGATGACTGGACCATTTCGATGGCGATGGTATGCACATTCCCTGTGGTACTGTCCGCGACTTCTGCTGACCAAACGCCAAAGGCCTTTGCTTTGGTCGTCACTATAGCGGCATGCCTGGGTGGGTTGAGTGTGGTTTGGAAGGCAAACTTGTCTATAGACCAAGATGCTGACGGTTTTGGGGTGCGACAGAAGTCAAGTTTGGTATGGGTAGACATATCGAGAACGTCTCGGCGGCGGAGACAGCGGAACAAGTCAAGGCTCGTTCCTTTCCCGAAACCCCATTCCGCCCTCTGCCCGACGGCCGACTAACAAGCCCAACAGTATCTTCTCGTCGACATCCTCAACTACAACATGGGCATGAACGTCGCCAAAGTGTCGTTCCTCCTCCAGTACCGGCGCATCTTTGTCTCGAAAGTGGTGCAACGGGTCTGTTTCTGGGCGATGGTATACGTCGTCATCTGGGCGTGCGTGCAGGCCACGCTCCTCGGCCTCTCATGCCTGCCCATCTCGTTCATCGTGCCCGGAACCTCCAGCTTCTGCCTCGACACGCTCTCCATCTGGTACTTTTCCTCGTCCATGAGCCTGGCAACCGATTTTATGATCTTCTGCATCCCACTGCCCTCGGTGCTGAGACTGCAGCTGCCCAAAAAGCAGAAGGGCATGCTCTTCTGTATCTTTTGCATGGGCTTCACGTAAGTAGAAACCTCACCCCCTGAAGTGCCTTCGTCCCGATCCTTGCATCCGCAGTTCCGTACGCCGCTTTCTCAGGACCTCTGTGACTCACGTGGTGGCCATCGTCGCAGGGTATGCATCATCTCCGCCTACCGCATGTTCACCCTCCGCGCCGCCGTCTATAGCGAGGACCCTTTATGGGACAACATCGGCGCGGCGATCTGGTCCGTCATCGAGCTCAACACCTCCATCATCGCCGCGTCGCTGCCCACGATCCGGCCGCTCCTCGCCAAGTGGCTGCCGGACGCCGGCCTCTCGTCCGCGCGCAACAAGACCAGCGAGTACAACCGCCACGGCCCCTCCTCGGGCATCTCCCGCAGCAACTTCAGGGAGCTCACCAGCGGGCGGCGCGAGAACGAGACGAGCACCGAGGACCTCGTCCTCAAGGACATGGGTGCCGGCCATGCCGCGACTGCGCCGTCGGTGTATTCGCACGTCACGGCCCAGCCTAGGCTGGGCGGTAGCCAAACGGCGGGCGGCGACTACAAGAACCACATTGTGGTGACGACGGAGACGAGTATCAACGAGCGTCGGCGGGCGTAGGGGCAACAGCCGGGGGCACGGGTTGGTAGTTTGTGTGTAATGGCTTATAGGCGGGCTCATACCAAAATGCCAGGGCCGTGTATGATTGTGCAAGTTGGAAAGGGAGAGGATATTTGTGAACTTACCAATACCCTGGTCACCAATTTGAATGCTAAACGTTTCTGCGTCCGTATTGATCTTTTGGCAATGTCACTGTGGAAGGGACACTTCGTTCTTGTAGGTGGTCTTGGTGTCAAGGGGCTTTTGTTAGTTGAGGCTTTGCCATTCTATCTACAATTTCATAGTCTGATATCCCAAGAGCAACCTTCGCCCCTGAACCTCGCTCGACAAAAGAAAAATGGTATCGATTACCCCGTAGACTGATGTTACACAAATCTTGAACGCTTCTCACGCGTCTTCCGTCTCTATCAGACAAACGTATAAGTGCCCCCGCGTACCGCGCCAGACCGCGTCAACACGCGACCTTGACCATCGGCTCCCAAGGCCGGGTCGTGTTCCAGAGGTAGGTTTCGGGCGGCATGCCATCGTCCGAGGACAGGAGGTACTTCACGTACACGGGCGGGACGACGGACGGGATGGGAGGGAGGAAGTCCATCCTGTCGCCCTCGTCGTCGTCCGACATGTCAAAGTCAAAGTCGTAGTCGTAGTCGTAGCTCAGGTCGAAGCCGAGGTCAAATTTAAAGTTGTAATAGAAGTCGCACACCTCCTCGTCCCGCTCCACGACGGTCGGCATCGACTTCTCCACGACGCTGCTGCCACTCGCGAGGCTCGACATGAAGCTGTTCACGTTCTCCTGGTAGACCTCAGGCTGTAGGAGGTGGGCCTCGTTGACGAGGACCTGGAAGCGCACGGTCTGGATGTCGATAACGACGCGGTCGACCATGGCGGGGAAGCCGTAGGTGCAGCCGCTGCTCAGGGCCCAGGACTCGCGGCGGCGGTCACCGTTGCTGTTGCCGTCGTACCAGACGGCGGTGCCCGTCTCGGACGTGTCGCGGAGGATGAGACGCTTCTCAGCGTCAAAGGTGATGTGGCAGTGAACGGGGCTGATGCCTGGGAGAGACGGCAGGACGACGTCGCAGACGTCTGGGTCGGTGCCGAGGGCGAAGCCGAGGTGGTTCTTGGGAGGGTGGGTGAAGGATAGTTCGAGCGCTGGGCGGAGTTTGGACTGGGATGGTGAGGACTTTGTGAGGACGGAGGGGTCGATGGTAGGCGTAGAGGGCGTGTTGTTGGGGTTTGGTGTTTGGACGATGGGCTCGTATGATGAAGGAATCGTGTCGACTCTTCTGGTGGTGTTTTGGGGCATGCGGATAGTTTCAAGGGCAGGCTGGTTGGTGCTAGAGGGCAGCAGCCAGGCGATTACGTTTGTGTTTTCCATTTCCAGGATGTGTATAAGTCGAAAGGCTCGAAGGGCAAATGGCAACGCTGATGAGTATTGACGGGAAAATATTGATGATGATGATGAAGCAAAGTGGGCTTGCGTGAGCGAAAGTGTATGAAAGCGAAATTTCTTGAGCGAAAGTGGGCGAGGTGTTGTATCGCTTCGCGGTGACCTTTTAAATAGTCGATATTATCGAGGTCCTCAAATGAGTGATGTATTGTATGATGATGACTGCAGATTCTGGTGTTCGAAAATCAAGAAAGAAATATCGTAAGACCAAAGAAGTCACTTGATCCTCTTATACCACGAGTGAGAGCGAGCCAGTTGGCGATGTTTTGGTAGCCCGGTTGCATGGGGGGCGCATCCACTGGATGAGCGCAGCGTGTTGGCCACAACAAGAAACAAGTCGACGACAACCACTAGGCCGTCGCATCGTCTGCTCTGGTGGGGACCGTCGAACCGTAAACAAAGGTAAACAATCAACGACCCCCGGGAAGAGCCTCTCTCCCATGATGCCCAACATCCAGTACGGTTCGCGTGAAACGGGGAGAGGGCGAGTGAGTGCTTGCAGGCGTGCAGCACGACGGGAGCGCGTCAGCCAATGGTTTCCTCGCCACCCGCACGGGCTGTTGGCATAGCATTTCTGGGGGTTTGGCTGGCGAGAGCCGCGTTTTGCTGGACTGGTTACTGGGTTTACGGGCAGAAAAAAATGAAACAGGCATGGGTTTGCTGCGGCTGTGACTCACTTGACAGCACATCCACGATGCAGCGCAACGCGACGAACACCAGCCAACGCCAATCGCCCGTCCGAAAAAGAAAACTTTTGGTTCGCTGCGCGTGCGCGTGTTGGTTGTCATGGATGCGGCCGAGTGGAGGAGGAGGGCCTCAGCTACAGGCAGCTCATGACCACAGTCCTGTGCCATGCCCGGCGTCTTTAAAAGTGAAAAGGTTTCGGGAACCCGGGATGAGCAAAGGAGATGCACCTGATGCAGGAACCCGCACGAAGGGGCGGGATCGGATGGGAAGCCGTGTGCATCTTTCGAGGGCTGACGACCTATTGAGAGACGTTGGATTTAGCATGTTGTGCCCGTATGGTTTCGGGCTCCCATTGCGATACACCAGGAGGGACAATGTTGCCATGAGCACTGTCGGCGGTGGTGGGTTTTGCTCGTTGGCTGCCGAGGACTTTGGCTGGTGCAGCGCGCGGTTGATTTTTAATGCTGACTGAGAAATCCCGGCAACCCGACATGGTGGAGGCTCCCATTGGTTCACGCTTAGGTGATGCTCTTGGATGTGGCTGCTCTGATTCCAGTCTGGATGTCTGTTTAGCAATCGGCGATCTCTGGTACCAATTGTAGATGGTTCTTTTGAGGAGAAGGAGGGAAGTGAAATCAAATTCTTCATTCCGTTGAGTCTTCTCAAAGCAACCGTCGGCTCTGCTACTGGCTCTAAACTGGTGATGGCGCGTTGCGAGGACCGGAGATAAAGCAGCGCGAGGTCCAACTTTCCTGGATTAGCCGATTCCAGGATGCGATGATGTAATCATCAAGACCCCACCGAGGCACTCGTCGGCGCACTCACACAAAATGCTCAGCGTGGAAAACGGCTGACCCCGCTAAAGAGACCCTGAAATCCAACTTCGAGACACTGAGTGAGGGCCGCTGGAACACCCCGCGCGCGACGGCCTGCGGCTGGAACCTCGGCGAACCGCGGTCGATGGCCGACTTTTTTTTTGGGGGGGGGAGTGTCCCGCGCACGCGGGCGCTGGCATGCAGGCCAAAGAAGGAAAAGCAACCGGCACACAGTTGCCCCCGCGCTGTCATCACATCTGACTGCATGACTAATTGACAATCCCACCACTCCTCCCACCACCGCATTTCACCACCTCGCCGTTCGGAGCGGAACCGGTCACCGATTTGATTATACTCGCCGCTCACGCCGCTGCCCCGTCATCCCTCTGCTCTCCCCTCGTGACATCTGGCTTCTTCCTGCCAACTCTCCTTTTCTGCTTATTCGTGTCCATACCCAACTGGCAAATGCCTACTGGAATTGGCCCTCCCTCGTCTCGACTTAATCCACGCATCAATCCCCCACTTCCCCATCCTCGAACCGTTACCCCCGCCATGCCCGGGTTCGAAGGTAGGCCAGACGGCGCCGATGCGCCCAAAGACTGGCGCGAAGAGACTACACATCTCCCATCCTTCTACTCCCCGAAAACGAAGCCCCTCGACGGCCCGGCCGACCATGCCGAGGCCGCCGCGAACCCCGAGCCTCAACAATTGGACCTGTCCGACCCCGCCGCACCCGTGAGGGCCGAAGACGATGCCGCCTCAACAACCTCAGCTAGCCAGATCCCGCCGCCCTCCCTGCTGTCGCCAGCCTTCACGCCGCCCGCGACCCCCGGCACATCGACGCCTCTCAACGGCGAGGCCCCGCGCGGCGTTCCCGTTGACAGCTCCGTGCCCTCCGGCGGCTGCGGCACCAAGCGACCCCGCCTCCTCGAGACCCTGCCCGAGGTGCAATGCATCGTGCGAGCGCGCATCCCCACTGTCAACGGCACCGAGATGTTCCTGCACCTCTACCAGAACAACGTCGACAACAAGGAGCACCTGGCCATCGTCTTCGGTCCGCATATCCGGAGCAAGTCGCTCGACGCGCCGCGCCCGGGCGAGACGGAGATGGACCGCATGATCCGCGGCGCGTACACGGGGCGTCTGTTCCCTGGACGGTCGACGAGTGGTATGCCCGGCGGCGTTGCCACCCCCGTCGGCGAGGAGCCGCCTGCGCAGCGCGGCCCGGCGCTCGTGCGCATCCACTCCGAGTGCTATACCGGCGAGACCGCCTGGTCTGCGCGGTGCGACTGCGGCGAGCAGCTGGACGAGGCGGCCAGGCTGATGAGTCTGCCCGGCAACACCAATGGCGGCATCATCATCTACCTGCGCCAGGAAGGCCGCGGCATCGGCCTCGGCGAGAAGCTGAAAGCGTACAACCTGCAGGACCTCGGCTCAGATACGGTCGAGGCCAACTTGCTCCTGCGCCACCCTGCGGACGCTCGCAGTTACGGTCTCGCGACGTCGATGCTTTTGGACCTGGACCAGCACGAGGTGCGCCTGCTCACAAACAACCCCGACAAGATCCGGGCGGTGGAGGGCCCGAACCGTGAGGTCAGAGTGACGGAGCGCGTGGCCATGGTGCCGCTGTCTTGGAAGGGCAGGGGCGGATTCAGGAGCAACGAGGTCGAAGGGTACCTCAAGACAAAGGTGCGTTTGCCTGGTGCAAAGTGCGTGGCGCTGCGACTAACTCCGTGACAGATTGAAAAGATGGGACATATGCTTGACATGGGCGGCATGCCGTCATGAGACTTGTTAACCGCAGAGTTGTGTAAGCGCTGGGAGTGGATGAAGATGGGAGGCGGCCGGAGTGATCAAAGCATAGGGTAGAAACGGCGTTCGGATTTTTGAGACGAATACCTGGGATTGGCGTATTTGGCATATCTTGTCATCTGGAGCCTCCAACAGCTTGGAGATGCTCATAGTACCCCGTTGGTTACTGGACTCATGGCAATTCATAGATCGAAAAAAAATATTATTGAGGTGGTGGCTGGTTTCTGTCAGATATACGTTGGCAGCCGGTCGAGACAAGTCGGCACAGAATAGTGTCATTGAATCGAGACACATGGAAGAGGGTGCACAGCATGGCTCAACGCATGTCCAGAACTGACACAAACGTGATTCTGCTTTTTACAGACACCATAGGTTTCTGCTGGTTCTGTCCCATGTTTGGGATGAGACACCTCGTAGTCATTCCCACTAGACGATCTGGAAGCCTGGAGGTGGCGTGGCGTCTGGTGGCCAGCCGTCGGCACGTCCACACGCAACGGCCCGGCCCCACTTTCCAGAAATTTGCGTCAGTCGCGATTGGAGCTGCAGCTCTCTCACCTTTCCTCTACGCGCGTCTAATTGATTCCCTTTCGTTTTCCAGCGTCTACTCCCAAGGTTTCCCTAAGTGGAAGATCTTTTCTTTCCTACTTCTCCTTCCAATCCTGTGCTACTACTATCTTTCCCTAATCCGACCGTACAAAACCGCATACGGCGACCTTTTCATCCTCCATGCATTACACCGCGCGCGACACGATATAACTAACCCCCGGCGAAGATGGAGAAGGACTTGCGTTTGCGCCTCGTCGTGCGACGCCACGGCGTGCCCGACGTCAAGCTTCTCTGGAACGCAACCACCGACGACGATCTGACCATCTCGAAGCTCCTGACCCAGATCAACGAAGTCGTTCCCTTGGAGAGCGGCGAATGGGGCCTGGAAGACTACGCCGTGGAGCTTAAGGATGCCTCCGGCGACGGCTTCGAATGCGTCCACTACCACCTTGTGTCCAAGGTGCTCAAGGATGATGACCAAGTCCTGTAAGTTTCTTCCATCTTGTTGCGATCCTTCCGCCTGATCCGAGCTAATGACGTTCTAGTGTTCGACCTCTCCTGACTGGCGATCTCAAGCGACGACGACTGAGCGGCAGACACCAAATATCGGCTGATGGAAGGCATCTCGTCGACGGCCTTGCCTTCGGACGGTCCTGGTTGCGAGCCCCTCGAGACCGCCCTGCAGTCACTCTCCCGCCGAGGAAGAAGGCCCGAATCGCTTATAGCAGTGAAGACGAAGAAGACTCCCTGCCTGAAAATGACGAGGAGCTTCCAATGCTGGAGTACGGGTCCACGAGGGCCGAGGGGGACCCGGCGAGCGTTAAGTTGCGCACACGTTTCTACGACGCGGACTCGGATAGCAACTCTGAAGACGAAGACGACTTCGAGCCTGCCCCGGATGGAGCCGAGGATGACGACATGGATTCGGAGGACGGGAACATCCAAGACGAGCTGCGTCTGCTCAGGGAAGACAACGCCGCTGTCCGAGAAGGCGACATCCTCGAAGAGCTGCGCGAAATCCGAGATAGGAGAGCGTCGAACGGGCCAAGCAGCAGTCGTCGTTCGTTAGAGGCTTCTAGCGACTCTCCCGCACCATCGGCAAGCAACGCACTTGTTAGACCCGGAGGACGAGCCTCCAGACACCGCCTCAACCTGGACACCCTTGATAAGATAGCTGCTTTGAGAGCGGCGTTCCCGGGTGCACAAGTATCCACCATTGAGGAGACTCTGTTACGGTATGATACGGACTCGGCGAAGGCATATCGCAAGCTTCGCAAAACGTTGGCTGCCCGCCTCAGTCTCCAGCAAACTTTGGACCATCAGGCGAGAAGTTTGTCGAGTAGCCCTATCCGGCATGCGCACTCGAGCACAGGACGGGAACTCGTTCTCAGGGAGTCAAGTTCATCCGAGAGGGCTTCCCGTGCCACCGCGCATGATGAAGATGAGGACGAGGATGAAGAGAATGAGTCTACAACGCTCAATCATAATACTCTTGCAGATCGTGGTCTTGGAAGTGGCCAAGAGAGTTCAGTTCCTGACTCTGATTCTGAGTCCGAATCCGATTCGGACTCTGATTCAAGTGTCGCCGTAGCAACATCTGACCCCGATCGAGAGATGGAGAGCTCTTCCGAAGATGACGAAGACGACGAAGACGATGACGATGACGACGACGATTCGGTGGTTGCCTCTTCCGATGACGATGGCGACGGCAATTACGATGACGGCGACAAATCAAGTGAGTCGGAGCATAACGGATCCGTTTTGGACGAAGAAGGTGCAGACTCTGTCGAACAGGATGGTTCTAGCTCGGATAATATGTCGAGCTCGGACGGGTCTAGCAGTGGTGGGTCAAGTGTCACATCCGCAAAGAAGCATGCCGCGGTCTCCGTCTCTTCGTCGGACTCCTCTGATTCCTCATCGGCGGACAGCAGCAGCGACGAGTCTAGCTCAGACTCTGAGCCTGAGGAGATCCCTAGCAAGACTCTCTCCAGCCAGCGTCAGATTTTGGAGCCTGCCCAACCCCAGCCATCTCGAAAGGTGGCTCAAGCCCCGCCAACCGCAGCAACCGCACCCGCCCAGGAGCAGCCTGATGTTCCTCCCGGACAAGGATTGAACAAGACTCAGAAGAGGAACGCCAGGCGCAAACTGGCCAAGCAGTTGGCTGCCGGCAAGTCTATGTCGGCCCAGGGCAGCGAGGAGCCTTCTCAAGCTCCTACTACAAGGGCCAGTGTAGAAGAGGCAGCGTTCCTTGCAAGAAAGCAAGCGCTGCTCAACGCCATTGCCTCCGATGGCCCGGTCGATCACTTTAGCGAAGAGACATTTCAAAGGATTTCCGACTCTGCCCCGCAAGAGATGGAAGTCGATCAACCCTCCACCGCTGTCGCTGATCCCGCGGAGACTTCGCAAAGCCGAGCTGCACAAGTGGATGAGACATCTGCCCAACGTCGAATGAGGCCAAACATTGGAGCCACGCGGCGGATGCTCATGGGGTCTCTGGGCCTCAAGAACCCCAAGACCAAGGCCGATGAAGACAGAATTCGACAAGATCTGATGAAAGGTGTCCGCCCACACACCAACGCTCGTCTGGCCGAGGCGTCGTCACACTCTGACGTGCCCCCTCAGACACAAGAATCGGTAGAGGAAGATCCCGAAGCCTGGCGCGAGAAAATCGCTTACCGAGCCGTAGAATGCTGTCACGACGGGATCGAGCTCTCGGAACCGCCATTTCCTTTTGTCCAACGGTGGGACCCCCAACAGCAAGTGGAGGAGTGGTTCGGTTCGAAGAACAAGCGCGGGGGGAAACGTAAGCGCGTACAGCGCAATCAAGCTCAATACTACGAAGAAGGAGACTCTCAAGCGTCGAAGAAGCGTCGTGTAACCGGAGAGAGTGTGGGCGTGACCTTCTCGGATGCGGCCGAATCTTTGGAGGAAGGAGACACGACTCTCAACTACGATGATCCGCCTGACGAACCTGCGGTAGTCAAGGCCGCTGCCGAAGGGAGCCAGGCGACGGACATTGATGATCTCCCTTCACTGCCGTCGGACCTGACTACACTTCCAGATCTCCGGCCAGGAGAGGCAAAATTAGGCATGGTCATCACCTGGAAGCAGTGGCTGCTGTCTTCAGCAACTAATTGGCAACCCGAAGTCGTCAACCTGACTGGCATTCTTGTCAGAGTGCACGACGAGGATGCGACTGATCTCGAGTTTCTTCTGGCTCAACGAGATCGAGACGTGGATAGGACCGAGAAAAAGTACGACGAAGACACAGGAGAGAGGGTGTACGACCGTTTTGAAGCCCCTGACGACGACGAAGACGATGCGGACGATGAACCCGACCAAGGATACCGGAGATTAAAATACTCGGAGCTTATAGAACCTAAGATCGTGCAGCTACCCCTGGAAGACCAAACAAAGGCCACCGGCAATGAGGAGTCGAGCGCTGCTCCGACCGACAGCATTGTTCATGAGACCGTTTACGACGACCAGAGCCAGCTCTCTCAGATCAATGGGGAGAATGCTGGCCAGTCCGAGACGGATGTAGATGGAAGTCAGTTACTAGTCGATACAGAAGATGGTCGATCCAAGGCTAATACGGATGACGCACAGCCTCAAGTCGTCGCGGACAGTGACCTCCGACTTGATGTTACCGCAGTAGACAATCAGCCCAGACATAACCCCGATACACAAGGCGATAATGTAGGAGACATTGACGAAGCGAATATGCCGACCCCTCGAACGAATAGCCCCGCAAAGGATGGCCACCCAGTGCCAACAACAGAGGACGCAGACTCGCAGAACTCGAACGGCAATGCCCTCTCTATTTCTTCGGACCGCCGCCATGAGATCAGCATCATAATACAGGAAGCGGCTTTTCGCAAGGATATCTCACCCTCTGTCATACGTCAGAAGACCAGTAGTCCCTCTCGCCAACTGTTAGAGATGGTGGACGCTGCCAATAATTCCCGCGTCGCGTCGAGATCTCCCCTTTCCCAGGAAAGCATGGCCAAGGATACCACACCAGTGCCTGACAATGAGCTCAGTTTTGCAGCAGGAGTCACTGTTCAAGGGGCTGCCGCGCCGCCTTCTTCCGCGAGCAGTATCCGGAGTGGTCGGCAGCTTGATCCCGATGACATTAGCTTCAGTATGGGCGGTGAAGATCTGCAGCAGGTCAGCGACACCGGCGATGGCTCTCTCGTCGTCGATGCCGACGCGTCGACCCCGAAAGCTAAAGCGCAGACGCCTACTCGGGCCAGGGAGGATTCTGATTCGGTTTCAACCGAGAAGTCCTTCCCGTCGCTGGCGAGTCTGGCTCGAACTGCCTCGCAACAGAACTCGCAAAAGCAGGCGCAAAGCCCTTCCAAGTCTCAAGTGTTGCTAGCACTCGCATCTCGCGACTTGACCATGCAGCGCGATGAGGAGTATGAAGCTGCAATGCGCCGGGTTGACGGCACCGACGATGACGAAGAAGACAGGGATGATGGGCCGCCGCTGGAGCTTATAAGCACCCGAAAACGGCTGTTCCCCAACTCAAGCCAGCCAGATTCGCCGTCTCTGTCTGAGTCGGCAGACTTGCCTGGCATGAAGCCAGTTGCAAAGTCGGAAGCCTCACCCATCGTTGACAGGCAAGACAACAAGCCTTTGCTGCGGAAGCGAGAGCGCAAGAGTTCTTCCTTCGTAGTCCCTCCTGGTTCTCAGGTGGTCACATTATCGTCAAGTCCACCCGGCTCGCCTCCCCAAGAAGACTATGCGGAAGACGACATTGATGCGGATTATCAGGACGACAACAAGAGTGGCAGTCAGCCGCATGGGGCTGGTTGGGTGCAGAAAACTAGGCCATCCAGGGCCAGTTCGCGGGCTAAAAGTATGCCGGCGAACCAAGGGCCAGCAAAGTCGGCGAGTGCGCGGAGGTCTACCCCTTCCAGTTCTCTACCTGCCAAACCCAGTGCGAGGGGAAGGGGACAACGCAAGGCATCGACAAAGTTTTAGGAAAGACTTTTCGCTTGCAGGCGTTGATAGTGTGCGTGTGTGTGTGTGTCAGTGGACAAGGGGTTAGGCATTGGAACTGTATTACTAGCTTTTACTTGCTATGCAAACATGGGCTGGGGCGTTAATACCCGTACCTGTCAGGTACTTTGTATCAATGAATTGATTGACGATGGTTCCGTCTACAACTTTGCAACCTTGCGTCAATACCCGTGTTCAAAGCTCGCTTGGCTTTTCTTCGATCTGTGGTGTTGTTCACACGCAACACCTAGAACCTAGAGCCGGGGACCCCGAAGTAACACCACATCGGCTTAGCGTAACTATAACGACATTTTGCTTACTGCGGTTACAGGCAACAGTATAACCCCCCGGTGGAGTAGATGGGGCTTGAGCTGCCACCACCAGCTCAAGCAGCAATACTCCGTTATCCTAGTGAACTCTGCCTACAATTCTGACCACTGAGCGTCACCACCCTCAGTGGCAGTGGTGGGATGTGTCTTTTCATGACCTGGCTAGGAGGTTATACATACCCCTACCACCGTAGTACTTGCCGGTCTTTTTGCTTCCCTAGACACGGACAGGTCGGCTTGTCTATTGGCGCGAGCCCTGAGTCAGCGCTCTGGAACGGAGGACGGAGCTTAAGGTTGGCCGACGACGGAACCACGGAACCACGGAATATGGGCCGGCCTTTTCGGTACTGTGCCCCTGCTGGTAGTTCACCGGCAATTGCCCGAGCGAGCTAGTTATCGGAAAACAGCATGTCAGTCCCCGTCGTTTTTTCGATATAGGTAGCCTTCTTTTCCCTCCTTAGCTACGGGGGTACGAGATTAGCTCACGGTCCATCCCGCTTCCTGCCAAACTCTACGCCCCACCACCACGCCGCCTTCGGAATGCTTACTCGGAACGCTACGCATGCATCCAATCGGAGAATAGACAAGCAGGCTCTTTACCAATGCTCGCAATGTCAACGTCGATATCACCGCACCGAACACCTCGCACGTCATGTTCGGTCTATACACACCAAGCAACGGCCTTACCCTTGTAGGCTGTGCGCCAAGGCGTTTGGGAGGTTGGATATCCTTCGGAGGCACGAGGTGACACACGGTGACGAAACTGGAGCGCAGCTACACGATGTTGGTGACAGAGTCAGCCAGGCTTGCAAGATGTGCAAGGCGGCGAAGGTGAAGTGTTCTGAGAGGAAGCCTTGTGTAAGATGTACACGAAAAGGGGTCACGTGCGAGTATGAAGGTGTCGAAGACGGTGCTGAGGAGCTTGATGAGATTCACGAGGGGCAGCAAAACCAACCTTCGACTAGGATCGAGGACGTCACTGCAAGTGAGACTGGTGTTGGCCCCGAAGTCAGCCCTGCCCTCAACAACGCACCTATGCGCACCACACCTTTGCCCTATTTCCTGAACTCGCGCAATGCGCAGTATACACCGGTACATGAGGAAGATCTCTGTATAACTGAAGACTTATCTTTCGGGGCCGATTGGGGTTTCGCGATGATGGACTTGGCGTACTTGCAGACCCAGCTCAACGTCCCCAGCACAATGACCGCCGCCGTGGGCTTCACGCCCGACGTAGCGCAGCAGCTGCCGTTATCCCCTGCGAGCCACGGAACCTGCGAGACGCTATCCGTAACAGGCTCTTGGGAGCCGCAGAGCAGCGAGAACACGGAGATGGAGAGGCCGCATCTGGCCGCGGACGAGGCCAACCTCAAACCACCCAGGATGAAGCAGGCGCCTCCTGGGACAGTCCCCCTCGCCCCCACTCTGTGTCTCTCGGCGGCCGCGCGGAACAGCATTGTCAGTATGATCCTCAACAACACCTCGTGCGCCAACGCGGTGCCGGTGCTCGCGGCATTCCCGTCCACCGGCGCGCTGGACGCGCTCGTCGGCGTCTACGCGCGCGACTGGGAGGCGGCCAGGATCAACGATTTCATACACCTCCCGACGCTGGAGCTCGAGCGCCAGCGGCCAGAGTTGCTGGGGGCTATCGTCGCGGTCGGCGCGGTCGGGGCCGGGTCGACGGTGGCTCGCAAGTTTGGGTTTGCGATGCAGGAGGTCGTTTGGGTGTCGGCGTTCCGCAGCGTGAGTTCTCGCCTCTCCTCTCGATTGTCCTCTCGGTCTTTTCTTGCTCGCTGACGCGTTTTTCTCGGCATAGTGGGAAGGAAATAACGCGAGCTTGCGCGACATCGCTCTCTCCCAGGCCTTCTTCCTCCAGCAACAAATTGCCTTTTTCAGCGGTGTCAAACGGAAAGTCGCGCACGCCGAGGCGTGTTCCAACTCTATGCAGGTTCTCCTCAAGAACGGCGGCCAAATGCAAGGCGCCATGGAACCTGACGACGTTGCTTCGCTTGAAAGTTTGCTCGGTCTAGACGATCAGTCTTTGGGCGACGCGTGGCGCCGGTGGTTAACCCGCGAATCGCAACGCAGACTGGTGTATGCGGCGTACATCATGGACGCCCACGTCTCCATGGCGCACGGGATACAGGTCCAGTCGTCGTATGCCAATATGAGGATCCCGTTTCCAGCGCCAAGGAGATTGTGGAGAGCGGAGACTGCAAAAAGGTGGAGGGAGGAGATGATGCTGCTGCGAGGGGCGTCCCGGCCGTCCTCCACACTGTGCCTGAGGGATGTCATGGGTGACCCGATGCTAGTATCCAAGCACTGTGCTCTGGTGGATGCGGACTTTATCGTTCTTGGTTTCCTCGCTGGACTCTGGACGCTTGTCAAAGAGTGCCAGCAACTCGGGGCCATCAGCAAGGGAGCAAGAAGCCCCTGGAGCTCGATGATTCTGTCGGCGAGGCGTGTAGAGCTCTCCTCGATGTTGAAGCTCTTTACCTCCCAAGTGCAAAATGCCGGTCTCAAGATCTCTACCGAAGCCGAGCTGCTGACCGAGGTGCTCCACATGCATATTCTCGCACCTGCGGATGACTCCCTGCCACTGCAGGTCTCGAGTCAGCAGTCATCTCCCATGACGGCGTCCGGCTCTGGGGCCCTTGAGACGACGGAGTACCGCGGGGCGTTGTGGCGGGCGGGGAGAACGGTGCGCGCTGCTGCCCGGTTTCCGGCCGGGACGCTGTGTGACATTTATGCCATCGCGCTGTCTCAGGCTGCTTCTGTTCTCTGGCGGCATGGTGTTCTTTCGTCGCAGACACGGGGACGAGATACAGGTTCGGAGCATGGTTCTGGCGTTTGCATTGTGGATGGGGACGAAACGCAAGAGTATCGGGTGTTGAGCAAGGACACTCGTCTCGCGCTGCTCGGAACGGAGCCGGAGCCCGTAATGCTAGAGCATCCGGCGGGAGTGGCGGGGCGTATAAGGGGTGTGATTGAGCATAATTGGAGGGATTCTTGGATGCCTTCCCGTGTTGAGGAGGTTTGTCGTACGCTGGAAGCCCTCGGAGTGGCGGCCCGGCGATACGAGGTAGACCCAAATGACGGCCAAGGACCCTAGCTGTGCTCCAGCTTTGTGCTTGATCCTGATAGCTGCCAGGGAGCTCCGAGAATGAAGCTCCGAGAAGATGTGACTTCTCGCCCAGAAGAGAAGTGATCATTCCCCGCTCTCGGCTATGCTCTCCACAAGCCGAGAGCGGCGAAGATGCCGCATATGGTACGCCGCAACGATGGTGGATAGTTCAGAAGCAGGATTGTTACTTTTGTCTTATTGAGTGGCTCCGACAGAGTTGATCGGTTCTTGGCTTGGATGTGACTTGTTTATGCAAATCCGGAAACCTTGGCCTAGGAAAAACTCTGATAGTTACCCAAAGCAGCGTGTTCAACATCTAGGTATCTGAGAGCAAACCAGTACATGATGGCTAGGCGAGTCTGCTGTCACTTGCACATTCCAAGGGTGGCATGCATAGAAGCTTTCGTCAGGTGGCATGCCGGTCCGGCCCGCAGGAGAGCTAACGGAAATAATTAGCCTTCTTGTCAAGATGATACAAGCATCTGAATTCGGGAAGTGGTGCAGAGCCGAGGCCCGTCAAACGCATCGTGGTACTGGCTCGGCTCTCCACCTCCGGCTCCCATCACATCGGGGCCAGACGTCCATCTAATCTTAAACCTCATCTGCCTGAATTGTTCAAAAACTGGCACAATCACAGCTTCTATTTAGTACATCTGATTTTTTCTTGCAAGGCCGCCAACAAATCACTAGCGGCTTAGCTCTCATCGTCTACACCTTGATAATCCGCAGATACGCCGGTCTCTTTGGTCGTCCTCGACATGGCGATCCACAAAGAAAGTAATGATGATTCCTACTGCCTTCCACCAAGAACGGCTACGGAACAAAAAGATGATACGGGCAGTAAGCTGCAAGTCGGTATCATCGGTGCCGGTATTGCCGGCTTAATGGCAGCCGTGGCACTGCTGGAGAGCGGCCACGACGTTGACGTTAGTTCCAGTGCTTTGAGTTTCCCATCATATGTCAAATTTCCCTGAATAGTCATTGACTTCCCTTGATGACATAGATCTTTGAGAAGTCACGTTTCAAAAGCGAAGTGGGAGCAGCGATCAGTACACCTCCCAATTCATCCCGTATTCTGGCACACTATGGCTTCGATTTCGAGAGGGCCAGGGCCACCGGTGTCGAGAATGTTAGTCCCGAGCTCCCGCGTGGATTGGAATCCCATTGACTTTTTCTCTGCTAGATTATCTTTTACGAAGACCCTTCTAATACCGATGATAAGAAGGTGGTTCCATGCACCGACTACACGTCAACATACGGAGCTCATTGGTACCTCTTCCACCGCGTGGACTTGCACAGCGAGTTGAGGAAGTTAGCGACAGAGGCCACGGCCACGAGGTCACAGATCGCCCGTCTTCACCTTGGTACATCTGTGTCCGGAGTTGACGAAAACGGGACGATCCGTTTCGAGGACGGCACCAGCGTCCAGAAGGACATTGTGATCGCCGCTGATGGCATCCGGGTGGGTGTTATCACGACCTTCAACGACAACCGCTGCTAATTTGTTCTGATTCATTTATTCAGTCCACCTTCTTGTCTACTGTCGTTAAGAATGCAGCCCCTGCCAAGCATCAGATGTCCATTCTTCGCTACATGGTACCCTCCGAAGACTTGATGGCCGACCCGGAAGTCGCTGCGTTTTTCAAAGACAGCTTAGCGTCGATTCGAAGCCTCTCTGATCTTTCCAAGCGGGCCATTCTCTACGGTTGTCGGGGGTATGTATCTTTGCGAACGACCCCCCCCCCCCCCCCCCCCCCTTGCATTGGACACGGATGAGCTAAGTAATGGTCTTAGGGGATCCCTCCAGAACATTGGCATTATGTACCCTTCTCAGCTCTCCATAGATGCAGACGGTACGTTTATTCCTCCTCCTCTGACCCTTGACCGCCGTTGGTCACTCAACTTTGTTCATGTAGGGCACGACATATCCGCAACAGATGGATTCGCATCCAAGGTCCTTGCCGAATTCCCCAAGACGTTACAAGATGCTTGCCGGTAAGTCTTACATCAAGTGCAGCTCGTCCTCTGGTTCTTTGAAGTAACTTGACATAGCCACAGTCAAGCAAAGAGCATCGGTCAATGGAAACTCTTTACCCGGACGCCACTCGAGAGACTCGCCCGCGGACGTGTCGTCGTGATAGGGGACGCCGCACACCCCATGCCTCCTCGTGAGTATTCCCACTTTTTGCTCATCTTTGAACCTGCCTTCGTTAACCTTATTCACCCAGTGCGTGCTCAGGGGGCATCCATGGCGATCGAAGACGCAGCTGCGCTCGGCGTGCTTCTTTCCAAGATCGACTCTAAAGAGGAGATCTCGACCCGGCTGGATATGTTCAACAAGCTCCGGTTGAAGCGCGTCGCGGCGACGCAGCTTTTGTCGGCTGAGCACAGGTGGGACCCGACTGTGCTCTCTGAGGAGCAACGCGGATATTTTGATGGCAAGGTTCCTCGTGAGTGGTCTCCCTGCTAATGTGTGAACATTACACACGTCCTTATCTGACCGTGCCATTGTAGAAACCGAGGATGACATAGAAAGGTACAGTTTCGAGCATGACGTTATCCACGATGCACACACAATCCTGCGAGACAGTTGCCAGCAAAACTAGTTTTAAATGCTTTGGTGGATAGAATATCACAAACACTTGATCATCAGTTCGTACTTGTCGTGGATTCGTCTCAACCTGGTAGAGATGAACGAAGCGTCCTGAAGCGGCATTGTTCTTTTTACATTTCTCCGTAGGAATTCGAATCAAAATTGGCAATGATTTTATCTCGATGCAAGCTGATGCTACTCCATCGCGTCAGTGTAATTACAGGGTCAGTTGTGCCCAAAAAGGATTGGTGGTGGTGTGGAGCAGTTCGTAGACTATATAATTATGTTGAGTTTGAAGCTACCCAACCAACTATCAATGGATGAACACATCCACCAATCCCCGATAGTCTAGTGGTGAGGATATCTGCTTGTCATTCAAACGATTCGCAGGGGACCGGGGTTCAATTCCCCGTCGAGGAGATTCTTTTGCTGTCGTCGTAACTTTTTCCCGCTCTCCATCTTTGTTCTTGAAAGCAGAAAAAGAATTTTTCAACTTTTAATTTGTTTAACTTTTCTTTTTGTGCAGTTTGATATCTGCGCAATCAGTGCAAGGCTAACAAAGTTTTTTGACAGCTGCAGCGGAGTGCATGAGAAGACTTTTTTCACGAGAAATACATCAATGAGCGAGTCTTAACGGGAAGAGCAACCGCACTCCAACGCTTGTTCTATGGAATTCGACGATATCGATGCCTCACTAATACACAACCCCCCATTCAGACAAAAAAAGTGATAAAGCGCGCATCTGCAATACAAAGCATCCCCATTTGGCAACACGGCGTCAAGAAATTGCACTCGTCAGACCAAGCCACGGTGGACCATGGGGATTGTGGAGAACTCGCTAAAAAGCAAAGTCAAGCTTTTGCCCAGCGGCGATGCCAAGACCAACCACGTGCATGGATACCGGAGCCAATGTCCCTTGCCGTCCAACCAATCATGGAGAATTAGTTACTTACCTTCCGAAGCAGGCAATGCCGGGAGGGAAGTGAAGGTCTGTCCCCACTCCAAATGCGCCCCTGTTGAGTTCATTGCCTGGTCTGGTGAGGGTGCTTCGTCGACGTCACAAGACTTATGTGTTGGTTATTCGCGTCATGAGTGATCAGGGTAAGAAATGTTGCGAGAATTCGGGAAGTCGTCGGCCGTTGGCACCCGTTCTCCTCCAGTTCAAAATGCCGCCTCTTTCTCTCGCTTTAAATCTATGCGACAAGCTATCTAGTTCAATAGTCTTGCCACAGTCGTCTTGTGACTTGGAAGTTTGAGATGAGTGATTGGTGACCTCTATTAATGCTATTTTGTCGAGCAAATTCAGCCATTACTCTTTGCGATGCCACGCACTCTATGAAACATCTATGCCTCGTATCCCTTAGGAGGATTAAGTCCATCAGGGACCTGAACGGTATCTTCGTAGTATGTAGGTGCTTGGCTGTCCTTCCAAGTCTCCTTCACCGAGTCAAGGATTTTTCTCCCAGCCGCGTTATCTTCCAGTGCCAAGTTCGGCTTGGGGTACTGCTTCGGGGCGTTGGTATTGAAGAAGCCCGCGTACGACTGGTTCCAGAATCGATTGGGCACTGTCGCCGCGCAGCTCCACTGACGGACAACACTCTTTGTCTTGTCAGCCACGTACTTGTAGACGTTCGCGCCAACATCCCATCTTCCAAGAGTAGGAAGATCCCAGTTTGCCTGAACCGTGGCGAGCTCCGAGTAGTGATTGTAAAAGTTTGAGTCTGTCGTGCCAACCAACTCCTTAGGAACGGCGTCACCCAGGAGGATGCCGAGGATGCGGTTCTGTTGACCGTACGTCTCGTTCTCGTCAAACGTAATAAGCACAAGCGTGTTTTTCATGAAGTTCTTGTCCTCGAGAAGGGGCTCCAGGAGGTTCCTCGTCCAAGTGCCAGCAACCGTGACAGACGTGTCGTGGCCGTCGCTTGTCATGTTGGGCGTGATCCAAACCCACTGCGGCAGCTTATTGTCTTTGAGATCCTTGTGGAACTGGGATTTCTCAGGATGGGTCATGGAAATGTTCTTGATCTGCGACAAGCGCTTTTCGGAGCTCGTAACGCTGTCGAAGAAAACGGGCGGGTTGTGCTTGCGCACATAGTCGTTTGCGCCATTCTGTTGGTTTACCCACGCCATGCCCTCGAACCCCGAGTAGGGCAGGTCTTCCTGGTAAGTACTCCAGGAGATACCCTTGGTATCGAGGAGGTCAAAGACCGTCGATACGTTACGGTCGGCACGGTTGAAGTTGTCATTCTGCATACCGAGATAGTCGCCGCTGACGGAGGCGAAGTAGTTTGGCTCCGAAGGATGGGTGACGGCAAAGTTGTTGTCCAGCAAGATGCCTCGCTGGGCCAACCAGGACAGATTCGCTATCAAGATGTCAACAGGTACCGTGGTGCAAGCCTCAAAGATTAGAACTTACGGTCACCACGGGCCTTGTCATAGTCGGTGTTTTCATTCCAGATAATGACGAATCGGTCAAAAACCTTTCCCTTGACGTTGCTTGTGGGACTACTCGTCTTCGCCGTCGCAGCAGCAGCAGCAACTGCTGCGGCACCCGTGGCGGTGTATTTCGTCTCCCAGCCCGTGGTGCTGGGTGTCGCTCGAGCCTCAATAGCGGCAGCGTGAGCGCTTGCTGCGAAGCAAGCAGCAAGAATGGCGCAACGCATCATGTATTAAGATTAAGCACGAAGCCTCAACGAAAACGAATGGCAGGTAAGATGGCGTACCTTGGCAGGTCGAAGACAATTGCCTGTCGACCTAGGACATCAGATCTTATTATGTTTCGTCAAAGCGGCCATGCCCGTTTCCGTAACTTTGCAGCGTCGAGGCAAGGATGTGGGAAACCCAGTCCCTGGCGTCGGTGCCACGCACGCCCCGAATGGATCGAGCGGCAGACCAAACAGAACGGAAGCAATTGTCAGTTGCTCTGATTAACCCGACTGTCTTGGTTAGTTTCCCCTCATTCCCGTGAACTAGCCCCCAATTATCGACGCAGGTGCTAAGCTTAGTCGTGATTGGACCAGCGATAGCCGTTGGTTCGCGCACGTGTTGGCCACTGGAATGCCGATTCAACCGAGGGAGGGTGACAATGCAGATCACAACGCCACCACTCGCCGTCTTTCTCGCTCCTAATACCTGCACGCCGCATTTCGCCGACGGCATTTCCCTTCCTAACGGCCATATGGTCGTATTCAACAGCACTCATTCTTTTGGTTTTTTCAAAAATTGTGCATCTGCCATGATGAGAAGCAGAGACCATCATGGATCTTGAACGAGTTGAGCGAGGAAGCATTCAAGAGTTATCGTTGAGTCCCGCGGCCACCTTGAGGGTTGCGGACCAACCTTTGGACGATGCATCTATCAATTCATTGACGGACGATAACTCTGAGAAGTCGCCATTCCTTGGCCTTACTCACGCCGAATATGATGATGAGCTCCCGCATCGACGACGTAACCGAGGAAACGCGTCATGGAGGACTGGCTTGTCCGCAACTCTGTTCGGGACCGTTGTTTTCTTCATTCTTTTCTATGCATCAGACGTGCTCTATTCAGCAACCTCAACAGAGAGTTCAACGGCACCAGTCTATGTGATCAAAGAACCGGTCTCACCAACACCACACTTGAGGAACTCTTCCGATTACATTCTCAACCCTTCGTGGGAGTTCAATGCGGCTAGAAGCATCAGAGAATATTATTGGATTATTCAAGATGCGACCCTGAATCCAGATGGGATTATTCGACCCATGATGCTAATCAACAACCAATTTCCTGGGCCGCTCATCGAATGCAACGAAGGAGACACCATTGTCGTCCATGTGCGGAATGAAGCCGTCAATGCTACCGCTATTCACTTTCACGGCATGTTCCAAAATGGTACAAACTCTATGGATGGTACTGTCGGCGTCACTCAGTGCCCGATTGCTCCCAACGCCACGTTTATATACCGATTCACCGTCGACAATCAGTCGGGTACATACTGGTATCACGCGCATCACAGCGTACAAGCTTCTGATGGGCTTGTTGGTCCTTTGGTAGTTCATTCGAGAGGCGAGAAAGGCTCAGAGGGCATGTACGCGACCGACCGCGTCGTGATGATCCAGGATCATTATCACAACACCTCTGCCGAGCTGTTGATGGATTATCTTCAACCAGACCAAGAGAACGACGAACCTGTTCCATCTAGTGGACTCATCAACGGAAGGAACTATCGAAACTGTTCCGATTTTGATGGTTGGGAGTGCCAGAATCATGCTCCTCGATTAGAGTCGTTGGAGACCTTCGACCTAACTCCAAACGAACGACATCGCCTGAGATTCATCAACACTGGTGCTTTCGCCGAGTTTCAAGTCGAGATCGACGAGCATCCCTTCTACATTACCGAAGTAGATGGCACAGCCGTCCACCCCGAACCCTTTCATCGTCTCAATGTTCTTCCGGCACAGCGCTACAGCGTGGTCCTGGAGACGAACGTCACGACTACGGACTCTTTCTGGATGCGCGCCAGGATGATCACGCATTGCTTCGCATCACCGAATCCCTGGCTTGACCCTGAAGTAAGGGCCGTCATTCGGTACAACACACCAGCAAGCTCTAACGACATAGCTGCAAGGGATGCTGCAGACGTACATGCCGAGCCTCAGAGCAAAAGCTGGGATGATGCTATTGATGTGGACTGTCGGGATATGAACACCACCATTCTCAGACCTGTCGAGGCAACACCGGCGCCAAAGATCACCGCGTCAATGTTCCTCCGTGCCAACTTTGAAATTGGCGCTTGGCGTCTGTCTCGAGGCTTCTTCAACACTTCGACATGGCACGCCAACATCACGTCGCCAACTCTTTATCGACTCATGGAAGTATCAAAGGCCGATAATGACACATTACTGCCTCCGACAACTGGAGTTAATAGCTTTGCCTTCGACTCGGAAAAGGAGTTTGTGTACCAGACTACAGGAATCCAGACCGTGGACATCATCATCAGCAACTTTGATGACGGGGCGCATCCCTTCCATCTCCATGGTCATAAGTTTTTCGTACTCAAGCAAGGTCCGACGGGATACCCGCCGGAGAACATTGAGGAGCTGGAGGAAGAGCTCGCGGCCACTGGCGTTTTGGCCAACCCATTGAGAAGAGACACAGTGACAGTCCAAGGCTACGGCTGGGCCGTCATCAGAGTCGTGCTGGACAACCCTGGGCTGTGGGCGTTCCATTGCCACAACTCATGGCATGCGGAGGCGGGCATGACAATGGTTATTGCCGCGAGGGTTGAGACGTCTAAGGAGTGGAATGTGAGCGAGGAGGAGATGAACCTTTGCAAGCTGCCTGGGGTTGAGAAAGGGGCTCGGCCGGCCGACGACATCTGGTTTGGGAACTTTGGCTGAGATTAGACATTAAGTCCTAGGCAAGTAGTCAACGATCAAACCGACAAATGACCGAGGAACCCGTAGGATACACCGCCATTATGACAACCATTGACTGATCCCGCCAGCCGCCCAACAGCCTAGGGTTGAGAGGGTGGAACTTACTCCGTCAGCTAACAAAAGCCCCTGCCACGCAGATACTAGCCCCGAGGTACACTGAGTAATCTAGGAGCTATTTGCTTCCTGGGCGCTCTATGCTCTTGTACGTCGTGAAGCTCACTGCTGTGGCCGAGTGAAAAGGAGATTCAACGGGTAAGTTTCGTACAACAAACTTGCAGTGAGCACCGAGCGATGAGGGCATCAAGGTATCTGCGGCCGCATGCATGTTACGATAAGCCTCGCATACAAAATTTTAAGATGCTGCTTTGATCGTCCAGGAGTGGCCGGGGCCGCCGGGTTGAAGTCAGACCATGCTCGACTATGACATCTAGACCTCGCATATCTTCAGCAAGCTAGTCTGCTTCCAGGTCTTGGGCGGGGGCATAACAACAGTTGCGAAATGAAGAGATGGGCAACCGGGGCGGTACTAACTTGATCTGTCTCAAAATTCCACTCTGCAAAGGGGCTCGCGTGCATCAGTGGTCCCGTTATGCTAATCTCCTATCCCGCGTAGAAAATGAAGGTCTAGACCCTTTAGTTCTCCTTGAGCGGCGACTTTGTCGAAGCGGGTTAGATTGCAATCGCCACACGTGTGGTCCGTTAAAGACATGAGCTTGAAAGGAAAAGGAGCGTGTTGGTCCCCACTTTTTCGAGTGGATGACAACTTTGGACGAAGAGGAGACAGCTGATGCGTCGAATTGACAACGGAAATGATGACTTTTTGAGCTTGATGCCGTCGCTTGCGCCGTTGGCCCCAGTTTCTCGCATTCTGTTGGTTTCCTTCTGCGATGCACTTGCTGTCGAGTGCCGAGTTCCATATTATTATTGGGGTAGCGGTTCCAGCTTGGTCTCGGCGAAAGTCATTCATGTGAGGGAGTCATGACAAGGCGTGTGACTCTTCATTGCGGGCAGACTTCGCATTCGGTTTCACGAATGTCGACGCCATCGGTTGCCATAAACGACCTGTCGAGAGTCACATCGACTTTGACGATGGAGTCAAGAATTATCGACGGCAAGACAGACGGAAAAACAAAACACGATGTGACGTTGAAATTGGATACTCTGACTTTTGACTGGTGCAAATTCAGGACTTCAGTCCCTAGCAGCCGTTCAGATGACCCGTGTTTCATCGGCTGAACACGAGGAAGCACAAACTCTAATCCGAATCCAGGACGGCATAGGGGGAGAAAATCTGCTGAGTCAAGACGAACTAAATCCGCAGAGTCACACGCGCGTGAGCCAGCCGCAAGTTTCCGACGGTACCTCTAGCTTTGATCGATGGATTCGGGATCTGCTTCTGCTGCTGTTTACGCGTGACGGGTTGACAGGCAAAGTTGGTCCCCGCTTTAAGGCAGCAGAAGTCGAGGACGGGCTTCCCCGTCAGAAAAACGATCAAGACATTCCCGCCAATGAACGCAGGCAAAATGAAGCCATTGTCCGGAATGGGAGGTTGCTTTCCGAAAAGTCAATTCTGTTGCAACTGACGCAATCCCCACTCCCATAAGTCCCTGAACTATACGTGTTCGAGCCCTGACCACCATTCTGACGTGCCAGCTATCCGGGAGCAGATTATATCATTTGAACTTTGATCAATTTAAAGCTCGCAATGTCTGACCACAAACTTCCACCAACCATTTGCCCTGCCCCCGGCATCCCTGATGGTCAATTGTTCCGTTACGCGTCCTGTCTCCCCTATGCCCCTTTCAAATGCGGTTTAGGAGCTCAATGTTTCTCAATAAACAAGATCTCTGTGGAGGCTGTAGAGGCGGCACGGAACTCGGCAAGCTGAGGGAGGCACCGCCTTGAGTAAAGCTGAATTTGATTGGGGCAAGTGCCGGACGACCCTGCTCAACAGGCGTTAGCCTACGGCGTAGGACATGGCAGCTTGTATATGTCAATCGCGGAGATGGTACCGGTGGGCAGAACCCAGCGTGATTCTAGAAATTCAGGAGTTGTGGTGGAGCCTATCTGCAGGCGCTATGCAAGGGCCAATCCCGGTACTGGCGCTGCTCTGGACTGGGCTTTCGAGCTCTGTAGTCAATTTACCTGACTCGGCTAGTGTTTCCCCGTCCATGGAGCGTCTAATATGTCACGGTAAACATGAGCCGTTCGTGGCCAAGCTTTGGCAAGGCTGTGCCAAGAGATCCATTGATTTGGATATAAACCTAAGTGCAGTTCCTCCCCAGAACGCCAAGAGAAGAACCAAGACATCAAACCCGCAGATCTCTTTCAACTTACCATTCTCAAGTCTTGGCTCATTCCTTTCGGCCACTTTTTATCCTAAACATTCTGATACTGTGTATCAAGTCACTCTCTAAGAACACTTTTCTGCTACCTTAACGAAATGGTTTCTTCCCTTCTCGCTCTCGGCGCCTTGGCCGCCTCCGCAATTGCTGCTCCTCTGGACGCCCGCGCCGGCTGCACCTTCACTGATGCCGCCTCTGCCATCAAGGGCAAGGCCAGCTGCACTACCATCGTCCTCAACAACATTGTCGTCCCCGCCGGCACCACGCTTGACATGACCGGCCTCAAGGCTGGCACTCACGTACGTTATGGCTACCAGCTCCGGACCAGTTGGTCGACCACTTCGACAATCCGACTAACACGTGAACATAGGTCACCTTCCAGGGCAAGACCACCTTCGGCTACAAGGAATGGGAGGGTCCCCTCATCTCCTTCTCTGGCTCCAACATCCTCATTGACGGTGCCTCTGGCTCCTCCATTGACTGCCAGGGCCAGCGCTGGTGGGACGGCAAGGGAGGCAACGGCGGCAAGACCAAGCCTAAGTTCTTCTACGCCCACAGCCTTAAGAACTCTAACATCAAGAACCTTAACGTCCTGAACACTCCCGTCCAGGCTTTCTCCATTAACAGCGCCACCAACCTCGGCGTCTACGGTATCAACCTTGACAACTCCCTCGGAGACTCCAAGGGTGGCCACAACACCGATGCTTTCGACGTCGGCTCCTCCACTGGTGTCTACATCTCCGGCGCTGTTGTCAAGAACCAGGACGACTGCCTCGCCATCAACTCCGGCACCAACATCACCTTCACCGGCGGTACTTGCTCTGGTGGCCACGGTCTTTCCATTGGCTCCGTCGGCGGTCGCAGCAACAACGTTGTCAAGGACATTGTCATCTCCAACTCCAAGATCTCCAACTCCGACAACGGTGTCCGCATCAAGACTGTCTACGGCGCCACTGGCTCCGTCTCCAACGTCCAGTACACCGGTATCACTCTGTCCAACATTGCCAAGTACGGTATCGTCATTGAGCAGGACTACGAGAACGGCTCCCCCACCGGCAAGCCCACCGCTGGCGTCCCTATCACCGCCCTTACCATCAGCAAGGTCACTGGAACCGTCGCCTCCTCCGGCACTGACGTCTACATCCTCTGCGCTTCCGGTGCCTGCAGCAACTGGAAGTGGAGCGGCGTTAGCCTTACTGGTGGCAAGAAGTCCACCAAGTGCTCCGGCATTCCCAGCGGCGGTGCCGCTTGCTAAGCTTCTAGCACGCAACGGGTTCTCAGCTAAGAGACTGAGTCGGCTGATTGCTGCAAGGCAGGTCACTGGAGACGTCGACACGGTCCTTTGCTGGAATTTCTTGTAATGAGCTACGCGTTGGTCTGAATCATCAGCTGAGCGCAAATTTGTTCCTGTACATATTTTCCTTGCCGCCTCTTAGATGTCTTGGGGCGGCCTACATACTCAATCCAACCTTATTCTGGATGCAATTGCCTCGCCCTGATTGTTTTGTCCCTCACTACCGACTGACGCCCCGCTTCAATGTTTAAAGTCCCAAGTGATAAACGACATGTCATGCTCCACTCCATCAATATAGTATTGGACAGGGCATCCTTGTGCTATGCATGGGGCCCTTGAGATGACTCTCATTTCCCCCAGAGCCACGAATGTTTGGTACGCATGGGTGACGCAACGCACAAAGTAGTAAAAAAAATCAAACTAGAAATTACCACCCAACAGCAAAAGAATCTCCTCGACGGGGAATTGAACCCCGGTCCCCTGCGAATCGTATGAATGACAAGCAGATATCCTCACCACTAGACTATCGGGGATTGGTGGATGTGTTCATCCAGTGATAGTTGGTTGGGAAAGCCGCTCGCCGTAGTAGTTATATAGCTTGAACAGCATACAGACATCCTAACCATTGAATTACCAAGGATGTGACTGTTGATGTATGCGACGCCGAATCTCGCCAAGGTGGTCGCAGTGAAAAGGACGTGCGCTAGGTGCTCGGACATAGCATTGAGTCTAATCGGCGATGCATACATTATCACGGGAGGAGACTCCAATCAATCATGGAAGCTATCGACAACCGCAGGTGTTAGTTGGAGGAGTCCTGAAGCCACCCATGCAGCAGAACTAGCCTCGTTCCTCATCAGACCTTGAGATAACTAGAGAATTTGTGCTAGTAGTAGGGCCCGGTTTACTTCACTGAAGGCGAAAACCATTGATTGTGTAATATCGTCTAGTTTGATACAAGACAGAGGTAGGTGTGTTCATTGCAATATCAACTATGTACAAGAAAGGTAGAAGGCATACGGGTCGGCAGACTGCTGATCGCTCGCATCTTGATAATCATGACTTATCGTTCATTCTAGCAAGTGAAAACGGCTGGGCCGGGGATGGTGTAAGTTGACGCTAGAGAAGATTAGCGACCATCAAAAGCACTCAGTTGGTTGTAACGTACCCTTGTAAGCATCGTAAGTGACGCCAGGATCGGTCGCCTTGTATGCACCTGGGAAAGCAACCAAAGATGTAGGAGTCTTGGTGCCAGAGCCGGTGACTTGCAGTTGATGACACCCGGGGTAGAACTGGGCACCAGGGTAGGAGTAGGCGGCGTGGAGAGCAATGATCTCGTGACGGACCAGGTAGTAGCCTGGCTTCAGGCAAGACGGGATGGTGTACTGGTAACCAGAGTTGGGAACCATGAGGGCGCTCTGTTCGAAATCTGAGTTAGAAAACTCGCGTCGCTTTACGTGCCCGATGACATTGTCCAAACTTACAGCAGCCCATGTGTTGGAAGTTCCGGTGCGCCCGCCTTCCTTGACCTTGAACCAAACAGCTCTATAAAGTGGAGTTAGCCTTGCTCGCCATGAAAAACCGAGTACACTTACGAGGTACCGGGTTGCCAGCTGTTGCAGCCAGCGTCAGGGCACCGTGCCATGTAGGTGATGACCGGTCCAACATGGGATTCAGGCCACAGAGTCCATCGGAGCGTGACGGTCGATCCCGCCGCAGCTGGGGCGTGGAGCGCCGCGGGTTGGGAACCAGAGATACCTCCCGCCGTATACCCTCCGCATTGGACATCGGCCAAGGTGACGCTCTCAACCGGGCCGTTGCCCTGGATAGGGCGCGAGATTCTTTGAGGCTGGAGGGAAATTTCGGTTCGTCATTGAACTCAGTCGGTAGGAATATAAGCTTAAACTCACTGCAGGGTTGGTGTAGGGGTCCGTATACGGCTGGTGTTGTTAGTTTCTTGACAGCGCGACACTCTGTCGTGGAAACAATGAGGCAAGAGCACTTACCTGATAGAACTATAGGCCTGTCAGCTTTGTAGTTCAGTTTGATGCAAGCTACAAGAACCGACTTACCTGGTAGTAGGTTCCGCCGATAGTGGCATTGTCGACGTACCCGTGCCCAGCGACAAGAGCCGCAAGGCCCAAGATACAAGCAGCGATCTGCATCTCGTCAAGGAGTCAATTGACGAGAGATCTGCTTTTTATGGAAAGATGTACTAAGGCGACGGAAACTGGCTACTGCGGGAGTTGCAAGCGGCAAGTTGTGAGTACTGTCGGAGACTGAACTTGTGAAGCCGGAAACTTGCTCATGCTTAGGAAGCTTCTTGATATTTATGATCATACCGCCCATTCCGTCAAAAGTCATTCATCTTTTCTCTCCTATCATTTCTACTTATCATTCAACCCAAGAGACTACGATAGCCCGACAGTGTGCTTGGCACGGTTGCGTTGGCTCCCTTCCGGCCCCGGTGTCTCATCACGAGAGCAGTGCGGTGAGCACGAAAGGAAATATCGGAACCAGGCAAGCGAGTGCCATGGCTCAATTTATTTGTTTCAATAAGTGGTGGTTGCCAATGAGGTTAGGGATAACCCGACACATACTTTGGAGGCGGGGATTCCACCAATTGATGAACACAACAAACTAAGAATCGGCGCTAGTCTTCCGCCAACACAGAGCATGTTTTAATTAAAGAGACGGCTAGAAGGAAAAGCAGGTTGCACTATAGATGTTTTAGTGCCGTTTCCGTGATGCCATGTGCCGTGAACTCGGATTCGGGGGATCTGCAATGTAACCATGCCTGGCCTTCCACTTTACATGCAGAATTGAGAGAGACGCCGAGCGCTAACCAAGCTAATCGGTCAGCCAAATCAATGGAATTTGATAACCATTGCGAGGAAGCCAAGGGAAGCAAACTCGAGAAGTTAAGCTTTCAACCTCAAACTCGTCAGGAGACACTGAAACTGAACACCTCTGCTCGGAAAAGTCGGCTTGAGATATTCGCTGTGGCGGCTATTCTCATGAAACAGTCCATGGAAAACACAAAAGCCGAGGGCCCTATCTGAAGCAGTGCACGACTTTTTAAAAATTCTAAATTGGTAAACTTTCATATCGCCGTAACACTTGCTTCCGCGCCAAGCTTGACTAGTTCAACCGTCGGTACCTCCATACCATAAACAATGCGCTGTGTGGCACCTCTTCCAGATGCTGTAAGCTTAGAAGGAGCGACTTAATGTGAGCTTATAGAAATCAACCACTTGTCATTGAGCGTAGTGATTGCGTTCATCCATCGATTATTGGAAAGCCATAAACACATTCCCAGGTGATAACTGATGGGATGTCAATAAGCGTGTATTCTTGGTTGGGCGCTGCGATCCTGGTCAATTCTAATCTCAATACAATTTTCCTCAACGAGAACCCACGTTTACCAAGTCACTCTGAATGTATACTGGATATATGATTGGCCCCCTTTCATGTCAATAACTTCAACTCAAAAATACTAAAATGCACGCATCAGGGGCATGATGAGCGACATACCTGGGTTGCGGGCTGTGACAGATTGTCTTCTCGCGTATTCAATACTTGCCAAGAAATGAAACAAGGTCTAGTTCCCTGGCCATATCAAGAAGGTGTATTCTGGTGGGTTAGGATAGCTCGTCAATTATTAGTGCCGGCTGGGGAGAGACGTTGCTCCGCCCTACGGCGCAAGAAGAGAACATCTCAAGATATACAGCATTTTATTACTAGAGTCCATTGCCCTTGGTACGATCTTGGTCAATGGGCCGGGTTTTATTCAGCATTTCTTTTCTTTTCTTATCCTAACTTCACTCCGACCGGACGTAGGAGGCTTACTCATTTCTGCTGTTGGTTCGGAGTAGGAAACAGCAACGTATTGCCATCGCACGGGCTATCGTCCGCAACCCTAGTATCTTGTTGCTTGACGAGACTACCAATGCACTAGACGTGGACAACGAAAGATTGTCCAGAGCGCACTAGCCGAGGCGGCCAAGAAGGATGACCGCATCACTCACGCCCGCTGTAGCGCATCGCTTATCGACGATCAAAGATGCCCATGTAATATTTGTCTTCTACGATGGAAGAATCGTAGAACATGGGACAAATGCTAGGATGATTGGCAAAGGAAGCATACCAAGCTTTTCATCTAGTCGATACGTGTAGATGCATCAAGCTCAAATGTAGCTTGTCAGATTTGGAGTGTTAAATGGCTAATCGTGAACAGAGTCGCGATGTCTCACCGTTACCTCGTAGGATTATCAGAACCATAGAGATTCTAGACAGCTCTGCTTGTTGAGATATACCTACAACACCATGCAACCGAGCTTTTCATACAACCTGCAAGATGCACCTGAGATGCCTGAAGCTCTAGACGGTTGCGTTGTCTGGTCTACGCATTACGTATGGCGGCCACGAATACCCAGCCTTCCAAGATTCTAGCACGTTGCCAATTACCGTGCATGACACCTAGCCTGAGCCGGGTTACGGACCAAAGACCTCGTTTAATGTCTTGGCAGCATGATATGACAGAACCCAAGACAGCAGGTAATTACTGACAAAGAATACAATGCATCGTCTACAAATTGCTAGCTACTAAACCCCGCAGGCAAGATAAAGCGAGGCGTCGCGTGTTCTCCGGGCAGATACCGAGGAGAATGATTAAAAACGCACGTTCCGAAGCCGGTTCCTGATCACTCTTGGCACGGCAGAAGAGCAGGATGGGCAGGTGCTTTTCTTGTTGATGCGCTGCTGAGCAGCCGTTGGTTGCAACCCGCCACCCGTCGATATGAAAAAGGCTTGGCACCTGCCCTATGAGGTTACATCGTGGCGTTCAGATATTCGAGCCAAGACGTTGTCAACCATGTCTTCGCAGCGATGCAGTAAAATTGCCAGGCGCTTTGTGCTGTGCCTCCGCCATTCTTCTTCTGCAAAAGATCGACTCCTTGCAGTGAGCCTCCCCGTCGTTGCGTAACGTGGCTCTCAATGCCGTTGGTCGGACGTGACCGGACAAGTTGATGCAGACAGAACCCCAGCAACGACATCAGAAATGCTTATCAGTAACGCTCAATTGAGACACTTGATTCGCCTTGTCTTGCAGCCCCGCCCCGAACCCATGTTCGCGACCAGGTCCAACGCGTGCCAAGCTCAGCTCAAAGCTTGAGCTCTCGACGAGCAACGCAATGTTGCCGGTCAGCGTGGCATTGAATGCAGGAGGGGAACTCGGGAAAGCAAGTTGACAAGCAGTGATGGTGTTATGTTTATAAGAGGGCGTCAATGCCCCAGAGTGCGGGCGAGTCTGCTGTGAGGTTAACCCGCCCTGCTCCTCTCGCGGTCTCCTTCCTGGTCTTGCCGAGTTCTTCAAGTCATCTCTCAAGATGAAGACCACTTACCTTTCCACCGCCGCCCTGGCGCTGGCATCGACCGCCTTGGCCACCGATCCTCTCACTGCCGACAAAATCGAGGCTGACATCAAGACCGTCGAGTGAGTCAACCCAACTGAACCAATACGTCCAACACAAGAGGCATGATCACTGATCAACTCCTTTGCATAGGCTTGAGCGCGTTCTTTGGAACCTCAACAAGATCGGTCGCGACAATGGGGGTACTCGTGCCTTCGGTACCCCGGGTTACAAAGCTTCAGTCGACTTCGTCCTGGAGCGCGCCCAGACACGCTTCTTTAAGCAGATGGATACCTGGGTCCAGCCTTTCAACCATACTTTTGAGCAGACCAACGCCATTTCCGTGACCGGCCCTGATGGCGAGGACGTTATCGTCATCAGCGCCGAGTACAACACCGCCACCCCGCTTCCCGGTGGTATCACTGCTCCCCTCATCGACACTCCCGTCGACGATGAGAACGGCTCCGGATGTCTGCCCGAGTCATTCGAGGGTATCGATGCCACTGGCAAGCTTGCCCTCGTGAAGCGTGGCGTGTGCGCCATCTCTGATAAGATCAAGAACGCGAAGGCCGCTGGTGCCCTCGGTGTCATCTTGTACAACCAGGTTCCTGGCAACGACATTATCAAGCCCACGCTCGGCGCCGAGAACATTGGCCTTCTAGTTCCTCTGGGCATTATCACGCTCGAGACGGGTGAGGCCTGGAGTGCCGCCCTTGCTGCGGGCGAGGAGGTCACCGTGACCCTTCTCGTTGACTCCATCTTCGAGGAGCGCGAGACGTGGAACGTCATCTCCGAGACCAAGGAGGGTGACCCGAACAAGGTCATCATGCTCGGCGCTCATCTTGACAGTGTCCTTGAGGGCCCCGGCATCAACGACGATGGCTCCGGCACCGCTGCTCTCCTTGAGCTGATGGGATCCGTCAAGAAGTACAGCGGCTTTCCCCACAAGATCCGTTTTGCGTGGTGGGCTGCCGAAGAGGCCGGCTTGGTTGGCTCGTACTACTACACTGAGAACCTCAGCTCCGAGGAGGCCGACAAGATCAAGTACTACTTCAACTATGACATGATCGGTTCTCCCAACCCCATCTACGAGCTCGCCACCTACAACAACAGCGGCATCGGTCCCCAACTCTTGGCCGACTACATCGAGGCCAACGGCAAGGAGGTTTCTTACGCTGAGTTCGATGGTCGCTCCGACTACGCCGGCTTCGTCGAGCTCGGCATCCCGACGGCCTCCATCTTCACCGGAGAGGGTGAGAACGACCCCTGCTACCACTTGGCCTGCGACACCCTTGACAACATCAACTGGGACGCCATCACCATCAACACCAAGGCTGCCGGTCGCGCTCTTGCTACCCTTGCGAACTCGCTCGAGGGCGTTCCGGCTCGTGCCACCACGACCCCCATCCTCCGTGGCCGCGCTGCTGTCATGCAGCAGTTCCGCCGCTGGAAGGCCCTGGCTGAGCACTCTCGCCATGGCAAGACGTGCTCGCACAACGACGTGAACAAGATCTACTAAGACGTGGTGTGCTGCCGTTAGGAGCGTCGGGGTCGGGGAGACACAAGAGTTTATGAAAATGTTGTACATATAGCCAAGAAGAAGAAAAGAAGTTGATGTCGGTAGCTTATGAGCAATAAGAGTAATGTCTCATGAAGCCCTGCTGAAAATGATGTTCGTCTCCGTGAACGCGGAGCCGTGTCCGCCTATCAGTCGGACCAGATCGTGCGGACGCCGAAAACCGTGCCTGTAGGTGCCGCCGTCTGGCGACGGAACCCCACCCCACACTGCGTCCCCTTTCGCGGTTTAGCGGCTCGGCGGCAGGAAATTGGGCTCGGTGCACGGCCCACCTCCGCAATTTTCGCAGTTGCTGCTTCTGCCCCAACGGAAATAATTAAGGGGGTTAACCCGGCGCGTCTTTCTCTGCTCTATAGATTTCACACTACCACGTCACTCGTCGGGAAACCAGTGTCTTGTAACGTGCAATTGACCCGACTAGTCACAGACAACACGAGTCAGACACATCGTGAGACAACCATGGCTCAGAAGAAGCACAAGTACGAGTTTGGTGGCCCGTAAGTTCGCGTCTCAACACCCCCGCGCCAGTCCTCACCCGCTGATCGCACGCGCCTCCCATAGCCCTGGCGCCACTGCCATTGTCTTTGGGCTTCCTGTGCTCCTGTGGACGTTCTTCTTCGTCTGCAATGACAAGACCGGCTGCCCTGCGCCTTCGGCCCTGAGCCCTCGCACCTTGACCTTGGAGAAGCTCAAGGCTGAGACGCCATGGCCCGCGGACGGCATCTGGGGTTTCTGTAGCTGGGAAGCTATGGGCTGGACTCTGGCCTACTACTTCTTGAGCTTGGTGCTCTACCGTATCCTTCCTGCCCAGGAGATGCTGGGCACGAAGCTGGTTCAGTCCGGCAAGCCCTTGAAATACCGCTTCAACTGTAAGCCCACCTATTCTGAGACCTCGCTTGAGAACACACAATTGACATCAGACGACAGCCTTCAACTCCTCAGTTGTCCAGCTTGTTGCCTTGGCCACTGGCACCTACCTTCAAGGTGCCGACTTTGTTGTCTGGACCTACATCTCAGACAACTACCTTCAGCTGCTGACCGCCAACATCATCCTCGCCTACGCAATCACCGTGTACGTCTACGTTGCCAGCTTCAGCGTGAAGCCCGGCAACCCCGACCTTCGCGAACTTGCCGTCGGCGGCAACACTGGCAGTCTGATCTACGACTTGTACATCGGTCGCGAGCTGAACCCCCGCATCACCTTGCCGTTCTTCGGGGAGATCGACATCAAGGCTTGGCTTGAGATGCGCCCCGGCCTGACTGGTTGGGTCATCCTCAACCTGGCTTTCTGCGCCAAGCAGTACCGCACCTACGGATACCTCTCTGACAGCATCATCTTCACGACCGCCGTCCAGGCCTACTACGTCCTTGAGGGCCAGTTCATGGAGGCTGGTCTCCTGACCATGATAGACATCACCACCGATGGTCTGGGCTTCATGTTGACGTTTGGCGACATCGCCTGGGTCCCCTTCCTCTACTCCACCCAGACCCGCTACCTCTCCGTCTACCCCGTTCACCTAGGCTGGGCTGGCATCGCCGGCGTTGCCAGCGTTTTCGCCACCGGTCTGTACATCTTTCGCGCTGCGAACAATCAAAAGAAGGTCTTCCGGATGCAACCTGACCACCCGAGCGTCAAGGACATGCCCTTCATCCAGACGAAGCGAGGGACCAGGCTGCTCACCGGTGGATGGTGGGGCAAGTCGCGTCACATCAACTACTTTGGCGATTGGCTTCAAGCTTCACCCTTCAGTCTGCCGACTGGAATAGCTGGGTATCAGATCCTCACCGCCGGCAGTGCCGTCTCCGGCGCGATCACGATGCTCGACGGCCGGGAGGTAGTCCAAGGTGCGGCCCGCGGCTGGGGCATGATCTTCACGTACTTTTACGTGTTGTACTTTGCCATTTTGCTCATCCATCGCGAGGGACGGGATGACGTCGCTTGTTCAGAGAAGTACGGCGAGGACTGGGAGAAGTATAAGAAGATTGTCAGGTGGAGAATTCTACCTGGGGTATATTAGACTAATACGACAGCGAAATGACTTTCTCTGTCAAGTACTAACGTACAATGGGCTTGTGGTGAAATGGCAATTACTAGTGATATTGTAAGCTCAGTACACGAAGCCAAGAAAATCATCTTGCGCCGTATTCGAGCAACACTTTCTCAATCAAAGGTGCTATGTTGTCGGCATTTTTAAATCTGCTCTTCAAATAAACCTTCCCAAACAACTCATTTGTGATTTCTCCCTCAAAACAATCTCTATGTGGCCCAGACCTACATATTTCAAGTGGTGACATTCCACTCAATATGCTGAATGAGTTGAATTGGCTGTTTGTTCGCCCCTCCGCAGCCGGGTTGCCAACAGCATTTGGCGCCGCTCCGTTCTCGAGCAAGACGACTACTCCCTCCAAGTCCAGAAACGAAACAGCAATCTGCAAGGGTGTAACGACATAATCTTCCGAGTCTGTCTGCGCTCCAGACTGGTGCAGTCTTTGGACTATGCACCAGTCATTGCAACTGTCGGGATGATTATGCCAAGCTATGTAGGAGACAAGAGCTGTGTCGCATTCCATGGCTTCACCCCAGCATTCGATAAGGAATCTCAAGGGGTTGTCATCCACCCTGCAATGTGCGGCAAAGAAGTCAACGACTGAGGCATGAAAGTGCCACTCTCTGCATGACCTGCCCCGATTGATAGTGTACAAGCGCGCGTCTATCGTCAGGTCAAGATTGGTCAACAAAATACTTGCAGCATCGCCTTGCTGTAGTAGTAAATGTGCTAGTTTGACAGCGCCGACCATAAGTAGTTGAACCAGAGTTCGAACCTTAGGGTGTGGCAAAGTGTTCCAGGTCAATGAAAAGAAAACTCCCTCGATATGATAAACAAAGCGCGTTCTATACGCGTAATTGAGACGCATTGATCTTTGCAGGATGCCCAGGAAGTGGTCTTTTTCCGAACTAAACCGTATGGCCAGGTTGGCAAGATCAGGTCTGTCTGCCAACCAATCGTGGTAAAATGGAACCAGCCCAAGGGCCGAGAAAGCACAGTAGATTCGGAAGTTCGGCACTCGCATTTCATCCATGTCGGACACATCTTGATTTGTCCACTGGTCAGTGTCGGAAGTGGTTATAGACTGCGCTTGTTTAAGGAGTAGCTCCGCCTGGTTGAGAAGGAGTCCACGGTGATCCAGATCAAGGAAGCGATCCGGCTGGTGTCGATGTGACGAAGCCAAATATTCGAGGACGGTATAATGAGCAAACGAAATTATGTGCCGTTCATCCGTTCCGTAGTCTTGATCTCGCTGGACTGTCTTCAGTGTAACTGTGATAAGACAGCCGCAGAGTTCGCGAAGCAATTCGATGTCATACTGATATTCCCGAGTACAGGTGTGGCTTCCAGAAACGTCGTTCTCAACGGCGTCTATCAGTGTGGGGCAAGGAAGTTCTTGAGAAAATACTTTGTCGTTGAAAAAATCCATCGTAAAGCTGATTCAACAATAATCGCATCTACTTTGGGAACCGCCTGGAAAATCCTGTCGTATGCATCGTCTAAGGTTTTCGGGAGGTTTCTCAACTCCTTCCCGATCGCCGCGTTCGTTCCTTTCACTCTCCGAAGAGCATCAATCTGACAGACTACCCAGCGGAACCTGGTCCTATGATCAGTTTTCGGATACAAATCAGACTCCGAGGTGTTGCAAGACTTACATTCCCTTCGCACTGACAGATAAGGCTTCCAAGGTCTCATCTTGCAACTCTTGTGGCCAGTTTCTAATCTTATCGTGGTTATTCAGGCGAGACTGAGTGTGCAGCCGTATATCGGCATCCAGGTAGGAATTTTGCATCGAGATCTCTGTCGAAATTTGTTGCATGACTCTCTCGATATCTAGATACTCGCGGCTGGTTGCTAACAGTTGAACTTTGGCAAACCTGGAATCTGTGATCAGGTCTCTGAGAACCTTGAGAAGTTCATCTCGTGGTTTGCTCTCGTCAATGGCGTCTAGGGTAATGAAGACTTGGTCGAATGGTTGGAGAGCAGCTTCAAGGGCTGACAGCAGGCTTTGAATGCTGGGCTCACCCCCATGCTGGAAGAGCTTCCACAGGCATTCAGGAACTAGCTGCGCTTGTCGGCACAAGCGAACGAGAACCCATTTGAGGAGCGAAACAGTCTCGTCCTGGTTGTGACCGAAGTAACAGTAGTAGTAGATACTAGCAGATTGTGGATCGTCCGAGCAACGTGATTCGCAGTGCTTATCGATTACTTCGATTAGCTGTGAAGCCAAGACGGTTTTGCTAGCTCCAGGAATGCCGTGAATTCAGAGACACCGTGTGTCCCCTCTAAGGAATTTTGGCCACTCTGGAAGGCGCGACATCCGGTCACATGTGCCAGGTTCATGATTCCGACACGCTTGGTGATGGATTGACGACGGATCGATATCGCTGAGCCATTTGTAAACCTCGTGTTTTTGAGATTCTGTCCCGCTAGTCTTAGGATCCTGACTGGTGATTGTTTCACAAAATGTGACTATGACTTACCAGTCAAAAGTTTCTCGATTTTTCTAATGCCATGACTATACACTTTTTAGCAAATATGGCTTGCAGTTTATGCCGCAGAATTCCTCGAGGTCTCAATTTGAACATTCATTTGTCAGCATATCACGGTAAAAACGAGCACAGGAAAGGAAAGTTGACATGACTTACACAGTATCCGTGGTGAGCACAAGACTGATGGTGCCCTTGTACCGTGCGATGTCGTCCAACAGCTTTCTGGCTTTGGTGTCCTTTAAAGGCCAAGCCAGGGTCGCAAGAGTAGCCTGGACGCGTCGCCGCGTGGATTTGCGACGCCCCTTGCCTTGATTTTGGTTAGACGGGAGCAGGCCCAGCAGCTCGTTAGTCGCGGTTCGACATCCCTCAATGGGTCCTGATACCCCATCCAAGCTACTGAACATTGCTGACTGCATTTGATAAGGAATTCTACATTCTCCAAAATCATTTTCACAGCTGAAATCTCAACAAAGATGACTCGGAGATCCTCGGAGATCCGAAGGAGGGTCTTGGACGCTTTCGATGTAGTGCTTGCATATCGTGACTACTCTGTCTGCGATTTGTATTGTAGCGAAAATACTCGCTGCAAGGCTAAAAGAATCCGCCATGATTTAATCGTGAGCCGCCTATAGTAGGATACCACCTAAAAAAAGAAGTAGAGAGGTGCCCGAGCTTTTAAGAAGATGTATGGACATCAGGCTACGTGAGGGGTTTTCTCACATCAAGCCTTGTTGATGTTGATAGCATCCGTCAATGGTCAAATTTAGGAGCTGCCTAGGTAATAATCACTTTGCCACATTGCTGCAGCGCCAAGTCCAATCAACATCTTTAACTAAGCACTCGCATAGCAAATGCCGCATTTGGGTCCGATTGCAACCGGACAGCATCGCAGCTTAGTGGTCAGTGTAGTACAGCAGTCTATCAATTTTCTATATCGAGACGAAGGTACAAATAACGCTCATCTTTTACAAGTTGCTAGGTATTCTGGTGACAATTTTCATGAGTTCGTCATCTTCGGGCACCAAACCCATCTCATCCGGGCTCCTTTCATTCTGGAATCCTGCTTCTGGACTCGCCCAGCTGTAGCCCTTCCACACACCCAACGCCGGCCACATCTCCTGCTCCACCAATGCCTTCAGCTTCTCGTACCTCGCGGTCGCGGAGGCTTGGCCAGCATCAGTCATGGCTACCACTTCAGCCTCACTGCCCGCCGCAAGCCCCTGGAGCACATGGTTCCAGGCCAATACGGTCTGCTCCAGCTCGGCTGTGTTTGTCACGCCCATGACACTGCCACCGACCCGTAAGCCACTCTGGCCGGGCAGCTGGACGCCAAGGCCAGCCAACGCGCCGACACGGGCGTACTCTTCCATTGACCAATGAAGGGCGACGGTCTCTAATTGCTCGCCAGCTTCGCTTGCAATTGTCGAAAGCTGCCTGCAGGCTGAGCGCAGTTCGTCCGGCGACGGGTGCCATGATGCAATGACACCAGCCTTGCCATCTGCACCCTCCGAGCTCGAAGGGATGCCAGTCGACGTGAGAAGACCCATACCCAGCATGCTGGCGTTCAGGACAACCTGCACACCAGCGTTCCGGAACCTCCGCAAAGGACTCTGGTCGTCATTGTGATCAGGTCCAGCCACAACCTCGGGCAGGCCAAGGATAGGGTTCTGAATGGTGAAGTGCCCGTAACTCAGAATGGCATCGAGCGGCTCGCCGGTCTCGGCAAGGATCATCTCAGCAAGGCTGCAGAGAACGTGAACGGGGAATCCGCTGATACCGACGTATTGGATTTTGCCCTCATCTCGCAATTGCCGTAATGTCTGGACAGCGGCGAGGACTTCTGAGGGGAGACAAACTCGACGTCGTGCATGTACACGAGGTCGAGGTATGTGGTGTTTAGGCGTTTGAGAGAGCGGAGGACGGAGTAGCGCACGTATGCCGGCGAGTAGTCAAACTCATTGCCGGCGATGCGGCCAGCTTTTGTCACCAGGACATAAGACTCTCTGGAGATGTTGGTTGCTGCGGTGTGAGCGGCCAGCGCGTCACCAAGCAGGACTTCTGAAGGGCCGTAGTACGGCGATGTGTCAAAGCCGTTGACACCGAGCTCAAGTGCCCTCGAGACGATTTGCCGGTAAGGCATCTGCAGAGGGTCCTTCACATGCTGGGTGTTGAATGTGGCTGTGCCCAAGAATAGAGGCGGGAGGACCGATGCGACGGGCGGCCGGGCGGCTGGGTTGTGGCTTGTTGTGGTGGCCATGGCTTCGACAGAACAATTCGATGGCAAGATTGGGGCTGGTCGAGATTGGGGTACTGGGGACTGAGAGAGAAGAGGGGGGAGACTCTCAGGAAACGTCTAGCCTTAAGTTGGAAGGGAAAGAGGGATGAGGTGTTTGCCAACTGATATTAGAGGGTCGCAGCAGGACTGGTCTGAAAGTATGGTCTAACATGATTTGAATGGGGTTTCCCAAACTCCTGGACAAGGAACAATATGCCATAAAGCATAACCGGTATTAAGGGCTGGGCAGCTCTTCCTTGCGGCACTTCTACTGAGCATACCCGGAACCGGCGCGTGCGGATTCTCCCTGACCATGCCGCGTACCCTTCCTTGCTCGCCTCAAACCGATTCATCTCGTCAATACTTACGCAGCTCTGTTGCGCAAGTGGAGTTGAAGCATGGGGTTTTCCGGGCGTCTAGCCAAGCCCAGGGCGGCATTTCAAAAGTTCACGGGCTGATTGCACGTGCCATCCCGTCCCAACCTGCCACAGCCTGCCACAAACTGCCACAAACTACGCAAGCTGGGGTGACGGTCGTGATGGGGGTTATGGACCCTCGAAAACCGGGACCCTTGTATCGCAATCTTTCTACCTAAACTACTACCGGGCGACGCCGGCCGGCATAAGTGGCGGAACCCCATGCATCCATGCTCGTATGAGACTTCCCGTTTCAAGCCGCCGGTCTTGACTCGTTAATCACAAACAGAACAGATCCCAGGGTGTCGGACCGGAAACCCAGTGGGTGGCCCACTACGGACGCTAAACTAGAATTGTAATATAATCCGTTACTAGCCTCAAAATTTCCCAAACGTGGCTCAGGGTGCGTTTGTTCACTCCAAGTTTCCTCAAAATCTTCCCTCGAGGAGTCCTACAAAGCCTCGCTGATCTCGGATCTTCAGGGCTTCATTGAGTGTTTTCGCCAGACCTGAATCTCCAAGGCATCTGCTGTTGTTGAGCCGAGATGTCTGCCGTTGCGTCGCTGGACCCGCATGTGCGCGGCATCATCGACTCTGCCGCTGCCGATGGCATTCCCTTTCGGGCGAAAACGGCGCATTTCCATGCCACGTGGGCTCGTACTTTCGCCTCTCTCCCAGAGCTCTACATCCAGCCTCAGTCTCAGCAAGAAGTTGAGAAGGCAGTCAAACTGGCCCGTAGGTGCAGGCGGCGCATCACCACAGTTGGTCATGCACACTCGCCTTCGGACCTGACGTGTACCAGTAATTGGCTGGTCAACCTTGACGACTTCAAAAAGGTCTTGTCAGTCGACAGTAAGCACAGACCCTCACGTTGCAACGCAATCTCGTCACATGCTAATGCTCAACAGAGGAGACGGGACTGGTCGTCATGCAGGCTGGAATTCGCCTCTGGCAACTGACGGAGGAGCTAAACAAGCATGGCCTCTCATTTCCCGTTCTGGGGAGTGTCAATGAGCAAACCATTGCTGGTGTCATCAGCACGGGCACTCGGGGCAGCACCCTGAAATACGGTCTGCTTTCCGAGGCCATCGCATCCCTCAAGATTGTCCTGGCCAACGGTGAGACTGTGGCATGCTCTCCCGCCGAAAACACGGAACTCTTCCGCGGAGCCCTTCTCTCTCTCGGAGCCCTGGGTATCATTACGGAAGTCAGCTTCCGTGCCGTGCCGGCGTTCAGTCTGAAATGGCAACAGACAATCCAGGCGGAGAGCATCATGCTCGACACCTGGAAGCAGAACAACAAGCTGTGGACTCAGTCCGACTTCGTCCGAGTGTGGTGGCTGCCTTATACCAGACGGGCGGTAGTCTGGAGGGCCGACATCGTTACTAAGGATGATCTCGAGTCTGGGAGGGAGAAGAATCGAGATCCGCCAGTCGGCTACTACGATGGAGCCCTCGGTTATCACATATACCACAACCTCCTTTACCTATCACGTTACATCCCACGCATCCTGCCCTGGATTGAGTGGTAAGTCAAAACCCCTGCAACGCATCAAACGAGGGATTGTAAGCTGACAGTGGCAGGTTCGTTTTCGGCATGCAATACGGCTTCAGTGATGGGTACACCTCGTCCGCCGTCCAACCCATGGACAAAGCTCTGTGGATGAACTGTCTGTACAGCCAGTATGTGAACGAGTGGGCCATCCCGCTCCACCGTGGCCCCGAGGCCCTGATGCGTCTCGGATCATGGATCAACAGGCTGCAGCCGGGAGACCCCTCCTACGTCGATCACGGTATCCCCTACTCCGCCGAGGGCCTCTACATACACTCTCCCGTCGAGGTACGTGTCTGTGACGCCACCGTCCACACCAGTGCCGAAAAGGGCAACAGACCGTTCCTCGACAGCACCATCAAGGACGGCCCAACGCTGAACCTCAACGCCACCATGTACCGGCCGTACGACCTCGACCCTCCCGGTCTGAAGCGTTGGTTCCAGGGCTTTGAGTGGTTGATGCGCGACCTGGGCGGCAAGCCGCACTGGGCTAAGAACTTCAACGTCCAGAACAAGGAGTTTGCGGAGTGGTACGGAGACGATCTGGTCCAGTGGCGAAAGGTCCGCGACGAGGTGGACCCTGACGGTCTGTTTGTTGGCCCGTGGCACCGTCAGTTTGTCTTGGATCCCAAAACTCCCCTCCTTGAGTTCGAGGAGGTCGAGAAGACGAGGCATGATGCTGGCAAGGGCGTCACTGTGTACGGCACTCGTGCCTCGCTTGATAAAGTTGAGGATGCTGAGATAGCATAATTTAATATAAGGTCATAGGACTTAGTTATAAAGTCTTGCTACTGTGAATGGCGTAGCCTTCAAAACGGGCGGTTAGGTAGTTGATAGCATCTTCACTTCTTTCGCAGCATGGCTGGGTTTGAGCGGAATGAGTTAAAGATTTTGCACTGAAATAATGTACCGATGTTTGTGGGTAAGTGTTCCCCCGCAGATATATGAGGCTGTCATTGTCGACTTTTCATGATTGGGATTTGGCAAGCTTGTGAGTCGGCCTTTGGTATTTGCTTTTTTGCTGCAAAATTCTTCGAATCTTGAAGGCTTGTCCTTTTTGATATAGCAAACTGCCCGCCCCCATGAGCATGCAGATGTGGTAGCAATATTCGCCTACCAAAATGCAATCTTTTCAAATTTCGCAGAAATTATCCAACTGCCAAATAGAGACATTCTACGCCGTGGTACGCCCCCATCCTTGCGTGATTCTTGGACCGTCGCCCTGCAATCTTGCCAAGCAATAAGGTCCGTGACCACCCCGAACACGATCACCTAATCTTGGTTTTGAGAAGCGAGCCAAGACGAAGATTAACAAGGCCTCTGGCGGCGCTTCTTATGACAGCTGCCATGATTATCAAAGGGGGGGTAGTCGCTGGTCGTTGGGGCGCGGGTGAGCAGCGTTGGCGAAGTTTGATCTTCGCCCAATCAATGCTGCTCGTATGTTGTTCATCAACACAAAACTCTTGTCTGAGTACTGTAAGTCTACAGTCAACGTCGCATAGTAGTAAAGAAATAAAAAAACAAATACCGAACAAGGCTTTGAGTCGCCGAATTTGCATCCCCCGAGGTTTGTCACAGCTGCGGGTGCAGATAGCACGCACCACAATCCTGACATTTTCTGAATTTTTGGCCAGGGCACAGTTACACACGGTCTGTGCAGCGCGGTCTCCGATGTCTTCGCTTTGCGGTTCTGATCGCTGTCAAGCGTGTTCTTCCAAAAGTGCCCTCTCCTATGGGTCGAAAATAGACGAAAACTCTAAATGATTGTACTTTGGCCGTGCATGAAGATCCGGCTAGTGTCTACCGGGTTCTCACATGTTGGGCCACAAGACTGGATCCATCGAACTCCAGCGCACGTCGCAGCGCCATGTCAATCACCTCCTCCGTACACCATTACCTAGTAGGCAGATATTTGACACGGAGAGGGTAGCGGAGCACTTGGGGACGCTATTGCTCTTACTAGGCGATAGCAGACACTCGATTACTGGAGCCTAGTGCCGTCCCCCAATAACACGCCCCTGCGAACGCGCGCGGCAGCCTGAGCCCAAACTAGGCGGGTCGTACATGTGGAAACAGTCAGAACCGTGGACTAGATGAGACGATTTTGACGCACCCTATGGGTTCCCCTATTGCATCTAACAGTCCATTAGTCTGAGGTTCTCCTGTATGTCTTTTCGTTGAGGAAGCTCAGTTGCTATCGATGCCAAGACCAACCGCCCACAACCCGGATCCCTCATTTCATCGAAGTGCACACCGGGGATCTTGTACCAGCGTAGCATTCAGCCGCTTCAACTCCAGCAAAGCTAAAGTTCACAATTATTCAGACCACCTCAGATGAACTGCATGGCGATCTGAAACCCTAGTCACGAACGATCGTGCGGCGATCATCTGGTAAGAACGAACAAAAGTGCTTGCGGGCTCATCCCACAGGTCGATATCAAGCAGCGCGCCTTGGAAAGCACCCCAGACAGCACACATCTCATGTCATGCATTCACGGCCAACTTCATCGAAATATGTAGGGAGTTCTGGCATATGTATTGAACTATGCCTCTCGCGCCCGTACCGGACTGCCTGGAGCCGTCCGAGATGGTTCTGGAGCCGGAGGAGGAATAGTCCCGGAGCCCCGGAATCCAGAGGACGGACACGGTCCATCAACATTTCGGCAGTTGTGAGCAGTGAGGACTGGAGAGGGTGTGGCCTCGTAGCCAAGTTGAGGATGCTGGCTTTGGTGGAGTGGGCGGCCTCAGCGGTGGAGAGCTGGGGTGGTTGAATCATCTGCGACGGCTACTAGGACGTTGCCATTGGGCTACTCCATATTTCTGAATCTGTTGGAACTTCCGAAGCCTTATCATTCGCAGTATAAGACGGTAAGGAGGGCGTTGGGGGAGTCGACTTTGGTGTTTCAGTCGTCAGCAAGCAGATGAAAGCGCACCAAAGATCGCAGAATCCGCTGCGCGCGGCTACCGTCCGATCGAACATGTCATCCAGTAATTGCCGTGTTGGGTGACATGCGACAGATGTTTTGGTCGGCAAGTAGTTCGGCTCCTGCTCTTTGGCCTAGAATAGCTCCCAGCGGCCCTCGCCGTCTGTTCCGGCCCGTGGATCTCGAACAGATGCAGGTTCGACCAAGACGAGGCAGGAAGAGACCGTTCGAAGCAGAAGCGTGTTCTTTGCACATGGGAGACATCACCAGAGGTGCGAAGCGGTGCAAAGGTTCCAGCTCAAAGGCACGGTCTGCAACCGAATGACGGGATGAGGATCCGACAAAGTCCATCCGTGGAAGACCAAGCAATCGATAACTTCAGATAAACATTGTTGCAACTAGAGAAACAGACTGGAAATTAAGATTTCACACCAGCCAAGACTTGCCAACCCGCAGCAGCGATGATCATCACCACCCAGTATGTGGTTGACTCCCGAGTACGACGAGTTCGTACGGGCCCAGGCTTGGGAGGATTACTCGCAGCTGGCTACCTACTTGCGACTGTGTGCAATCTTTCTGACTCTTTCCCTACTGCCACATGCAGCCAGCACAGACGGCTCCTCCCGACCAAAGGGTCGGGTCCAGCCAAGTTGCCAAGCATGTTACACCCTTGACCCCAGCCCAACTTAGTTAGAAGGCGGCCGATCGACGACGACTGAACAAGGTACTGAAACTGACTCCTGTTTTCTCCCCTATCTTACCTTTTGTGTGGCTGGCGTCACCGTCAAGGAGGCTCTGCCATGTCAGCCCTCTGGGCGTCCATCTATCGGTTAAAGCTGCCAAGCATAGCCCGGGCCACCACGTCTTGCTCCCCGTCCATTATCTAGGACCCCACTGGTAACCCTTTCGCCCATCCACTTCCCGAAGCCGTGTGCCCCCATTCCCGTGTTGCGGTTCCCTCCACGTCCGCAAATGCCCGCGGACGCTTGTTAGCGCGCGCACAACTGGCTCCAGCATGCTGTTTCAACGAGTAATCGGTCTTCTACCGAAGAAAAGATGACGTTGCCCATCACCCTAGGGGTTGTCCTCTCCTGGTGCGGCTTGAGCGAGTTCTAACGCTCGCTAGCTCTAGGGATTGAGGCGACAACGGTTTCAGACGCCTTCAAGATTCCTTCTGGAAAATCGAAAGAAGATCTGAAGAGAGAGTCATCTGAAGAAAGCCAGATGAGACAAGATATACGTGCCAAGACATTGTCCCAGCCGAAAGGATACGCAGTCTTCATTTTCCGCTGACCATGAGAATCCACATGCACAGCGCGTTTGCCCAGCGTCTATCTAGTATACGTCCAACGTGTGGTCTTCTTGGCAAGCCGCGGCGCTAATTCGCCTTTTTGCGCCTTTGTGAAAAGGCAAGCCGTGACGAGCGCCTAATAACCTAAAAACGCAATCTGCGAAAAGGGTCATTTAGCGCGGATTGATAAACATTAAAGTTTGGTCTCACTTTCTCAAGCCGAATTCCTATTAGGGGAATTCTCTTGTCCTGGGTTAGACGGAAATGAAGTGCGTTTGGGCCATATGGCCAAGATGGTAAATGCCCCTTGCTTGCATGCAGGTACGGCGGTACTCAGAACCTGCTCTGCCCTCGGTCCCTTGTCGGGGTGGCTTGACCTTGTTCCTGACAGATCAAGCTATAGGACCGATGAGCCGAGGCGGTTCTGATAACAGCATCGCGGTATGAGGCAGCTGGCGACTGTCCCGTTATGCAGCTTCCGGCATATGCCTGTCTCGAAGAGTGCACGACCCTTCGCGTCAGGTTGCCATTGGGTAAGGGGTCTGCAGGCTTGGCCCGTTGTTTACATACTGCGGGCTATTTTGAGACTGCGACTTCGTCACCCTTTACCGGGTCAAGCCGGCTTGTCCAGAGTAAATGAAAGGCCGTTCTGGGTCGAAGAGGACGAGCATGGTTCACCTTGGTACACGCGGTTGATGGGAGCAGTAGAACGCCACTGCCATGAACCTAACGGCAGATCGCCCATGGTAGGCTTGAGCTAGGGACCTCCTGGTGCATCAAATTGGTCTCCGCTTTACGCCTAACGACCAGCTCCTCGCTACTCAGATTGGAGATATCCAAAGTCAAGGTAGTCAACTGAGCTCCTTTGATCAGTATTAAAGAGCGGATCTCCTCGCCCTGTCATGGGCTCATAATCAGCAAGATCATCAGCTTCACTTCACCACATCAGCTTCTCTTCAAACATCAACAGGGTTGATCAACTATTCAGAGCGGGACTCAATTCACTACTTACTCCCCCAATCAGACAACAACAAGACGTTTCGTTCTTCTTTCCCGCCGCACACTATTCACAATGGTCCCTCCTCGCTCCGGATCTGCCATGGGCATGCGTAGCCGTGGCCCAGTAGAACTTAACGTTAACCTCGCCAAATCATACGAGATCCGCGGTCCTAAGTCACCCATGCCCAAGTCTCCGCTGAAAGATGTTACCCACGAAGATCGCACCAGCCGCGGTTCTTACGAAGATCGTCTCGACGGTGCTATCCACGTTCTCCGCACAGAGGCCAACGCCCTCATGGCCTTGACGCAATTGTATTCTGCGGAGCGTGTCTGCCGTGATGGCTTCTATCGCTCTGTCGAAGCCCTCACTCGCCACCGCGACCACCGCGGCAAGGTCGTCTTCATCGGTGTTGGCAAGTCTGGCTGGATTGCCAAGAAGCTCACCGCTACCTTCAGTAGCTTGGGTCTTCCCGCTGTCTTCCTTCACCCTACGGAGGCGCTGCACGGCGACCTTGGCATCGTTGGAGAATACGATACCCTCATCATGATCACCTTCTCCGGCAAGACTCCCGAACTCATGCTCTTGCTCCCTCACCTCAACAAGAAGTGCCCTCTGATTCTCCTTACTTCTCCCACCAGCATGGAGACATGCGAGATCGCCAAACAGCGGCCAGACCTGATCCTCCTGCCTGCTCCTATTCCCGAGTCTGAGAAGGAGACATTTGGGGTGTCTGCTCCCACAACTTCAACAACCATGGCTATCGCTGTTGGTGACGCTTTGGCATACGTCGCATCCAAGGAAATGTACCCGTCCGTGTCGTCGGTCTTCGCCAAGAACCACCCCGGCGGCGCCATTGGCCAGGCTTTTAAGACCAAATAACCAGTCTTGTTGGGTCGTTATATTGCAATCATTTCCACTGTTTGAGGGCGGGGCGTTGTAGGGTACACAACCATTTGAATACAGGAGACAAATCTCCTATTGCTCACAGGGCGTTCAATATTCAGTGTAAATATCTTGATCGGGCGAGCATTTTTTTGTTAAACTGAGCGGCTTTTTTCCCTTGGAATTTCATAGACTTTTCTTCAATTGTTCGATACCACAAATCAAACCACACTATTCTCTTGAATGTTCCTACAAACCCATGGGACCAACTGCAGCCTACTTTAAGTGACACTGCCTAGTAATTTCAAATGCATGCCCAGAACTGATATTCCTCACACCTTTGGAGATTGTGCACACCCGATCAAATCTACAATCTGCTGTGCACCAACTCATAAACAAACAGCTTGTTCATCTTTACTAGACTAGAACGATCGTCATTCTCTGATGGAACCGATATCATTCCTTCTTTACAGTCTAGATGAGCGTTGCAGTTACAGCACGCTAACGCGAAGTGGAAATATTGTCTCGTGTTGACAATACCGCCTACTATTCATTTCTCTTTTCCTTTCTTTTGCTGCCTCTGATTGAATCCACATGTGATTGCGCTTTCGGTTTCGCTCTCTTCTGCAAAGAGGTTGCAGCACCTTGCCTTGTCTTGCCCACGAGATCGTCCGTGGTATCTCAACTGCCGCTCATTCTCGGGCCACGGTGCCGATTTCATGATCCGAAATTCCCTCAAGTCTCACCAAACAGAACCTCAAACGATGTTATTCGAATCCGGAGCATGCTACAGACTGGTGGATGAGTGATTACGTTGTTGCCAGAGATCTGGGACATGACACCCACTTGCGTGTCATCCATTACTGTGTTTTGCTTTTGCTGCCAGTACTCAGATAGAAGCCCCGCTCCCGCTTCCTCGACTCGAAGAGCTTACCTGCAATTTCTCTAACACACAATCCAGACACGGCACTTGGGACCATATCGTGCAATCATTTTCCTTGTCACTGGCAGGCGATACCGTACCTCGAACTCCCCCTGCAGAATGATCTCCCGTGCAGGGCCAGGAATTTTGGGAGGACGGACCATGACCCGACAGGGGGCCCCTAGTCCAAACATGAAAACTTCACCAGCGTCGCATTGACTCGACCAACATGGTCCACTGCATGTCGGGTAAAAGTCCTTAAAACAGTTCTGTTATAACGCAGCCGAGACGGCACGTGGGGTTAACGCGTAGTGACCGGGTTCTACATGCACTTGAGAGCCTCTGCTGCGGTCGCGCGGCGGTGGGGCCGTCATGTTCTGGGTGATTCAGGAGCCCTCAGACAGATTAATCCTGCCAGGGTCAGCGCTGCGTTATCCCCGATCCACGCCCAAGAACACCCCCGTTGATCCAAAGCACCAGGGTCCCCAGCCGAACAGCCGCTCATCAGCCACCCCGGGCTGGGCACTACGACGACGTATGGCATGTGGGTGTCCTTAGACTCGTAGACGCTGTCATCAATTACCCAAGACAAGCATTGTACCACAAGCGAGAATGATGTGGTTCAAGCCCCTTGAAAGTTGAAGTCTTGATAGGGTCGGTCCCCATCTTCGGCGGGCTTCTTTCCCTGCCTCTGCAGTTATCACCCACTGAGGCCCAGCATCGACTGACCTTCCCTCTTTCATTCACCGCTAGAAGCAAGCAGTATGAACTATCACAATGTCGAACTCGATGCAAGTACCTGACCCTGCCAGGCTAAATGTCTTCCCTCCTCCGAATGGGCAGAAGCAGACTAGATTTGCTCCTCTTCCACCAAGACCACCGCCAGGCCGGCATTCTCTTCTCAACCCTAGAAGCTCATGGATGCGAAGAAGTCAACGCTTCCAACCAACACCTCCCGGCAATTTCTCTCGCATCCAGCGGCTGAGCCGACTTTCTTACTACCCCGTCGCCAACGAATACATCGAAGGCGTCTTCAACGAGAAGACAGCACTGCCGCCGCGATGGTCCTTTTACGTACCCGACTTCGACTTCGACGTCAAGGAGTTTGAGAAGTATGATCAACCTGATCACGAAGACGATGTACCCAAAGCATTGACGGCCTTCCGCGTCGACTTCTGGGATGGAGACCCAGACGACCCCCAAAACTGGTCGACTGCCTACCGGATCGTTGTTATCGGCGTGTTTGCTTTCACAACACTGGCGACCGGTATCTATTCCACAGCATACTCAAGTGGTATCAATCAGATGTCTGCGGAGTTTCACATCACCAACGCTTCGCTGCCTCTGCTTGGGATCTCTTTATACCTGGTGGGCCTGGCGCTGGGAGCCCTCATCATGGCACCACTGAGTGAGACCTTTGGGCGGAGACCAATGTACATCGGCGGCCTCTCGATATTTCTCGGGTTGATACCCATCGCTGCCCTTGCGACTAACTTCACCATGGTGATTGTTGCGCGTTTCTTGGGGTAAGTCAATTCCTCACATCACAACTTTAGAGAACCTAGGCTGACGGAACAATGAAGTGCGGTTGCCGGAAGCGTCATGCTCTCTAACGTGGGAGGGTCCATTATGGACATCACTAACCCTAAATATCTGCCCCTTGCGATGTCAGTGTACTCTTTCGGTCCTCTCAATGGTCCGGTGCTAGGACCACTCATGGTAAGCAACAAAACATCATTAGGCACATATGAAATCATCTAACAGTCTATGATAGGGTGGATTCTTGGTCGAATCATTCGGCTGGAGATCACTCAACTGGATGTCATTGATCTCAACAGCTGTCGGGGCTCTCTTCATCATGACTATTCCCGAGACATACAGACCAACGCTTCTCCGGAAGAAGGCAGCCCAGAAGCGGCAAGACGAGGAGGATCACCGCTATTGGTCTGACTTTGATGACACGGTACCCATGTTCCGCAGAATCAGAACTGCTGTCTCTCGGCCTTTCATTCTCTCATTCACTGAGCCGGTTCTCATGTTCTGGAACATTTACATCTCTGTCATTTATGGCATCGTTCAGCTGGCATACGTCGCCTTTCCTATTGTATACCAAACCGAGCGTGGCTGGTCCACGGCCATTTCTGGACTGGCATACCTCGGGATCTTTGTCGGTATCGCACTGGTCCTTGCCACCGAGCCACTACTGCGAAAGTTGGTGACCCGACAACCAAAGAACCCCGAAACTGGTCAGCCAGAACCCGAAGCCACTGTCCTTCTCATCTGCATCGGCGCAGTGCTCGAGCCAATTGGCCAACTTTCATTCGCTCTCACTTCCTTACCCGTAGATATTCCCTTTTACTGGAGCGTTTTGTCCGGCGTTCCTTTTGGCTACGGCTTCGGCCTTGTTTTCATCTACGGAACAAGTTACATTTCCAAGGTCTTCGGCATGTACGCCACATCTGCATCCGCCGGAAACCTTGTCTTCAGATCAATTTTGGGCGCTATCTTAGTGCTAGTGGGCAAGAGTATGTATGCTGCGCTGACGCCGCGAATTGCAGGCATCACCGTCGGCGTCGCCGAGGTCGTGCTCATGCCGGTGCCTTTCATCTTCTTGAAATGGGGCAAGAACATTCGGCAGAAGAGCAAACTCATTCGAACATTGGAGGAGCAAGCGAAAAAGTTGGCGTGATGTTTATCTACGACGGAAACCGGAAGATACCCTTTTCCTATGTCGATTAATTACTGTACCGTGAGCCGGTCACGTTCTTGTAGAATACTTTTTTCTCGTACCATGTAATTAAATACTGGGCCCTGAGTATACATTATGATCATGGGTTGGCTGTTGTTGCACACTATCCGGCTGTGGAAGTCAATTGAACTGCTTGTCTCATGATAATAGTACCCTGACCATCCTCCTTTGCAACACACAGATCTACCCAAGAGAGGCTATGTTGGTCTGCCAGCAGCCTCGTTGGCCTACATAGACAGTGATTAGTCGTTGTCCCATCTACTGCGGTCTAAGCCGCAATTTATTGATGCTTAAGGAGGCAGTTAAATACGTGTTAAACAAGCGAGAGAATACTGATAGTCACTAATGAGAAAGGGAATCATATGGTTGATTGTCAAATAACTCTGAGAAGTACTTTGTCCCATGTTGTCAATAAGTCTTACACTGATGCTCCCCTGATAGATTTTGCGAAGATGCAAAGGGGAGCTGACTTCCGCCAGGCAAAGGCGACAGTCTATTGATGGAAACTATGGCTAATGAGATCACCTGGGGCCTCTTAAGCACAGGCATTTTGCCACATAGATTCAATGAGCGATAGCCGCGAATTGATCTCTATCGTCAGTCTTTCCAAAATTGGCTCACGTCCTCAGTCCATTCTCCAGCCAACCCTACATTTCTGTTTGGACGACACTTTACCATTTCAAGAACACTGTTCAACGAATTATCAATTGCTTCTTCGCAAAATTCCAATCTGGCAGTGTTTTTAAGCAAATGTCGATGTTTTGTAGGTCGGTCCTCGGTTGATCCGTTTGCCGTCTCTTTCTTTTTGGTTAACGCTTCATCTTGCAGCTGTCGAAATTCTCTGATTGCTTTCTTCCTGAAATGGTATTCTAACGGATCAACCTCGGCATGTTTAAGTTCGTCCTTGATCAACTGTGGCATTCTTTCCAGGATTCCTACAAGTTCCTCCTTATGCGTTTCTGCTGCAAGTCCGCAAGCATTTTGTTGGACGATGTCAAAATTCGGTGACACGTACCATGGGAGCTCGTAGAGCGCTCCAGCGAGAGGCATAGCGGCGTATTCGCCGGCGTTACGTTGCTCAGGACCAACGTCTTGCTCTGGATGGGCTCTCTTTCGAACCACCCAGTCGCTCTCTTTGACATGATACTGGCGTTTGTGATTGCGTAACGCTTGTTTTGAGTCGAAACCAAGAAAACAATCAGGATCTTGACATCGAAATTGTTGCTTGTGTGACTTTTCGTGGCTCTCGCGTTGTTGCTCACTTTGAAACCCGAACCAACCTTGTATACACCCAGCCCAGCGGCACCTGAAGGCCCCTTCTGCATGTCGCTCCTTAAACTCCCTCAGCTCATTGGATCTAACAAGCAACATATATTCGTCGAAAGCATGATTGTCTTTGAGCAGGGACTCCAATATTGAGCTGTAATTTAGGTAGCTTTCAGAAAGCCTGGTAGGGTCTTGCTCCGCATCTTTTGGATATGAGTCAGCTTTTCGTAGTCTATCTATGCAAGAAGGTAATCGTACCTAATGGCTTGCAAACCTTTCTAGATGCCTCAGGTTTACCATTTCTGAAACCTAGATACTCCTTGACCGGTCCTAAAAAAGAGAAGAGGCGAGCTCGGGTGGAAGTTGTATCATCTTCAATGCTCTCGGTGCCGACTGTAGCTACTTGATTTTCCGAGTTGACTTTATCGAAAAGTTGCCAGACTGTCATAGCTTGAAGACGAAGCCTCTCTGAGTCCCTCTCACCAGCAGTATCAAAACTAGACAACAGGTGATCAAACCAGAATTCGTGTGCGTAAGGGAAGAAGTCATGGTATCCCCTTATGACTTGTATCACTGAGTCTGCGTGCTTCATTGGCGATAAAAAAACTCTGCTTGTTGACAAATACCGGAGACAAGACAAGGCAATCTCGGTATTAACTTTGGAAGGCGACAAGAAAGGTCCGCTGTGTTTACTGAGAAGGTATCTAGAGGGCAAGTGATGAATTAGCTTTCTCCAGCTAGCATAGATGCACAAGCTCACTTTCTGGCAGTAAAGTGTACAAGACATATTTGTCCACTTTGTCTCTCTTCTATGAGTGGTTTGCAAAGATTGAGCACTTTCTTATCAAGCTTAGTCGTTTGATTGAGAGTACCGTGATCTTTGTGAAACACAACAGCGTCACAAACTTCGTGACTCTTCATAGGGCGCAGAGAATATGTTAGGAGCCCTAAAATTCTCTCGCAGTTGCTTTTCTCGACATCAGATGGATAATTATTGATCCTTCCCAGGATAGTTTGATATCTGACCCAAACGTCAAAACTTAGGTGTGAATTGATTGCTCGATATTACTCACACCCCTGTAAGACCCATTGGCAGCCGATCAATGGTTGACATTAAGTCCTCGACACTCGATTGGTTTTGCAGCATGCCCATGATGAGGTGCACCCACAAGAACATGCCTATAATCACAAAGTCATGTAAACACTAGTATTCTTACATCAAGAAGATTTTAAGCAGGCTCACCTTCTGCTTTCCGAGTGAGAGTTGTGCGTACTTCTTCCAACACTGTTTCTTCGAAATCCTCAAGAAAACTTCTTAGTTTGACAGTGATAAGCCTAGAGATATCTGCCGACACATGAACGCTCTCTTTTGTGAGATTTATTAGTGCCCGTCGTTTCCATCTTTTATTGAATTCTCGGAGGATAAGCGGAGTCTCTCTGCAACAAAGAAGGAGTTTGACACTTGAAAAGGTGTCCTCGTCCGGTGCGTCTGTGCACGGTTTTAACAGCCGTGATAATTCATCAATAATGCGTACCTGATCAAGATCACTGTACTCGTCCAGTCCATCGACAACCAAAAAACCATGTCCGATCGAGTCCAGGAGTAGTTTTGTTATCTCTCGGACTCTTCTGAGCGAGATTGTGCAATTAAGTCTCACATACTCCTCGTATATGAATGGAAGCAATAGACGATTATTTCGTAGCATCTGAGCGCAGAACAATCGTAGTATTGTACTGGCAGGATCGCCATCGCCATTCCGAAGAAGTTCAGAGCTCATGCAGCACATCAGAAATGATCTAGATGACATCGGTGCCTTTTCTGCAAGGTACGCGGCAAGCGTCGATTTCCCTACGTCGAAAGTGTTAAATATTTGAGTGAAAGCTTGGGCTAATTACCAGGAGGACAAACCAGAACCAGGTTTTCCTTTGAGCCATAGGACTTGTCGACGATCTTCTTCGTCAAGCCATGTCCTAGTCTCATTATGTTCCATCAGCCAAGTGCAAGTGTTTTGAATCCGCGCCTCTTGGAAGTCATTCAAAAGATCTTCTTGTTCCCTGTCCTTGCCAGCAAGGTCTAACCACTCAAAGACGTGACGGGAATACTCATCGAGTCTTTCCTTGTCTCTTTTATCTGATTCGATCATTGCTCTCCTTCTATCGTCCTTTGACTCGATGATCTCGAAGCTGGCAGCTTCTCGATCAACCAGATCTCTATTAGTTGCGAGTCGTGTCAGAATCGCTTTGAATCGATGACTAGAATCTCTCCAACATGAATCGAAAAACCTTCTCCAGCCTTTTTCTGCTATTAGCGGGAGACATATGCTATTTTCGGCAACGGTTTGGATCTTACCACTTTGTCGGGCAATCTTGTATACCTCGAGATGGACGTCAAGTATATCTGTGTAAACATCGACAAGCACACTTTGGAATTCTGGCTGGCTGCGAAAAGCGTCGCTCAATCGCTCGAATCGCGGTAGGTTCTTTGATATCTGTGCATAGACTTCAATCAAGTTTTCGTATGCTGTGATGTTCCGATCGAATATCTGTCATTCATGATTGTGAGCTTGATATCTACGACCTATCCATATTGAGAATAAGTAGATTATGGACACACCACAAGTGATAGTTTGATAGGCGCCTGCAGATACGTAGATGTCGTAAGTTAAAGGTTAGGTCTCAACGCTTCATGTCAAATTCACAACTCACGTACCCATGCGAAACATAGGAATGGCACACCCTGGCACAACGGCCCAAGCAAGACTCCAAGAGTTTTCAAGGCCTCGAATAATGGTTCTATCCGGCGGCTGTTACGTAAAGCTCTGCGATGGCTTTGTTCACGCTCGACTACCTTGGCCGCGTTCCATACATCGTCAAGTGAAAGGCTGCGGAACAACTTGGCATCCACGGGATAAATGGCTGATTCGAACCTGTTGAAGGCATTTTCAATGTTCTTGAGGTTCTGGGCGTTGAAATCGTTTTGAGCAAGGTTATAAAGTGCCATGGTGAGTATACAGTACTAGCGAAGTTCAAGGTGGCCTGCTGGGACGAAAGTTTGTGAAGATTAATAAGAACACATTTATGTTAGCATGTGTCTTCAAGCCAAGTTTTTGAATACTAATACGTACTAAACTTGGCTTTCGACTTGCGGCAAATTTACATACTATTGGTTTCCAACCACATATACCCCGCACTATGCCCCTTAGTATTCACTGTCACCACCTCCTGTGTTGCTAAACCCATGGGAGGCCCTCTCCAGTGCAGTTATGGGGCCTGAAAATAAGCACTAGTCTACCTAGATATGGGCGCAGTCGGATTATTCGAGTTTATTGGCTGCTCATGAGGCCAAGTTCTGCATGTTTTCAAAGATGGATGGAAGCCTACATGCCAGTCAATAGAAAGAATGCCTCATCGTGTGACTCCGCCTCATTGGTTTTCTTCCACGCAGCAGCAAACGTGAGCTGAAGTTGCCTTGTTTTCGTTAACACTTTTCCCTGTAATTAACTTGAATACACAGTGTAGGACTGGACTGCCGATATAAATAGAGTGTGAGGATTTGAGGGAAGGGACAAAAGACAGCACGGCAAAAGTCCCATGTTGCATCTAGAGGCTTCAGTTGAAACCTTTATCCACTACGTGTAGTTTTCGGCTCCAAATACAAGTCGGATGGGAAGGTAGACTGACAAGAACTTGTGGCGATGATGCTTAGCCTGCAGCAGTGGGGCTAGCATTCATCGCCTCGACTAAGCCCATGTACTCAGCCGCCCTCAGCCCCAATAACTTGAGATAGAGGACGCCTTGCGAAAGGGTTTGACCAATGGCAACCTCGATGTTCAGAGTATGACGGAACTTGTCCCTGTGATTAGGAGTGCCGCAATGCTACTCGAACCATCATAGGATATCAATAAAACACCTAGAATAAACCTGAGTACTATTGCACCCATCCCACCCCACCAACAAGATAACTACTGATTGTGTCTCCACTGGTAGATGTCTGCCAAATCATGATCACAAGCAGCAGCGACGCCGTGTTGCTAGAAGTTCCACGGAAACGCCGCAAACTAGACTTCTGCCAACATGACGAGTCTCCTGAGAGGCACATCCTCCACCCAGATGCAGATGATAAATCAAGTAGACCCTGCGACCATGATGATGCATTAAGTCTCGCCTCTTACAACACAAATTTACCGGAAATATGTTATGGCGCGGTAAGTAAAACTCCTGTGTTAACACACGATTTCACAATGAGGCAGAAGCTGAAGAGATAATTAGCTTGACTCGATACCTGTATCCCCGATCTCTCATGCAGGCACAGAACTGTGCCACGACCTCAAGCCTTTATGTTGGGATGGGACAAACATGCTCAAAAGCATTGATGACTCAATTTTCTCCTATGAGCTTCCGCGCGGGGCATTCGTCATGCTCAAAACCCTTACAGAAAAAGCTAACGTACTGCTCGAGATACGCCTTCGACTGTCCGACTCGGGATCCTCCAACAGTCTAAAACGAAGAACGGGGCCTGTTGAGAAAAGGAGCTTGTCGCCATTATCAATCAGTGTAAATCTTTATGGCTCTCGTGCATCATCCAAATCAGTCGGTGCTTTCCTGGAGAAATGTCACGTATTTTTGCAAATCCCGGACCGGTGCAGATTTGTTATTCCTTATGTCAATCCACAATGCCTGCCGTTGACGGAAGTTGAGATTATCATGACATCTGCATTCAATGACGATACTCAATTGTCAACTACTAGTGGCGAAAAAAACGATGTTGGGTTGTTTGATGAACTGGGTAATGAGGAGGTATTCCAAGAAGCGCCGCAACCAGCATTAGTCTGCACTATGCTTCATAAGTGAGCATGATTCCGTTGTCATTTTGTCACATTACGGATATAAAGAAACCCATGCTTACTACTCTCCAGGCACCAAAAACAAGCATTGTGTTTCCTTCTCGGTCGAGAAAAAGGTTGGGATCTTGATGGAACACGTCAAGATGTCTGGAAATCTTACAAAGATAAGTTTGGGTGGGTAAGGTACTCAATCCCGATATTTTAGTTTGTTAGGTTTTATTTGAATATCTGACAGCTCAATGGCAAAGGTACAAAAACAACATCAACGGACTCACTCAGGCCGATCCCCCGAAAGATTTTCGAGGTGGTATCTTAGCTGATGAGATGGGCCTTGGAAAAACACTCACAATGTTGGCGCTGGTCGCTGCGGCGCGAAGTCCAACGACGAATTGTTCATGTGTGGATGCACAAGAGATGACGAACCTTAGTAAAAGGATGCAAGGAACATTGATTGTTGTACCTCTGTCGCGTAAGTGAATCTCCGTTGAATGGAACTCCTATACAGTTCGCTAAAACGTACCAAGTCTTGGTTGTTTGGGATACCCAAATCAGGGAGTAAGTCAAATGCAGCTGTGTTATCATGTGATCATAATTTGACAGTCGCAGGCACATGTCCTCCAACATTCGGAGTTTGTTATATCATGGGCATTCTCAGAAATCCGTTCACACGGAACTCGACCAATATGACATTGTAATCACGACTTATAATGTAGTCGCATCCGAATGGAGAACCTCCAAACAGGGAGGGAGAAGTCTTAGGTTGAACTTACTTTCTTCAAAATGGCACCGTGTGATTTTAGATGAAGGTACGAAATTCTGGATATGAGTAACATTTGCTGTGTACAAGTCGCTGACAAAAGAGTAGCTCACATGATAAGGTCGCCAGGGACTCAAAATGCCAAAGCTGTTCGTGCGCTTGATGCAATGCATCGCTGGTGTATCACAGGAACGCCTCTACAAAATCGGACACGCGACATATTTAGTCTTCTCCAATTTTTGAGAGTTTATCCATACGACAATCCTAGGTCATTTGACAGGGACATCACCCATCCTTGCAAAGTTCAAGTTGAGGAGAAAGGACTAAAGATGCTTCGCAAACTGATGCAAATGATCACTCTTCATCGAGGAAGGAAGGTCATTGATCTGCCATCCTTACAAGAAAATGTGGAAGAAGTAGGCATGACTGCTATTGAGCTAGCTGTCTATGAAGAGGCAAGAGATGGTACCTATCGGTATCTCGATCATGCGTTACATTCCGAAGGCTCAGCTGACAGCTCCTCTTACATCAACGCATTTCGAAGAGTTAATCAAATGAGATATATTTGCAACCATGGAGTTAACCGCCGGCAAATACGTCTCAACTCCAGTCCCCCACCTGGAGCAGTGGAAGATTCTAGCACAAATATCGACGAGCTGGACCATATCCTCGACAATTTGGACGAAGCATGCCTCAACTGCGGCACCGACATTACTGACGATCAAGAATCGTTTGAAAAGCCCGAAATCCTTGCAAACATGGGAGATAATCAGCAAAGATTGTGCTTGGGATGTTCCCGGCAGCAGGTACAAACGCCGGAGATACGACATGAAGGTCCAACAATCCAACCGTACGGTTCTCAAATGATGCATATGGAGACTTTACTGCCTAGCAAAATCCAAGCAATTGTGTCGTATGTCCATAATATACCGATGGATGAAAAATGGTAGGTTTAGACTAAGCCTTTTAATGATCATTGTTCATTGACAATTTTCTACGCAGCGTTATGTTTTCGTTCTGGACGTCTACTTTGGACATGATGCAACAGGCTTTGGACTCGTCCGGTATTTCTAGCTGCCGCTATCAAGGCACGATGAAATACGCAACAAGAACAGAGTCATTGAGAAGATTTTGCACAGAAAGAACAATCAAAGTCATACTGGTTTCCATCAGTTGTGGTGGGCAAGGGTCAGAAACCAATTGCTTTCCACGTTTCACATCATCCTACCCAGTAACTGACATTAATTGAAGACTTAACTTGACAGTGGCAAACCATTGCATACTGATCGAACCGCAATGGAACCCTATGGTAGAAGAACAAGCTGTTGCCAGGGTATACAGGCTCGGTCAAGAAAAAGCCGTCTCTGTAACAAGATTCGTAGTCAAAGGCACTATCGAGCGTAAAGTATTGGAGCGCCAGACGAGGAAGAAAGTCCTGGCAGATCTAGTCCTTGGAAAAGAGAAAATTAAGGAGGGAGATGATGGAAAGAAACAACTTGCCGTAAGTTTCAGAAACTGAGCGCGCGCTCTGTCATCATGAATATTAACTTGTTGGGCTTCCAGAATCTCATGGAGCTGATATGCTGAAAAGACAATGATGTAGTCAGAAACAGCAACTAAGTAATCGCTGTGAGTACGGCGAATTTAACTCTTGTAACAGAGATCTTACGAATTGCAAATATGTAGTATCAAATACCTGCAAATATGCAATCAAGCTAGGTTGACTGTTTGTACTTTACAGCCATTTGAAATTGATACGCAGCATCCTCTCGGACTACATGAATGAAATTGCGGATTGCAAATCCGACCAGGCCAATGAGGTATGTCCTCCATTTCAAACTAGTACAAGATTTTACATTTTCAGAGATGACTGCTTCCAGTCAAATCGTTGGCATGTCAGCACTAACGCAGTGTCATACAGTTTTGATGACAAGCGGGCCGGAGACTTCCATGACTCCATCGGTGCTACAAAGTCCCGGAATAGGCAGCATTTAACTTTGAACCATGTCATGCGCCACCTTAAGACACTTAAATGTACTTTGGCGCATTTTCCTCCCGAACAGTATTTTTTTCCTTCTCATCATCAGCCGTCTTGGCCTGCGATAAACTGCTCGCATAGAGCGCCTGAGGAACATTACACACTCGTCATGAATCGCACACAGCTCATCGATACGCTTACCTCGGTGCAAGCGTCACCCAAGAGACCGATCTTGACCCTCGTGAATGGCGATAATACGTGGCTGATATCAGTTCCGAGGCCCGACAACACGACTGGCAAATCTTTCTACCACATTCTACAGGATCCTTGGCTCAGCGGACCCTCAGACGCCTATTCCCGCTGGTTCCTGCGCATGCAGCTCAAAGAGGAAGGGGCCCTTAGTAGCTTCAAGGCCGTCGAAGACTGGATCCAGGAGGTGGAAACCGCTTGCGGGGGCACGAATGAAGAAGACGAGCGGTGGCTTGATGCGGTTCTCGTCACACACACCAATACCGATCATCTACACCAACCGACGTTGCGAAGCTTGGACCCATCCATCAATGTCTTTGCTGTAGAAGACGCCGCCGCGACCATATCCGCGATGAAACATTTCAAAAGCATTACGATCGTTCCTGATTTCGTCCGCGGCAAGAAGTGGCCAATCACTCCAGAAATGCCCGAATGGCTATCCGTCTTCCGTTTGCCGGATGAGAGCGGTGTGAACCCGAATCTGTACCACGCCATAATCATCGGAATGTCGGCCCAGGATGGGAAGGACGAAGCGATCTTGTATACCCCGCATGGCGTGGAACCCGAGATGGTGGAAGCCGCTAGGAAAGCGAACCCCAATGCCAGCGTCCTAGCGATGTTGCACCCGCTCAATGAGTGCGGCACCTTAGGCATCAACTCAAGAGGTGTTGCGAATGGGTTGAAAATTGAACGGCAAAATTCTGTCCGTTACTGGGTAAACACTCATGATGACAAGCTGCAGTACGCGGGGGTTTTGGCCTATTTCATGCACTACGGGCGCAAAACGTTGGAACAGGGTCTCGAGGAAGAGGCCAATGAAAAGGGCCAGGAACAGCGGAGACCCAACTACATAGTTGTTGGGAATGGCGGGAGTCAGATCCTGGCTTGAGACGAGGTCATTGACGTAATTGGAAAACTCTCATTGCCTTTGCCCAGCGATGATGATTATGGTGCCTTCCACAGGGTTCTCCGAGAGAGTAGAGCGATTATACATTCAAGCTTGACCACAGTCGCTAACACTGAATAAAGCAGATTCATGAGCAGAATCTCAAATGGTAAGAATGTGCAAAAAAGCTCCTCGACGGGGAATTGAACCCCGGTCCCCTGCGAATCGTTCGATTGACAAGCAGATATCCTCACCACTAGACTATCAAGGATTTTTGGTAGAGACCGACGTTGATCTAATAATATAAGTACCGGACACTCAATGCCAACCCCTACCGTCAGTCCCAATCATACCTACTTTGACATTGGAAAGTGCGGGAATTATTTTTTTTGATCTTTCCGAGGAAAGATGCAGAATTTTCAGAGACAAATATGGTGATGTCTATGGTTGGAGATAGCCCACTCGATTGTTGGTAGTCTCTCTGCGTACCTATGATAGCAGGGGCCGTTGGCGTTCCGGTTGGGTCGCCAAGTCATGCCGTGCCACAAGCACACATTCCCTCCTCAACCCTCGCTGCAATGAAGACTATACCTCGGGTTCTCTTGGGATGCGCTACGATACCTATTTGTTCGTTTGTTTGTCTGATGTGCTGTTGCGGCCAAGCCGCTTGGTCGCAAGTGACTAAGAAGTAGCGTGACCCTCATTTTCCCTGACATTGCGCGGCAAATTGTCAGCAAGCCAGTTGGCCGTTTGGAGAAGAATCCCTATTGGGTCATCTTGAGCTCCAGTAAGCCCGTTCGATCACGCCGCCGGCTTACAATACATGGCTTACGAGCGCCATGAAGCGTGATGCGGCTGCCGCCACATGCCCGGCGCGCCACCTTCCAAGTCAATCTGGGCATCTCTAACATTCTTCTCGCTGGACCTAGTCTGAACAACGCCAACGCCTTTTATCCTTCCCTCTAAGGCCCTTGGCGCCTATTTAAGTTGGTTCACTATGCATCGTTCCCTCTCGGAGACAAGCCGTTTGTCCCTTTCGCAGTTCTGCTAATGGAGATGCCACCCAACTTATGACTCCACCGAGCATTTCGAGGTGTTGAAGACGATTAGATCTGAAATCTATCTGAAAAAGATACAACAGCTCAGCAGCCGAGTAGCCAAGCGACCAAGGATGCTCGAGGGCATATTCCTCCCCAAGAAAGACTTGAAATGTTTTAAGTCCGCCCAACCTACCGACCAGGCTGCTTCTGGCTCATTTAGTTTGTTTTTCTTGTCTCGCTTGGCTTGGTCAAATCCATCTTTGACCATCGTTTGATCCGGGGAAACGGCTGAGTGTTCATTTTCTTCCCCATAGGCTTCCCTTGACACGTTGACCTCCTCTTCTGTAGCCCGGGGCAACTAAAGTCGACTAGGAGCCTGATCGATGACTGCGTTATAAGTGCAGTAACGGCTGTACCGTAGTAAAAAATACCTCAGGTTGAAATTAAGTAGAGTTTCTTGTATTATTAAGGCTTAAATTAGGTAATATATTGCTATTATCCCTATAGAGGTTATTATCCTCACTACTTTCCCTTTTCTCTAGGCTAAATAAGCTTTATTTCCCTTTACTTCTATCTATATTATTATTTTTTATTAGATTACTATAAATAATTACTATAATTACTTATACCTCTATAATAAGTAACTAATAAAATAAAGAAAAGCTTTTTATTAATACAAAGGGCTCTATTGTTGTTTAACTAATTACCTTAGCCTCTACTACTAATAAACAAAAAAACCTACTATATTAATTAAAAAAAAAGCTAATAAAGAAATAATAACTTAATAAAGAAGTTACTTAAGATATTACTAAAGTCTATAATAAAAATAATAATAAAAAATATAATAAAGTTAATAATAAATCCTTAAATAGTATATTACCTTTTTTTAAAAATTTATCTAATTAATAAATACTAATATGCTCTTATACTATTTAGACTTTAAAGCTTATTTATTACTTTATAAAGAAGCTTTTTAATCTATACTATAACAAAAACCTTAACATTAATAAAGCTATTATAAAAAAGCTAGTCTTTAAAGATCTTATAGTATAAATCAATATTAAGGGCTAATTTACTAGTCTTATAACTAATAAGTAAATAAAAAATAAATATAATAATAAAAAAAAAAGGTTTTTTATTTAAATATCTATTACCTATAAGTCAAGTAATATATTTAATAAAAATAATAGAAAGGTCTTTTATAGTAATAAAGTAAAAAAAAACTTTTTAATTATTTACTTAAAGTATAAGTAAGTTTTTAAAAAAAGGTTAAGACTACTAGATCTATATAAAGAGATATAAGGTATAAACACTAAAAAAAGTAACGCTATATTATTAGTTAATAAAGTTATATATAGCTAAAAGATTAACTTTAAGGTAAATAAGAATAAAAAAGATAATAAAAATAATAATAATAACTTAAGAGATATATAAAAAAGTTAATCTCTTTATACACTATTATAGTTATTTATATTATTTCTTAATACTTTTATATTTTTATAAAACTAATAATCTAATTGTTAAATGGATTCTCTCTTCCTGAGAGAACCTGTTAGTATGATTGTACTTAGGTTAAAGTTAAGGTGAACTAAAGATGTATTTTCCGTGATTATCTTCCTAATGTTACAGTCAGATATCCGACAGTGGTGTTTTTTGCTAATAGGCAGCTAAGGTCGATACTCAGTAACAGTAAGGTAAGTCTTGTTAATAATCTTGCTGGTCTGTTAGTGTCTGGTGATTAGTCAGGCACGTCTAGGCGTAGATAGCTTTATAGCTTCATAATAGAAGGATAATCTAAGAGTCACTTATAAGAGAGTGAATCACAAAGTTGCTTGCTGAAGAGCTATAAAAAGTATCTAGTCTAGTTGGAATGATTATCCTTATATCCTATTATTGCTCTATTAGGACTGATCTCCTGAAGTTGGTCCTTAATAAGGACTGATCCTTGGTATATTAGTCCTGGGTCATAGACTACTTATCTGTTATTGGTTCTTCTTATCTTTATGTAACTTTCCTTAGTTCTTTTATTCTAAGAGGGGATTAATGTGTTTCTGTGCTATCCTGTATATAACCTTGTTTTGTAACCGCTAGGCGCCCGTGGGGCAACCCTGGTTATGTTATGCTTGTTAGGTCATAACATCAGGTCTCCCCTCCAAAGGTCTTGCCCTTAAGACCTTATAAGTAGGTCGTCCCTCCTAGGTTAAGGAGTTGTTAAACTTGCTTCCTTATTTATTCATAATGCTAACACTATGTCAAGTTATATAGAAAAATTAAAACTAAAGGCAAAATCTTAGAAGATAGAGATAAAAGATTATGAGCGCCTTGCGCTTCTGGAGTTTATTGAAGCTTGTTCTGTTGTTGCTAATATGCCTTGCACTTGTTGTTTTCGTACAAAGACCGCTTGTCGTTTCGGCAAAGGCTCTTCTTGCTGTCAAAGCTGTATCAAGGCTAAGAAGCCTTGTGATGGTGTTTTGGTGGCTTTTACTTGTGAGTGTCCCTTGATTGGGTGCAGTCTTTTCTGTCTAACCTTTGTTCATAGTACAAAAATTGAATGCTCAACAAAAGGAGTAGAATAAAAAAAAGGAGGCAGTAGGTGAGGAGCTTTTAAGGCTTCATAAGAAGCTTGCTTAATTATAGTCTTTAATGGCTACTGTAGCTAGCCGCTTATCTAGGATTCGGAAAACTCAGAAACTTATTCGCAAGCGTCAAGCCAAAACTTTTTGTTGTAGTATATAAGAAATTGATAAGTCTAATGCCCTAGAGTCGGTATTAGATACTTATAAATAAGGAATAGTGGAGGAGTTATAGTTCATGCAGGTGCCTAATGACATGGACTGGTCCTTGTACAGGCTTGGTGATGAGTTCTCGGACTTGGGGCCGTTGGTGCAGGCGTCTGGTTCCAAAGTGTCTGTAAGTTGTGATAGTCCTGGAGCAGCTGTTAAGAGTGCTAGAGGTTCTTGATTAGTTCCTATGAGTTGTCCTTATGTCTATACCCTTTTTATTTAATGAGATATTATGCTTTTCCATTTTCCTCTCATTCATTGATAATTCATTTGACTTCATATTCTAGTTTGTTTAGTTCTACAATAATATAGTCGTTAGTGTTTGATCCTTGCAGTACTGGTTCAAGTAGTGCGATATAAAAAACTAGATAGATCTTCATTATGTCTAGTAAGTTAAGTTTAAAGTTAACGTCCAAGATTTTCTGAATGATTTTGAAAGGTCTAAGTTTTTTGTAGTCTAATTTATCACTTAGTTATTTTGTTTTGATGTTGCATTATAGAAGATACATGCTATCTTCCTCTTTAAAGGTTAGTCCCTTAACCCTTAATATGTTAGCGTATTTTTTTATTTATGTCCTAATAAATTCAAGGTCTTTAGTAGCATTTTCTTAGATTTCTTGTAATTTATTATAATTTACTATAGCCTTTAGTGCTTGTAGTCCTTGTTAAGGTTCTCTATATACTGTAGGCTTAAATCTGTAATTTAGGTAGAATAGGGAGTTCAAGGTACTTTCTTTTATAGTACTGTTGTAGGTAAATTGGGCTATTGGTAGTAGTAGTACCTAATTATTTTGGTTATAGTTAATATAATATTGTAGATATTGTTCTAGTATTTGGTTGATTTGTTTAGTTTGTCTATTAGTTTGTAGGTAAAAAGCAGTTAATAGCTTATGATTAGCTCTTAGTTGTAAAATCAGGGATTTCTAAAACTTAGATATGAATAGTTTGTCTTTATTAAATACAATTTCCTTGGGCAATCTGTGGTTACTAACAATATATTTCAAAAACGTATATGCTAGGTCTTCTGCTGTGCTTGATTCTAAGTACAGGATAAAGTATACGTATTTTGTGAGTTGGTCAATAATAACTAATATGCTGTTATAGTAGGTTTTTATGAGTAGTTCTTTTGACTTTGGGAGTTTAACTATAAAGTCTAGAGAGATTGAATACCATGCTTTAG